CCCTAACCCTAACCCTAACCCTAACCCTAACCCTAGGTCGATCTAGAAAGTACTAGAAATACCTAGACTTACTTTAGAATTTACTAGAATCTATTTAAATACTTATATAAGTCTAGAACTTTATACTATTTTCTTAAAACTTTAAATATTAATAGTTTAAAAACTACTAGCCCGATTAGGCTATAACTCTAGATATAGTATATTTAGATATAATAGAGTATATTAAGCTATAAAGACTTACTTAAGAAAGCTCTTTATTAAAGAGTTATTACTTATCTTTATATTTATAGATTTTCTACTTTAATAAAATAAAATATCTATATATAGATATAAATTATTTTATAATCTTATATTTCTATTCTTTAGCTTTAAAATAAGTCTCTATACGTCTCTTTAGCTCTAGTATTAAGTTAGTTATTAAGTATTCTTTATAACTCTAAAGCTTAACTCTAGAGTTATAGACTCTAGCTAAGCTCTAACTTAAAACTCTTATAACTCGAGCTATACTTAACTAAATTAAGTAATTTTTAGTTCTATAGATAGCCCTTTAGCTATAGTATTTTATTTAAAATTATTAGTATAGACTTCTATAGTAGAAATTAAGAGTTCTAAGTACTTTAAGATAACTTAAAACTCTTTTAATAAAAATACTTAGAACTTTAAGAGAGTTTTAAGTTTACTAGATATAGATTTTTACTTTTTACTATAAAAGCTATATTAGATAATTAATAAGATATAATACTAATATATAATAGAAGCTATTACTACTAGTATAATTCTAAATAATATTACTAGTATTAATTAAGATACTTATTATAGATTTTAAACTTTTTTAGTTATTCTTTTAGTATAATTTATTTTAATTTATTTTTAGTAGTATATATTAATAAATAGTATATAGAAGTTAGTTAATATCTATTTAAAATATTTTATAGATTAAAGTTATAATAAAGAGATATAAAACTTAATACTCTTATATTAGTATAATTTATATATAGAGAGGTTAAAGCTAGAGTTATATAGTATTATAAACTTTTTAAGTTAATAAAGTTATACTTATAAATATAATCTAAGTTACTTATATATAAGACTTTAGTATAGTATATAATAAAGAGTAGAATAATTACTTAGCTAGCTAGAGTATAATATTATATATAAGAGAATCTTATTAATATATTTTTAAATAATATATAGATATATTATACTATATCTCTTCTTATAAAGCTATTAAGATTAGTTATAATAGTATAGTTTCTAATATTTTAAAAGATTATCTTACTTTTAAAATAAAATAGTATCTTCTTAAGATTACTATAAGCTAAGTATATACTTTATTAATCTATATACTTTAAATTATTACTTTATACTATAGCTTTATAAGTTTAACTCTTTATATAAACTATTTTATACTACTCTATAGAATTATTACTTTTTAATAGCTAAGTATCTTATTAGCTTAGTAATCGCTTACTATAAACTTTAGAAAGCTTAAAGAGATATAATATTTAACTTATCTTATAATACTTTAGTTATAGTAATATAACTTAAACTTTTAAGTATACTCTTCTATAGAACTCTATTTACCTTAGTATAATATAACTATTTTCTTTTAAATCTTCTTATAGCGATAATAAATAAGCTAGAGAGTATATAACTAAATAGGTAAAGGTATTAGGTTCGGCTTTAAAGAAGAAGTAAGTAGTATATTTTTAAAGTATACTTACTAGATTAATCTCTTATATTATTACTTAAAGCGAAATTTACAGGGCCTATTAGTAAAAATACTAAGATTAAGAGTTATAGAAGTAAGCTTAGTAGACTTTACTAAATAATATAAACTATATTTAACCCCTAGAGATCTACAACTTAGATAGGCGTTACTGCGATTTTGTCTAAGTTAGAAAACTCTACTGACCAGCCATCATTTTTGGCTCTAGAGCCTGTAAAATAGCTCGACGCAGAAGCATTACCCCTCAATAACCAATCGACCCAATAACCTCCTGCAATCCCAAACTTTCCACCATTGGTCTGTGTATAGGTGCCTCCGTGTCCTACGGGAAGATTCCCTTTCCACTTCGGGGTCCCTGCTGGAATGGCCTTGTAATCACGTTCGCCCTTGGTATCAAGTCAGTTTTTACTACGAGAGAAGAAGAGGATATAGAAATAATTACATTTGCATATGCAATGTCTGAGGACCCTCCCAGGAAGTAGAACATTGGCTTCTTGAGCAAACTCGCCATCGTATAATTTGTCAGCAGTCCCGAGCTCCAAATTCCAATCGAGTCGACTCTGGAATCCCAGTACTGGGCATAGGCCTCAATGCCGCCGCAGCTCCATCCAGCAGCGATGATCCGTGACGCATCAACATTGGCGTAGTTGCCTGTTCCAGCTCTGCTCTTAATCCAGTCCGTTCCTGCAGTCATGAGAGCTGCAGTTGTGCTGCCGCTACCCTTTGGCGTGCCTGATGCAATGACTAGAACTCCGTGGGAGGCGAGTTGGATGAGGAATGGTGCCGACTGAAGAGAGTCTGCAGAACAACCGCCTTCGCCCCAGAGGAGCACGGGAAGCTTGGTCCCGGCCGGTACTTTCTTAGGTGCAAAGATTGTGTGGCCGGTAAGAGTTGGATCTTGTGTATAACCCTAATGGAGATTGGAATGTGAAGGAATAATAATTCGGGGGAGGCTTACGGCTGGTGCATAGGAACCTGTTCCAGTGCCAGTGGACTGCCGTTCTTCTATTAAAAGAGGAGATGCAGAGAATTTGCCATAGCAAGTTGCCAAGGCAAGAGCTGACAGAAATCCTTTCATTGTAACTATCTGCTCAGTCGAAACTTTGATTGAAAATGGATAATAAAATTAACGAAATTAAGCCAGTCCAAAATAAACTTCGATCACAGCTCTTATAGTTCTGCTTAACCCCGCTAATCTGTAGTATTTTTCTGTTAAACACGAAATGATTCAGATATCTCTTCTCTTTTCACACCGGCAAGTGACTCGGCTATCGTGTTTGCTCTTCTAATCCTTTCGTAGGGTAGTTGTTGCGACGGATAAAGTGGGTAAGATCCGACCCCGCATACGAATACAACTTCCATCTCACTTTGATAGGGTCAGTAAGTAAAAGGTATTGTCTTTCTAGGGCAATGGCTCAGGTGGCTGAACACGAGTCGATAGCCGAGATCTGCTAAATGCAACTTGTAGATCCTTAGTGAAAAACATTTATGTGCTGTAGGGTATATATTGAGGGAATTTCCCAAGACAATCTAGCGGGACCATGTCATTAATGCTGATAGATTATGGTCTAACACTTCTCATAGGGATATGAGGTTCAGTAACTATGATTTCATCTTGTGATATTAAGAACGTTCTACTCTATGCTTGTAATTTGACGAGATTTATTTCAGGTTCAATTCAGAAAGAGTTCTAGTAAACTCAAGATATTGCGTATGGAGATCAAATCTTTTGCTAACGGAAATAATTCTTCTTACTGTAAGCATAATGTCAGAAATGTCGAGAAATGTCGTTTCGATTTGCACTTTACTACAAGGCCCGTAGATTTTGCTTTATTTATCACGTCCGGCTAAAGATTAAAACATGGGAGGTAGACACTTCAAAGACTACTATACGTTAAAAACTATACGGAACTCAGAATAAACACTCACGTCACATTCGAAAACAAAAACACGTATGTCTCTTCAGACCTGGAACAAAAAGCTTGGCGGGAAAGAATGTAGAAAGTACCAAGAAACCTTTTCGCTAACAATTGTGTCTTGCTATACTCTTGATATGAGATTGACAACAACGTATACAAGTGGGGAGATCTAGCGCATTTATCCAGTATCCGCGCGATACAGAAGTCGTAGAATGGCCAAGCGAGGAAATCTATCGCATTTATCCAGTATCCGCGCGACTCACAAAGCGCAGAATGTCCAATCCAGGAAATCTAGTGTATTTATCCTGTATCCGCGCGATACATAAGGCGTAAAACAACCAAGCTCATTATCATCACCACACTCACCAAGTCTTTCACCAAACCGGTTTCAGTTAACTTCCATAACATGCTCTAGCTTGATACGCAGTACCCTTTCGGAGATAGTTTTCAACTTCCATTATCCCAGTGTACTATTTTGGAATAGTCTTCATCCTTCTCTTTACCCAACACACATCAAACGTTAAAGTATCATTTCCTCATCATTTTCTCTATTCGCAAATATCAAGAAGCAACAGCAGCACCATACCCCTCCCAACCCTCTAAATCCTCCGCCAGCAAAACATTCATCTCATCCAACCTCAAACTCTCCAACGTCCCCTTCTCCTTCGGACTCCACCCCAACTGCCTCAACCTCACAGCTCTACACCTAGAATTGCGTCCGAGAACCGGCTCCGCAAAGTCACCAAAGACAAAACTATACATATTCCTCGGAATCTGTCTTGGTTTCTCATCCTTAACTTTCCCCTCTGCTTTCAGCGCCTTGCCAATCTCAGCCGCGCATTCAGACCAAGAGCACTCATCCCCGTTTTCAATGAAGAAATAGGGGTTTGAGGGGGAAGTGGACTCGAGATGGTGTAGGATAGTCATGTAGCCGCGGGCGAGATCGGAGACGTGGATTTGAGACCAAAGGGCCTTTCCACCGCCTACGTAGCCTGGGTAGCCATTTTTGATGGCGAAGCGTGCGAGGGTGGGGATTTGGATCGAGAGGAGACCAGCGTGGTTGACGCCGTAGATGAGAGGGGGGAGGACGATTGAGATTTTGGCTTTGGCGGCTAGTTGTTTTCGGCGTTCGAGGATTGCGAGGTCGATTACACGATGAGGTGCGCTTTCTGGGATGGCGTCTATCATTTCTGGGTTATCGTCTGAGTAGATCTTGTCACTAACTTTTGAGCCGTCGTCGTCGGCTTCGACGAGGGCACTGCAACCGCTGGTGTGGATGTAGATTTGTCCCCTCTTGTCGCTTTTGGCGATGCCGTCGAGGATGGACATAGCGGAGGGTTCGTGGTCTGCTGTTGCTGCGTGGATGATTATGTCGTGGGATGCAGTTGCGTCGCGGATCAGATCTGCATCGTCGAGGGAGCCATGAATTGTTTTCGAGCCCATTGTTTCAAGACGTTTTTGTGCATCTTCGCGACGGACGAGGGTTGTGACTTTGTATTCTTCGGCGATGAGTTCTTTGAGGATTTCGAGGCCGATGAATCCTGAGCCCAGAAGGAAGACTGAACCTTTTTCAGGCATATTAAGAGATTTCAAATCTATCTGCTGGTGCAAACCGATCTTTTATGTGATCTAAGGTTTCGAACTTGTAAGGATAGAAATTTTGAATAAACCTCACAAACAAGAATATACAAACCACATCATGAGATCACGTGCTCCATGAACACAGGATGACTTGCATTTGCCACATCTCTGACATCACTGGGGAAGCAATGTGGGACACGTCACTTGACTTTCAACTCAACATGAGTGAAATCAATTGTTGCAAAATGCAATTAGTATAATTTAATGTATTACACTTTGTTTTCGCCCTGGTGGTGTTCAACTTGGACTTCGGTAATTCCCTCTTTCGTCAAGTCATCTGGCAACGTACCCAGAGCTCTCTCTCCGAACAACAGATCAATATCCTCCAAACTGACCTGCTTCGTTTCCTTGAAAAAGAAGAAGATTACAGGGAATGTGACAATGATATTGAATGCCACGAAGACAAAGTAGAACTTCCATCCAATTTTGCCGAGACCAATTGGAGAGACTTGGGCAAAAAGTGTTGCGACGAGCCAGTTACCAATTCCAGTCGCGAAAGCATTACCGCGGGCACGAATTTGCATTGGCATGACCCTACCCGTGTTAGCCGAGGTGAGGTAGAGTGAAGTTGAAGGACTTACTCGGACATGTAAACCCATGAAATTGGGCCGAAAGACAACGAGAAGATAACTGAAACCAGAAAGAGAAAGAAGACACCAGCTATGGAAAGACTGTGGCGTGTTCCTTCCTCGTTTTGGCTGTTGATCACAGCTTCGCAGATTAAAGCACACGTTATGCCGATGGTACCGAATAGAAGAGGCTTTCGACGACCAACTCTGTCAAGGAGGAACACGATGAATATCAAGTCTGAGGTCATGTTAGCTGAGAAACTTTGATATACAGAGAAGACGGCTTACTAGCTAATGGACCAACGCAATTGTAGATACCCGAGATCAATAGCGCTTTGCTGCCCTTAAATCCAAGAGCTTCATACATGACGACCTGGTAATATCCAATGACGTCTGGATATTGTTAGCAAATATTATGTTGGTCCCGAGATTTGACCTACTGATTCCACTCAATTGGGTAAAAACTTGTACAGCCACGCCGTGCATCAATCTGGTCCTCCATTGCGGAACTGTGAACATGATCCTCCACCCTGGAACAGTGATTGCATTCTCAGCTGCTAGCGTCTGTTTGATTTCATTGAATTCGCTTTGGATCCAGTCTCCATTGTTGCCGTTATAATGGAGCTTCTGTAGAACTCTCATGGCTTCCTCCTCTCGATCGGTCGCCATAAGGTGACGAGGACTTTCAGGTAGGAAGAACATTCCGATAGCCAAAATCTGCGGCTTGTTAACATCTCTTGCTTCAATGCGCGTATGTCAGATTAAAAAAATAGAGAAACATACCACACAGGGCAGTGCCTGAAACGCAAGTGGGAACCGCCACTGGAAGCTTGTGTGATCTCCAGCTAATATGGTTAGCAAGACGGTGGTATTATTTTGGTGGAAGATATATACCATGATGTGCGCCATAGCCGACCCAGGTAGAACTAGAACGCTCAGATTAGAAACGAGGACGAATACTGCTGATCAACGGCGCTTACACAATGAAGCCGACTCCTATCATTTGCTGCGCCATACCAACAATCAACCCTCGAATGTCAGGATGTGCGCATTCCGATTGATAAACCTACAGAGCCATATCAGCATATAACATAACGTAGAATTCAAGAAACTTACAGGTACACTCATGCTGAGAAGTCCGACTGCCCATCCAGCCATAATTCGACCAACCAAGATCATAGAGAGCGACACAGCTGAAGCCTGGAGAATAGCACCCACAGTACATATCTGTTGTGAAAATCACCAAGTCAGTGAAATGCCTCGCCCGTATCCGTATGCCATATGTGAGACCCAGCAGTCGCACGACTGCTTTTCCCCGTCACTGCAATTGCGTGAACGTACAATAGCACCAATCTGTATGGTCATTTTCCGCCCAAATCGATCCATGGTCAAACCTCCCATTAACGACCCAAAGACCGCTCCTCCATTGAAAGTTGAGTTAATGGCACCGATCGTAGGTGACGTATTGGTGGTATTGAAATAATTCAGAAAGTTGTTGGAACCAATCACGTCTGTCATTACACCCGCATCGTAACCAAACATGAAAGAGCTGTCAAAGTCAATTAGCAGGTTACGAATCCACCGAGAGAGAAGTGTACGAACCCAGTGGCTGCAAATATGGACAGTGAGATATTGAAAAGTCTCCCCATCTTGAAGTAGCCGTATGAAACAAGACCAGAACAAAACGACCGAAAGTGCAATGTTTCAGTAAACAGCGACAGCTAAAGGTTAAATGCAGCTATACACAGGAAACAATCTCAACCTTCTTTCTCACCCTCACCCTAGCTTCATCGTATGAGAGACTTGCATGGTCAAGCTGCAGGAACTCCACCCCCAGATCTTCCCCGTTACCCCACCATTTCTCGGCCAACGTTCAAAGCATGGCGACTGGTTGGAGGGAATTGCCAAACAGTACGAAGCAACAGCGCCGGAAAAATTATACCGAAATATGGAGGCACAGTAAGCTGCAGAAGACCACAAGAAACGGTGTTTGTTCCACTATCGGACTCCTCGTGGGATAGAAACCTGCAACTGACTGCAAGATCGCCGGGGGAAAGAAGCTTGTATGACTTAGTTCTCAGATTCTTCTTTGCTATTCGAGCTCCAAGCCCATGATGGGGCTTTCATAACTGCATCGCGGGCCGCAGTTCCTGTAGTAAATTTGAAAACGGGGTGAGAAATAGAAAGAAGAATAGAGGAGGAAGCGCGGCTACCTTTTGCGTCATGTCTCGAGCAGACAATGTCCGTAAGTTCAAGTTTAAAGCAAAAGGGCCGAAATGAAGAGCGACAATTTCTCCACGGGTTGACTTGTTGAAAGACTTCTCCACGTCGGAAGTGGCAAAGACCTTCGGATTTCGAATGGTATGGCCTGTACGGGTTTTGAATGATTCGGACACTGCCATAGACAAAAGAAAACGGAATCCAACGCAAGCTATCTGTTTACAGAGATTATATGTTCGATCAGAAGTTCAAAAACTGCAAACCGATATGACAAGCTGCAGACCAAAGGTATCCGCAACTGCAAACCCGTGCCAGAACAGTGAAGGAAGAACCGTCAAAACCAGCCAGCACCGGATTTCTATAGTCGTGACTATTACTTTGTACGCATCGACTGTGTTGGTATTGATTTCGCGCTCTGGCTTCGATGGAGTATGGGCAAGTAGGAGGGAGCTGGAAGAGGAAGTGCGAAACACGTCACGTGCATCCAGCATGCTCGGGTCGCGTCATCGTCAACCGACTGGGAATGCGGGCGCGTCTCAAGATGCAACTCTCTCCACCTCCCACCATTCGACAGCTACGATAGCTACATCCCCGCCAATTGCTGCAACTCGTGTACGTTGCTGGCCGTAATCCGGCCTTTCTGCAGGTCGATCAGAGCTCCAATAATATATGCACTTTGCAGCTATGGAGCAGGTAGCTTTGAAGGTTTGTCAGGTAGGAGCTGTGTTGGAGCTGTTGGTATTCTGCAAATCGGTTGCGTTGCCTGCTCTTCCTTTTTTCTTTTTCCCTCCATCTGACTACCATTTTTCGTTCATTTGATTGTTTACTGGTGAAGAGCTGGAACTTGCCTTCAACATTCTCCGCTGAAGTTGCACTCCACATCATGAAGTTTCGTGATGGCATGTGGCTCGCTGCTGAGGGCAAGCGCCTGGAATATGCGGAAGAGGTATACTCGACGACTCGTTTGGAGGAGAGCAGAGGGTTGCGACTGCTATGCCCAACCAAAAAGATCATGCAGAGAGCAGATACGCTGAATCTGAGCACCTTGACCATAGTAGGTCCTTCACACCCTTCTCTGGAGCTCTAGCTGACAATACTAGGACATCGAGACTCCTTTCGACGGCGTTTTATCTATCGAAACCACACATTGGCTGGGGGCATTGAATCCAGGACCACACTTTGACCTATTTCCTGCTGGAAAACCGAGTACAAGGCACACAAGCATTACCAAAAGCCCAAAGTCAATGACAATATCCTCTGGCTCGATATCTGCAACGGTAAAAACGGTGGATCATGATTTTGATATTCGGTTTCATGCCACCGATGGATCGAAAGAGTTGACCTCTCTGCTGAACCGCAGTATTGGTCTAGCGTATGGTCCAGCACCTAGCAACCCAATGCAAACAGCAGATATGCGGAATCTCCACCACTACATCTTTACACAAACGACCTTATCGGTTGGCGAATCGGTACACGGATTGGGAGAGCGTTTTGGCGCATTTAATAAAGTTGGACAAGCGATCACGCTGTGGAATGCCGATGGTGGAACTTCTAGCGACCAAGCATACAAGAATGTCCCATTGTGGATCAGCTCAAGAGGATATGGTATATTCATTGATACGCCAGACAAGGTTGAGCTAGAGATTGGCAGCGAAAGATGCTGTAGGGTTCAAACAAGCGTCGAGGGACAGCGACTTAAATGGTAACACCAACCAACCCTGCGGGAGCCGCCACACGCACTGACAAGACCGCAGGTACATCATACATGGGCCAACTCCAAAGGAAATTTTGTACAAGTACTCCATCTTGACTGGCAAACCAGGAAAGGTTCCAAGTTGGAGTTTTGGTTTATGGTTAAGTACTAGTTTTACCACAAACTATGACGAGAAAACGGTCAATTCCTTCTTGGAGGGCATGAAAGCACGGGATATCCCGGTTGAAGTCTTCCATTTTGATTGCTTTTGGCTGAAGGCTTTTCACTGGTGCGATTTTGTATTCGACTCCGAGATGTTCCCAGATCCAAAAGCTCAAATCACGCGTCTGAAGGAATCAGGTAATTCTTCGCTGGCAATATATTTTTCTGCGTTATTAACATCTTCAAGGTCTCGTCAAGAAGGTCTGCGTTTGGATCAACCCTTACCTTGGACAGGTATCTCCAGTGTTCGAAATAGCCGCGAGTAAAGGATATTTGCTGAAGCGTAAAAACGGAGATGTCTTTCAATGGGATTTGTGGCAGACAGGCATGGGAATTGTCGACTTTACAAACCCGGAAGCGGTTGAATGGTATGTTGGTTGTCTGAAAGAACTCTTCGATAAGGGCGTCGACTGTATCAAAACGGATTTTGGCGAGCGCATTCCCAGCGAAGACGTCCAATGGCACGACTCGTCATTAGATCCAAGGAAGATGCACAACTATTACGCGTTTTTGTACAACAAGATTGTTTACGAGGCGCTTCAAGAGCGGTTCGGAGAAAACGAAGCTGTATTGTTTGCCCGCACCGCAACAGCCGGGACGCAGAGATTTCCTCTCCAGTGGGGTGGTGACTGCGAGTCGACACCAGAAGCCATGGCTGAATCAGTCCGAGGAGGTATATCTCTAGGTCTTTGTGGCTTCTCATACTGGTCTGTTGATATCGGTGGCTTCGAAGGTTATCCACCACCTTGGATCTACAAAAGATGGGTAGCATTTGGGCTCCTCTGCTCACACAGTCGTCTCCATGGAAGCAATTCCTTCCGTGTTCCTTGGACCGTTGACGAAGACGATACCTCCGATCAAGGCTGTTCCAAGATCCTCTCAACGTGGACTCTGCTGAAAGCCCGCTTGATGCCATACATCTTCGCTCAAGCCCAAGAGTCCGCTAATCTAGGCATCCCGCTCTCGCTTCGCGCAATGTGCTTTGAATTCCCCGAAGATTCCACATCCTGGTTTCTCGACCGCCAATTCATGTTCGGCTCCAACCTCCTCGTCGCGCCCGTCTTCGAGGAGTCAGGGAACGTAGAGTTCTACCTCCCAGCTGGGAAATGGACGAATTTCTTCACCAACGAGACGAAATCGGGGCCGGGCTGGTTCAAGGAAACGCATGAGTTTGACACGCTGCCGTTGTATGTGCGTGAGAATAGCATACTGGTGCTGGGGAAGGAGGGGGAGACGAGGACAGTTTATGATTATGCGAGGGATGTTGAGGTGAGGTTGTATTGCGTGAGGAAGGGGGCGAAGGCTACGGTGGTTGGTAGTGAGGGGAAGGAGATTGGAGTGCTGGAGGTTGGTGAGGATGGTGAGGTGGGGAAGCAGGAGTTTCTTGGTGGTGAATGGAGTGTTAGTAGGTTTGGGGGAGGAAAACAAATGTGACGTAGTAGTTGTTGAACACTAATACGGAAGAGTAATGGACTGATTGGAGATGAGATTTTTTGTGGTGCTAAAAGGGAAATGGCATGTAACAACCCTCTGTCCGGACAGTGTTAGTACCATGTACCTCCTACCTGTTAATCTACTATAACTAAGTGATAGATTTACTTTTTCGAGCTATAGGTATAAGCCAGAATGGAGCAGTAGTACAACTGCCTAGTTAGACTATACTACATGGCCTACGCAATTTGCTGATCGACCTCAGCCTGTTTACCTGCCCGAGACCATTTGAGCGACTATGTCCTTGGAGCCTGGAAGAACTTTAGTCTCACAAGTCCAAAGAGCGATGAGCTGAAGCTTTGTCACCTACTAGGTGCATTTGATCGAGTTGTTCAGCGTTGCTATAGTACAGGTAACCAGGTGAATTGTAATCCAATGGCTTACCATATACCCCTGCGCATGTCTTCAAAACGACGTAATTCACCATATTTTATAACATAATAAAAAGAGGAAATCAAACACGTTCAAAACTGTCATAGGTCAATTGTTTATCAAGCTTAAAAACGAAGAGAAAGAGGTTAGATAAGCAAAATCTAACAACCTTTCGCTTCTCTTGAATCGCAGTTTTTATTGCATATCCCACTCATTTGTATATTATTATGTAAGAGTTTATGAATTCGCAAACCCGTGAACGCTAGCCGTTTGGGTACTTCACATCAATCTGAAACTTGGTTTCAGGGGATAGATGACATAAGCCACAGCAAATTCCCATCATTGAGAGCACAGCAAATGGGAGGACCTGCACAATACCACAGCCAATAAACGCGGACTGCGGCCGTCTCACCACATCATTTAGTGCAACTTCGTGCTTACTTCCCACAATTTTCACTCCTGTTAAGAGTCTTTTTCAACCCAATAATTCTTTTATTTGATAAGGGTCACCGCTCTCTATCCGCTGATCGACACCGTCAAGCTTCCTCAGACCACTAGAAACAAGGAGCTACATTCGAAATGTTGCAGGGACTAGAGTTTGCTAGAGCATTTGCGATTTTGGGCAAGTGCATTGAATATGCCTCAATCTTTGGACTCGCGGCATTCTGTTATCGTATGTATCAAGTGCGGATGCTCATTAGGCGCGCACAGAAGGATTATGGTGTAGTAAGTCATATCTGAAAATGGTGTTCTTACGAGTCGTCGGTGAGATGACGACCGGAAGGAATTTCGAACTCTGGGAATCTTCACTAAAATTGGAGCATGTAGCCTATGATACCTCACTCGTTTATTTTTGGTCATCTGATTGTCGCTGCCAAATTGCATATGAAGCGCAAGATTCCACGAGATGTGAGTGCCCACCCACAAAACAACCCTTTGGTTTGTTTCTTTTGCATGAAAGTGGTATATATCCTGTCGCAGCGTCTCCAAGGCCGACTAGGTCTGATAGTAGAAATTAATGGAGTGAAGTTACTGACGCGTACCGCAGTTGCATGGCCACTGGATGTTTACACTTTTGAAGGAAGAGTTTCCCGAGATCACAAGCTGTGGTGTCATTTACTTCGACCCCTGGCCAGTAGGGTTTCCCATGATGGCCGTGGTACACCCAGGCATGATCTCGCAGTTCACTATGTCCCCTAGCCTGCCCAAGTTCTTTTGGATGCGGGAGACAGAATTTCGTCATTTCAGTGGCGGAGTTGACCTTCTTACCAGTGAAGGCCAAGTATGGAAAGAACAGAGAGCCATGTACAACCCTGGATTTTCGGCGAAAAATATCATTTCTATGGCGCCTTGGTTTCTTGAAGAGGTCCTTATCTATAAAAACCGACTTTTCAAGGCTGCAGACCAACGAAAGACAATCAGGCTAGAGGACTATACCCTGGATCTTACCATGGACGTGATTGCTCGGACCACATTGTTAGTGATATCAAACCTTGTAAGCAGATTTTTTGCTGACTTAGAGAAGTAACGTGCGGACAAGAGCTCAGGACCAGGCAGAACCAGCTTGGGTAGACGCTCTCCGAGAGCAAATAAAGCTGATCTATTTCAACCTCGACCCTATGAAGCAGCTAAACCCAACGCTCGGTTACAAGCACCGGAAGTACAACCGAATCCTCAAAGAGGCCATAACCCCTTTAATTGAGGATGCATATGCTAGCTACGCGAAGGCAGACGGTCCCCGAACAATCATTGGCCTGGCCGTTAAGCCATTCGTTGAGAAAGGAATTTCGATTCCCCCGGATTTCATCGACAAGATAGTCAAAAACATCAAGATGTTTCTGTTCGCCGGCCACGAGACAACAGGCACCACCATTTCCATGATGTATTATATGCTGCACCGTAATCCTGAGAAGCTCGCAGCTTTGCGCGCCGAGCACGATGCTGTTTTTGGTTCTGACCCTGCCCAGGCCATCGAGGCCATCCAAGCAGATTTCACGACCCTGAACAAGCTACCATACACGACGGCGGTGGTCAAAGAGCTCTTGCGAATGTATCCGCCCGTTGGAGGCGGCGTTCGAGAATCATCGTCGCCAGATTTCATGCTCACCCATCCAGAGACAGGTGCTCGGTTTCCCACTTATGGACTCATGATACATGCAACTGGCCTGGCTATGAGCTGGGACCCTAAATTTTGGCATAGACCAGACGAGTTTATTCCCGAGCGGTTCTTGGTCCGTGATGAGAATGATCCATTGTATCCTGGTAAAAACTACTGGCAGGTAAGCAGATTCTCATAATATGGTACTACTGGGATTAAGGGGAGCTCGGAACTTAGAGGTCCCTCTCAGGGGCGGGAATTGCTTCAAACTTGCTCCTGACGGCTCTTGATAACTTGAGCTGTGCTTCTAGAACTAGTTCTCATTGTGCTAATAATTTGTAGCCTTTTAGTCTTGGGCCGCGGGCCTGTATTGGTCAGGTAAGATATTCAGTCCCTACAAATATGGACCCAACCGGGAAAGGAAGTTGACTTGAAGTGACATAGGAAATGGTGCAGCTCGAAGTTAAGCTTACTCTAGCTTTGACTATTCGTGAGATCGATATAGTGCCAGACTATCCTGAAGACGCCCCAGAATTCAAAGGAGAAAAGGCGTATCAGGTGGAGTTAGCGGATGCCATCCCATCTGCGAGGATTAAGGATGGGTTACCTGTGAAAATAAAGCGAAGAACATAAATCAATATTCTAGATAGAGATCTGTAGTGTTATAAGAAAGGCTATTATATTTTGAAAGCTCTAACCTATAAATATATAGTACTCCAAGTTAAAGCACAATGTAAATAGATTAGTAAATTGAATATTTAGCTTACGGTGATCTCAATAAAATCCTATTTTGTTTTAGATAAAAGGTAATCTTTCAAAACAATAGAAAGTGCACTCTGGTAGCCTGCAACAAAACACACAGCACAACACACATATGTATTATTTGAAAATATATGAAACAAGGTTCTCTTATGTACAACATCATGCCCCAGCCAGCTAGGCAAGCACCTCACTCTCCGTTACATACTGTATTGAAGCCTTGGGTACACCCATGTTGAAACATCTTTGTAAGTACAGCTCCATCAGTTTGAGAATCGCAATACTCCAGCTTCAACCCCTCCACGTGCAAATCATGACAAACCATGATCATCGCCACAGCTTCCACAAACTCCAAAATTCTCTTCACATGGGTATCAACTAACTCCCGTACACCATCCATCAAATATGTACCACTGAAAACAAAACAAACGAAATCGTGCTAAAAAGAATGACCAAAAAAGTTTAAAATCCATCACAAGCGCCTCGATTGATACTAGCGGCATTACTCGGGATCACACCAGCAGCAACAGCTTCTATTACACATCTTAGCATCGCATCTCATCAACCGCCAAATGTACCTCTCCCGACAAGAAGCAAGGACAACATACCTTGATACGACCACCGATAATCACCCAACTGCGTTTTCCAGCTCCAAAAGATCCAACCATTGGTATCACGCTCGTAGCGAATGATCTGCGCGGCAAACCAACGGTTATAGAAGTCTTTGTTGCTGTCCGGGTGCCAGTCACCGTTCCATTGGACGTTGTCGGGAACGGAGAGAGAGAATTCGCCGACGATGGTTGGCCAGTTGCTAATAATCTTGGTTAGTATTTGTGGATATTGGAATGATTTGTTTTCGGAGGCTTGTGGATGAACTGAAATTCATACCTGAAGCGGTTGTTGCGACATGCATCAGCAATGTAAGCATTTTTATTTACTGCGACGCTTGAATCCCACTTTGCGTATCTAGAACATGTGTTAGATGTTTCTGGTAAAAGCAAAGGGTATAAGGATAGACATACCGATGATCATCATAAGCCATGAATTGTTTGTCAGTCAGAAAGGTCTCGGGATTTCCTGAACCCCAGAGCGTATTCATCACTTGAACGTGGAGGGATTGATCGCCGCCGATACCAATCTTTGCTTCTCGAGCGCGGATGGCCTAATGAAACATGAGCATTCTGACTTTCAAAATCCCAAGCACTGATGTTGGAACTTACTGCATATGCACCTGGGTAGTACTGGTCCAAAAGCCCAGTCGTTACACTAGGATCCTGAGAAGGTTCATTCAAAATCTCCAACATACCAACAGTGCGGAAAGCAGGCCAGCGATGAATGACCTCAGTGATCCAAGAAAGCATTTGATAAGCACGATCGTATTGCCACGGCTTATAAAACCCCGCATTTGGTGCATACTATTGTCATATCAATGAATGTGAAGATACATTTTCATTTTGATATAACATACCTGGCCTGTAAATGGTTGGTTTGCTTGCTGTGCTCCAGGTGCCGCGTGAAGATCGATAATGACATACAACCCCGCTTGAGCAGCCCATTCACAGATTTGCTCCAGATATGGAAATGCGACGTGGCCGTGGGGAAAATGTTCGCTGTCCCAGTAGATGATCGGTTCGAAGAGCCAGTATCCAAGTGGAATACGAATAGTATTGAGACCATATGATTTGATGCGTGCAATGTCGGCTTGTGTGATCCATGTGCTGTAATGTTGTTGGAACACTGCATCAGCTCGGTCCTGACCGATGCCGACGACGCAGTCGAATTCGGATTTGTAGGGGCCGCATCCCATGTTATTCCATTGACCGGATGCCATCCATGGCTCGAAGACAAAGAGGGAACCTAGATTGACGCCACGGATCTTGTCAAAACCAGGGAGGTTTCGTTTGGAGAATGTCGAGTTTCCGGGAGCATCGTGGATAGATTGATTAAATTGATTAGCATCTCTTATACCGTCAGGCAACCAAGCATGTATTCCTGTAGCCAGAATCCCCAGGAGAATAAGAGCGGGTTTGTTCAAGAACAGCATTGGAAAGGAATGTTGAAGTTAAATTAAAAGTGTTAAAGGTTGAATGCAAAGAGTACACGTACAAACATGCAAAAGGAGTGGTTGCAAAGGAGTGTGATGAGATTTCCATCTCCCAGCGGCGAGGGGTCCTACATATTATAGACACGTAGATGCTGGGTAAGACGCCCATGATTCTAGAACCACAATAGACTTTCGACAGCCAAGTGAATGAGGTTAGATCGAAGGTGCTGAAAGTGATTGCGCCATGCGGTCCGCGGGCACGGCTGTCACATTAGACCCGGGAATTAATGGAATGCGATGCGAGTGGAAGTCGGTCATTGGTTAAAATAGGAGATATAAGGCAAATGACTTGTGCATCCGGGAGATTGTCTTCCTAGTTCATCATTTGATACCAGTGAGTGTTGAATAACCCTTTGAATTTATTTTGCTATCATATTCAGCGTTACATGATGGTATGATTGTGTACGAATCATTCCTGGTGGAAGTATTTCATTCCATGAAATATTGAGGTCATTCCAACAAACTTTGGCTATGATATTTGGCGTGTGATGTGTAACGCTGCTCAAGAACAAGTGCAACTGTGAATAAACTTCCACCAGCGGAGACAGATTTTAAAAAGTTAAGTAATGGAGGCCAGGTGTATAACTTCAAAATGTAGAAATGACTTTAAAATGGGAGAATATTCGGTCCGGGCCATTTTTGGCGATGAATGTTGGGCCAAAAGAAGCAAGTGAGGTTGAGATATCTCGCCTGCTGATTTTACCACGGGTTCGGTCAGGCCCACCCGATGCGCCTACCAATCAACTGCCAGAACGGGGGTACGCCTCATCCAGTATGAGCCACTTGTGAAATGAAGGTTTGTGTCGCTCGACTTCTCTCGTCCAACAACTCCATTGTCTTCGCTACACGCATTACCATCCAACCTTTCTACAGCCCCGTGCCCTGAACATTTCTTCACCACTAATGTTTCAAGTTATATTGAATTGACTTCCTTTTCGTGGTTTGACGTTATGGCCCAGCTTGGAACAAGCTGCCGGATAGGAGGTGTTGCGCTTCAGCGGCTTGTATCCGACGATGTGGGAAGAGGAACGATCTTGTTCGATGGAAGAAATAACCCAACATGTTTTATAGTGTTTCTATCGGAGGAACCTATCTCTTTCCCCTCCAGTCTAGGCTATACCCGGTGTTAGTTTGCGATGGGTAAGTAATGCGACTTTAATCTAGTTGGCCTTTGAAGTTGCTTTCGAGCCAAGAATCAATTGTTTGCTGCCCAGGTTGTCCAACAACTCAATTGGTTTGAGACTTGTGATTGTCTTATTAGAACCAAGTCTCAGCGCCACTGCTTATGCCTGAGGATCTGGGTTTCCATCCCTACTCATCTGAACTAGTGTAGTGAGAGGGCTTGCTTATCAGGAGAAACAGGCTTCGATTTTGACCCCTTACGCGTGCATGCTGTTTTTGATTGTAGCCATGAACAGAGATTCTCAGCTGCGAATGTGTAGATGAATCGGAGGAAAGTTCAAAGATATGCAACGGACACCAGCATGGGTGTGGACTGTTGGACGTAAAATCTTGTACCCCGGGTGTTGAACCATATTCGGAGAATTGTAAAGGCTCCAGAAGGCCTTCAAGCACACACATGTACATCATTGATGTTGACTCCGTTAGGGCGAGCTTTCGAACATACAAAGCAGTCAAGGTTCCACTCGGATTGCGCACAACATCTGTGGCGGGTTCCGAATTCAAGAGTGCTAGGGTTGGTAGGTCTAAAGAACATCACGCAATTCTAGCGACATTCTTCTAGGTTTGCATCAATGATGATTCTTCATTCGCGTACTTGCCGTGGAAGAAACGAGCTGGTCAAAGCTACTGAAAATACCGTGATACAAGCTTCGGAGCCACCAAGTATACCGCCATAGCAAGGACTGCGACTCTTACGCCTGTAGCAATCCACACCCCCTGCCTTGCCAGGTCGTAGTACCCCTCCAGCATAATTCCAACGGCATACGATCTTGTTTGATTTTTGCCTTTCAGTGTAGGTGTTACTTTCTCATTCCGCCTACCCGCGCTTGATATGTCGGAATTCGTTGCAAGTGCTTGAGTCTCACCGTCCATAGCTGTTTGACTAACTCCCAATCTTGCCTCGTTTTCCCGCTTGAGAGACCTAGTTAGGAGATGGATAATGAATCTGACATCCCAAGTAGTAAATGTTGGATATGACCAAAGCTCGATTGCATTATGTGGAGGTAGTTGTTCTAGGAAGTCTGCTAACATCCCAAGAGTAAGTCCCCATAGCAGAAGTGGTCGCGTTTCCGGCGAAACGGCATTGCTCCCAAACCACCACCTGCGCATTTGTGCGTGCCATGTGTGTGAGAGAGGTGCATCGTCGGCGAAGAATTCAGCAGTCGAACTGCAAAACAAAGACTCGGAAGGGATAAGCCTAATGGCAGAGAATCGCATATGTCCCACCATTGAACGGACCAATGTCTTCATCACCGGCCCTCCTTGTCGCGTGAACCTGTCCGACACATCGGTGTATTCGGATGTTCGTGACGAGGGAGATAGCAGTATTCGTAGAGGAACCCAGTGCGTTGATGCGACTTCGTTGGGTTGAAGTTTGAGAGGAGGTACGTCGGGTTGAGTCCAGAGGAAAACGAACGGACAGAGCACCATGATACTGGTAATGTTAGAAGATGAAATATGCGCAGTATACAATACTTACGGAACTTTCCCCCAAGATGTGCTGACAACCCTTTCTGGGAGATTCCCTACGAAGAGAGCATTGGGAGAGTTGAGATCCAGCCCAATCTCCTCCGCAGTTTCTCGAATCGCAACAGCTCTATCATCTGCATCCTCAGCATCCCTCTTCCCACCCGGCAGAGCTACATGGCTGGTCCATCGATCTCCTTGTCTAGCTGCCCTCTTGATGAAAATGGCTTCCGGGTCTCCGCGTTGTACCCATTCTTGTTCGAAGAACTGTTCGAGCGACCGAGGAGTCGCGCGCGCGGGATCGTCGTGAAAAGACTGACGGACGCGGAGAATGAGGGCAACAGAGGCGCGTTTCTTACAGTTCTCTGGATTCGAAACGTGAGGATATGGATTTTCGGAAAGGTTGATGAGGGTGTTGCGAAGTGCGCGGATCAAGTCTGCGTGGGAAGAATTGTCGGGCGCCATGGAAGAGTGAGGGGTTGATGCAGCCACGAAATCCAAATCACGGACACCCAACTCCCTAGGTTGGTCGCAACTTAAACTTCTCTTGCTTTCTGAGGCCGATCAATCCTCAATCCAGCTTTTCGACGAACATTGTTGATTTTACACTATCAATAATAGATTCACGCCAGCACGGAAGTTCACGCAGTGTCCAACATCAGCTATACAATTCGCACCAACACAACCTTCGAACCAAGGCAACAATATGTTTGATTCTGCCATTGCGAAAAGCTCACAAGATAATACGAGTTATTGCCCGAAGCTACATTCCAGTCCGTTTCTGCTGCGCAATTGGGGAATTCATCTTGCATACGGTCACCATTTTACTTCTTCTGCCCAAGTTTGGAATCAATTTCATCACAAACAGCTTGAGTCACTTCAATCGTAGTGGCAGAACCACCCAAATCCGCTGTCATGATGCCCTTTTCACAGACATCCTCAACAATTTCCAGCAATTGATCTGCAGCTTCCTTCTCACCAAGCCATGATAGCATTTCACACGCAGTCCAGAACGTAGCTACGGGGTTGGCTGGAAGATGTGTTAGCTCTCTCTTTTCCTGCCGAACATCAAGACACTGGAGCATTCTCACCGATTCCTTTCCCCGTTATATCGAATGCGGATCCATGGATGGGCTCGAACATGGACGGGTTTTCTCGAGTTGGGTCAAGATTACTCGTCGGTGCAATTCCAATGGATCCAGCCAGAGCAGCTGCAAGATCCGAAAGGATATCTGCATGCTATCAAATAATCAGCACTGCCAACTTTTGCTTTCCAGTCGGAATTTCTCACCAAGTTTGTAGCAACAATTGTATCGAGGCTCTCTGGCTTCAACACCATTCTTGTGGTCATGGCATCGACCAACATCTTGTCGACTTTCAAATCCGGGAAGTCCTTAGCCACCAAAGCAGCAATCTCGTCCCACATGACCATTCCATTTCTTTGAGCATTGCTCTTGGTCACGACAGTAATATGCTTCTTCGGGCGAGATCGTGCGGTTTCAAAAGCAAATCGCATGAGTCTTTCGACACCATGCCGTGTGAAAATTGAAACTTCAGTTGCAGTCTCCCATGGTTGACCTTGATGAGATCGTCCACCATGACCAGCATATTCTCCTTCACTATTCTCGCGAATAATTACCCAGTCCAACTGACCCGTCTTACAATTCCTGAGAGGAGAATGAGTTCCTCTGAACACCTTGGTAGGGCGAACATTTGCATATTGCTGCAAAGGTTGACAGATTGCTAGGCGGAGTTGCCACAGCGAGATATGGTCTGGAACATCTACAACGCAGTTAGCAAAAGCAAAAGTCAAGCTAAAGCGGAAAACCGACCAGGAGCCCCAACAGCGCCAAACAAAATTGCATCAAAAGTTTTCAATGTCTTGAGAGCGTCATCAGGCATATACTTTCCGGTTTTCTTATATCTATCGCTATTCCAGTCAAAATTCGTAAAGTCGAGCTCAAACGTATCTAATGTGGTTGCAATCTTTTTCAGCACGGCGATGCCCGCATCGATGACCTCTGGTCCAATCCCATCTGCTGGAATAGAAGCAATACGATAGTTGGAACGCTTGACAGCTGAAGGGCTCATTCTGTTTTGGCTGGGACTGATTGAGTGATGAATAAGCTCGAGCTGAATTGAAGAGAAATTTTGACAATCCGAGATGTGAGTAGAAGAATTCCGATTCTCTACAATTGACTCCAGGAAGATGAATCAATATATTTCAAGACGGTTGTCGCGGGCAGAAAACCGCAGCCACTCTTGGCATCTGGGAAGATGAGTCGGCCTTGTCGAGTTTTGGTGCCGGGAGAAGAAGAGTTACGGAATGGCAGACCAATGAAAATGCAAATGCCACGTCTTCGAACCAACTGATAATAGACTAGCCAATTGCTTAGCTCAGTCATAGATCCGCCGAGACGGAGAGCACGCCGATATACATCCGCTCTCGAAGAAAATTGACGAACGAAGAATTTCAGGTCACTTCTTCCAATGACTTAAAAAGAAATATCTCTTTGATAAATACACATCTGAGTATCGTTTACAGTGTAAGCATTTAACTACCAGCTGACCAGTCGTAGTTGAGTTGAAAAAGCGTACATGATTTCAATATATTAATTTAAATTCTAATATATCGCTATGCTTTGGAAGGACGACGCTGATCATGTTCGATACCCGCGGTTCCTTTGTCATTCATCTCGTCAAGTACCTTCTGGATCGCTTCTCCAACCTCGTTGTTGACTTTGTTAAACATCTCCACCGTCGCAGCTTGCACTTCTGGTTTGGCTTTGCACAGATGGCCTGCTAGATTCTTCGCGAAGTTCTCATCCTCGCCATTACGCTTGAATAGTGACCATAATGCTCGTGGTTGCTCAAAGTCTTCATCTGTTACTTCTGAAGAATAAGACATTACTTTGCCTACCCAGTGATCATGGGCAACATCTGGTGGACCAAGACGCATTTTCTTGAAACTCGACCCCACTGCAATGAATTAGCGCACGCAATCAACTCGACCGATTGAGTAATCCATACCATAATCTGGATCGCCATCATAGTTTCCATCCATGCGCATTGGCCCGTCCCGCTGATACGGCGAATACACATATTGTGCGCGATTGCAAGGCAATTGCTGATAATTTGGACCTACCCGATACCTGGCTGCATCTGGATAACTGAACATGCGAGCTTGCAGCATGATATCCGCACTTGCAGCAATACCCGGTACAAGAGTACTTGGACTGAATGCCGCTTGCTCGATATCTTGGAAGTGGTTTTCAGGGTTTCGGTTCAGCGTCAGACGCCCAACTGGCCTCAATGGATAGTCCTTGTGTGGCCAAATTCGAGTAATGTCGAAAATGTTCCAGCGATAACTTTCCGCATCTTTTGGATCCATCACTTGCAAATACATCGTCCACGTTGGATAATCGCCGCGCTCGATTGCATTATACATGTCCTTGACATGGTAATCTGGCTCGGTTCCTGCAAGTTTTACCGATTCCTCTTGGGTGAGTGTTGTTACGCCGGCATCAGGCTTGAACTGGATTTTACAGTACTTGAAGGTATTCTCTCCGGGTTTACCAAACTTGAATGTGTGGTTTCCGTACCCATTGACATTGCGAAGAGATGCTGGTACTCCACGACCGCCAAACAACTGCATCAGGCAGTGCACACCTTCCTGGTTGTTGTTGTGAAAATCCCAGAACATATTAGAATCTGGCACATCGGTTTGAGGATGTCTTTTGTGGGAACGGTTAAGACTGGGGAACTTTACGGGATCCCGAATGAAGAAAACTGGTAGATCGTTACCAACGAAATCCCAGTTCCCTTCTTCTGTGAACATCTTCAGTGCGAATCCACGAATGTCTCGCGCTGTGTCTGACGAGCCCTTCTCTCCTGCCACAGTTGATAACCGTGCAAGGACCTTGGTCTTCTTGCCCACCTCGCTCAGAAACGCAGCGGAGGTGACATCTGAGATATCATGAGTAACCTCGAACTCTCCCCAAGCACCAGCAGCTTTAGCATGAACGACCCTACGTTGATAAATGAGCGTTGGGAAACAACCAAGTCATCTGGGATAAACATACCGTTCTGGAATGCGCTCTCGAGGGAAATGAGCCAATGTTTCCAGAAGCTGGGTATCCTCGAGTAGCGAAAGACCGCCGGATCCTGGTGTGATACCTTTCAGAATCACGGATGCAGAAGGGTCACCGACAGGGCATCCTATAACAGTTAGTAGGTATCGCCAACCTGGACGGCCAAGAGACTTACCTTCTGCAAGTGTGTATACGGGGTTATCTTCCTGCGCCTCTGTTAGTCGTTTTCGTGACAATGGATATTTCTACTGCTGGATCAACATCTACATACCGAAGGCATATTTTCGCTTGTTGATATTTATTTTGAAGTCCCAGGAATTCAAAGGACAAGCCGCCAATTCGCAAAAAGTGGCTTCTATATGGACTCTATTTTTACATTTTGGCAACGTCATTCAAGGTGAGGTCACCTTGTAACTGTGGGATTTATTATATATCACATTTCAGCATTATCTCGCAGCCATACATATAATGATTATTCTATTGCTGTTTCGTGCAGGCAGTTGATTTTTCAGCGTATCAGAATTGATCTGTCGGCTCCGCTTTTTCCGGGGCTCTAGAATTCAACCACACGTCACCCGAGACTCAATCACCTCGTTCTCAACACCACCACTACGACACTTGAAATGTTTTCATGCGGCTGGGAATTTTCCGTTCATGAAACTATTCGCTGTGAGTCGCATACCTTGTATGAAAACCTCGTCGTCGCTGAACCTCAGTGGATCTTCAAACTCCACTATGGGCGACGTACAATTGCCGGGTGGTACTCTGCAACGTACCAAGCGCTATGAGGGATACATCGATGCAACATAATAGAAAGCAGCCTCTGATGTCTGAATGCGTAAATACTGTCGCACTTTGTCTACATCTTTCACCGAATCAGCTTGCGTAGTAACTATGCCAAAACTTCCCACGAGGAGCTGCCTGAGAACTTTTACTCACACGTACATCCAACTCTCACGGGCACTTTTGAAGTGGCTACCGGTACATCTGGTGCTCCCAAATTCATTCACTCACTCAAAAAGTCGAAGAAACAAGTCGATTTGGATCATTGAGCCAAATGCTCACTACACCCGAGTGCTAATATTTTACTAGCTATGTTCCAAATTCCAACATATCTGGCCAAGCCAGGGCATATTCTCTAGCTCTGAGTCGAATTGCTCCCGATGGAACTATTCTCGTTGCCCGTCATTGACTTGTTCCAGAGCTTGCCTATCAACGAGGGCTGTGCAAAATATCAAGTTTATCAGCATCTGCCTTTTGCTACACAGGGATTATGGGGGCGACAGAAGACTTCACCTCTTTCATCTGATTTGCATAGTTCTCTTCGTGGCTCTGCGTCCCAATTCCTGCAACACCGTTGAGTTTGCTTCCCTCCGGCTGTCCGCAAATGGTTATTAAATGATATCTGAGATTGAACTGGATAGGAAGCATTACATTGTTTCTCTCTGGGTCGTCTTTTAAGCTTGCATGACCTGGTTTGCTCGTACCAGCTCCACCTCCTTTGTTGAAAGCAGCCTCAACGTTCTTCATTCCTGGGGTATTCATGATAATGTGATTTCCGTGTTTTTGGTCAAAAGAGTTTGGTTAGATGTGCTCAAGGAAACATGCGTCTTTTTACATCCATTTCAACTGTTACGTTTTCAAAAACATCGTGAGAATGACGTTCCCAGAAAATCTCTGATTCCTTCTGATTTTCGAGGTCACTTTTAATTATCGTGGTCTCTTTGGTCTACAGAAAGCTTCCAGGAAGCAATCAGAATGCTGGAAAGTCACAAGAGTTACATTGACGGAATCGTTTCTCCTCTCCCTGGCATTGACCTTTGCATTGATTCGTTCCGGAAATGCAGTCAGTTTGACCAAGTTTGAAATTATATGACACTTTTCATTCGACGTCATTTCTTACATTTCTTGTGTGTGAGGCGATTAATTGTCTTAAGCAATGGGAGATGATTTACATCTTGGCGACTAGAATTCTAGAGGCCCGGACTAAGATCTCCACCTTGTCAATTGTTCTCGCACGTTCTCCTCCGCGACCCCAACAATTGTCTGCTCGCTCCCGATTCGCACACGTTTTGCGTGCACTGCCAGAGGCGAACAACTCCTTCGACTTGCCAACATTTCATGGTTTCACAATTGCTGAGCTTCTTGTTTATTCTTGGTAACATCGTCAGAGGAAATGCGTGTTGCGAGATGACGAGAGAAATCACGAGCCTGATCGGAAATTTTTGTAGAAGATTACATCAACCCTATGAACGCATTACATCAGATGCAACGTCTCCAATTGTGTATATAGAGATGCAGTCCACACTGTAGGTTTCTTCTTCTTCAATTAACACGACAGATAAGTCTTTTATCATCTCGCAGTCTATTTTCAATCTTTCTATACTACAGCTTTCAACCATCAACATCTCAAGCCAGACGTCGATTCTATCAATCGCTACTATGGCGTTCGAACGGCGCAACAACGCGCTCGACATCAACCCACCAAACGCAGACCGAAAATTAAGTGAACATGGTTCTGACTGGTTATGGGCGGTTATGGCCGTGTTTGGAGTTGCTTTACTCTCCTGGCTAGCATGGACTTTACTTCGATTTAAGTCTCGAGCAGTTGCAAAGACACCCAAACATCACGAAAATGGAGCTGGAAACGCTGGTGTACATGGAACTGCCGCTGCTGTTGTTCCAGGTTATGGGGAACGAATCTTCCACTATCTCTGGGCTCTTGCTGCATTCATCGGTCTCATCACATACTTCACCATGGCATCAGACTTGGGCAACACACCTATCCGACAATACCTCCATCATGGCTCAAACCCTCTGCAGACTCGTCAAGTCTTCTACGTACGCTACATCTATTGGGCTTTGGCTTGGCCTCTCATTATCACCGCCAATCTCCTCCTCGCTGGTGTCAGCTGGGCAACAATCTTTTTCGCCATTGCCCTACAAGAGATCTGGGTTGTATCATGGCTTTGTGGTGCTCTTGTTGCTACTAGCTACAAGTGGGGATACTTCGCCTTCGGTATCTTCGCATACCTCGTCCTCGCATATGTCATGATGGTCTGGGGTGTCCAGCACGCAAAGCGCATCCGCACAAACAAGGACTATACTCTTCTCGCAGGAACACTGGTGTTGTTGTGGATTGCCTTCCCAATCGCATGGGGCTTGAGTGAGGGAGCCAACAGATTGTCCATCACGGGCGAGATGATCTTCTACGGTATTCTCGACCTCATCGCTGTCCCAGTGTACGGAACATTGTTCTTGATTTACAGCCGTCGTTTCCATCCGGGTCTGTTCCATTTCACCCAAGAGGGACGTGTTACTGGAATTAATCATGTCGACTCGTTTGCCTCCGGCAACCATCAGGGAGGTGTCGTGCAAGGTGGAGTTTGAAGCGACGATACCATGTGATTGTGCGAGTGCAGTTGTAAGATAGTCGGATTTTTTTAGCGATGGGCTTTCGAGATTGGGGTCTTTGGATGTCAAGTGTGGATGATGATTGTATAATACTTAATAATTTCTATATCTCTTGTGTCGAAAAAGATTCATTATCTGAAATTTGTAACTCTCTATCTTGATGTCTCGATCTGTGATTCAAAAAGAAGTTCATCAAGTGTTTTTGAAGTGTTTTTGTTTTCTTGTAGATTCTCCAGAACGTTTTGTGTAAGAATACTCTCTAAACCTGGAATGGAAGATGGCCTGCCAGAAGATGACAAAAAAAAGGGGTTTGAGATTTGGAGGCCTAGAGCTTTCTAGTCCTACGCGACTAGCAAACACCCGTTGTATACGAAAAAAAAACACTCCTTTTGGATAATAGATTTGTGCAATGAACTATTGTTAAGCGAGGTCAGGACTACGTGAAACTTTTACGAATTGTTCTAGTGCGGAATACTTCTTTCCTAATGTGGACTTAAGCCCCGTATATCAGGGCTAGATACCACCTACTATTCGACTTAGCGGCGGATCTTAGGCGTGACGGTCAATATTACGGATTGATATGGCCAATCTGTATACCTTTAAAGTGTAAAGATAGGCCACTGTGGTACTTACTTCACTGAATCTCGCTTCTTGCGAGGATAGTAGTGATTATTACGAGAGCATTGGACTTCTGATTCATCATATGTCGGAGAGTTCATGTGGCACCACAAGAATAATTTCACGTATACATTGAGGTTTTGGGAGTAGTGAATTGCAATTAATACTGTGGTAGGATTAAGATATATCAGATTATTTATGCCACACGACTGCTGTTAAAGTGCTATTCACATCACACGGCAAGTTTTTGAAAATAGAGATTCTGGCAGGAATAATGCTAAATATTTGAATTTGACTTCTCGCTCTGATTCGGGTCAGGGTTCGAAGTGCTCTTTGAAACACCATCCATAAAACGGTCTTAATTTAGTCTGACTGACAACTAGCTTTTGTCTCTCTACAAATGATTTCAGCTGCTTTTTCAGCAAAAGCATAAACAGCTGTCAGAATGTTTCCTCGTGGTATAATTGGCAAGACACTGGCATCGCAAACCCTTATATTGTTCGTTCCGTATACTTTTAGGCGTTCGTCGACCACGCCCCTAAGTTCTTCTTTCATCATTGAGCAAGTGCCGCATGGATGATAATTGGTTGCTGAGTTGATTGGGAGTATTTTCTTGGCATCTTCCAGCGACGATATCGGGTGTGGGAAGCTTCGAGGTAGTCTCCTTCCACCAGGCTTGGCCATGGCGAGAAACGTCGGTTGTTGGAAGAGTCTTTCAATCAGGCGCAAGTGACGAGCCAATATCTCAGTGTCGAGCGGATGACTGAGGTAATTAAAGTTGATTACTGGCCCAATGGAAAGATCAGAGGATATGTGACAGCTTCCGCGTGAGAATGGATGAGCTAGCATGGCTACGACGGTGACATAATTGCCAGGTACGATCGATGGTGTGCCTTTGGGAAGTGAGTCGGTGTCTCGATTACGTTGAGTGCGAAGCATGAATGTGGTAGCCGTCGCTTCGTGAGGGTTTTCACTCGTCTTTTGAATGAAGGCATACTGGGCTTGTAGGCTTGGGCTGCTTGTTTCCTCGACCAAATGCCGCACCATTTCCGTAAGCTGTTGCGTCTCTGACTGGGTCTCTAGCATCTGCAAAGGGGTAAAGGCAAAACTGTATGCTGCTCCCTCCGACAGTCGGCCAGTGCGGCTTTGCTCATACTCCAATAATGCAGCCTTTTGAACTTCAGGATCCCGGTACACATTGTCGCGAGTGGGGACGTCATCATGAGTTTCGAATGACAAGCTACAGTTCAGATGATCTTGAAGGTTCTCACCAACTCCTGGAAGTTCGTACAAGACTGGGACATCTGCGGCTGCGAGTACCTCTTTGGATCCGACACCCGATCGTTCTAAAATCAGAGGAGACTCAAACACGCCTGCGCAGAGAACAATTTCACGCCCACTGATAAAATGTTCCTCTCCTTGGTGTGTGTACCGAACACCTGTAGCATTAAGCTTTCCTCCGGTCAACACTTTATCAAATACGATCTTGTCAACTTTTACCCCTGTTCTCAAAGTCACATTTCCTCGCTTCAACGCGGGCTCCAAGAATGCTGTACCAGCATGGCTTCGCTCGCCTTTTGAAGCATCAATCGCATTAGTAACCATGACTGGTCCAACAGAACTCTCGGTGAAGCCAGTGGCAACTGCCGTATGGCCAAAGTCCTCAAAGACTCTCATCCACTGCGATTGCAGAAAATCTATGGAGCGAGGGAATGATGTCTGTACACGATCCGGAGACTCTTCATCATGATTCGCTTTGGTTTGAGAGTTTTCATCCTGCCACCGCGCGTAACACTCTTTCATTCCCTCTGAACTCCAATCATTCACCCCCGCATCGGTTAAAAGCCCCTTTGCCAGACGATCGTGCCACTCGTAATTAGGAAACACAATACTGTGACTGTTGATCGCACTGGTACCGCCCACCAATTTCCCTCTGGGATGTTTTATGCTCCTCTCATTCAAGCCCGGCTCCAGCCCTGTGGAATACTGCCAGTCATAAATTGGATTGGACTGTAAGGTGTGCGCTAAACCTGGTGTTTGTACTTTGGGGTCATTGCGAATGTGTTCTCCTGCTTCCAGAACAAGGATCCGATGGTCGGGTAGCTGCTGCGAGAGGCGTGAGGTGATTAAGCAGGAAGCTGAACCGGCCCCGACTAGGATGAAGTCGTATAAATCATCTGCGGAAGAACTCATTTTCCTTTACATATGTTAATGTGATAGGAGCATAAAATAGAACATTATGGGGAAGCGAAATTTTCGAAAGGTATTTAACACCCCATTTTTGGCACCGTCAATAAAAAGTTGCACGGTCCTGTACTCAATCGCCTGCCTATAGGGGTAAAGTGGCCTCGCTTATTAATTTCACCGCTAATTTCATAAGACTTCTACTTTATAAAGCATAATGACGATGTAAATATATATTAAACAGTAGAATATGCATAAAGAAATAGTATATAACTATTTACGATAAACTTACGAGCTTCTAAAGTTTAAGAGCTAACTCTTATTATTTGCTAAACCTACATAAAGGACACATTTGTATCAATGTAAATGCATTTCCGAGATAAATACATTGGAAGTTAGAACATGTTTTCGACGTTTGGTTCGCTATTTCTAATCGCGACCGTAAGAGATGGTTTTACTATACTCATTACTAACTTCCTAGGTTGTTATTACTAGCCAGGTCTACTCTTTGTATTTTGCTAGTAATGTTTCGTTTTCTTTCTTTAACATTTAGATGAAATCAGTCATATATATCGGATATCAGTTGGGTGAGATGATCGTCGACAAATTCTCGGCATTTAGCTTTACTCCTCGAATCCTAAATACGAGATTCAGGTAGCATATTTCACATTCCAGCTTCTAGTTCAGCGTGCATCCCATTTTTCAAATGATGAAAAATCCTCTGGTTGAGATACGATGAAGAGCGTCCGCTCGGTTATTAGGTTGCCAACCAACCTAGAAGTTGGTGATACAAATTACGCAGCCCTCCTCATATATAACCTTCGTACCTGTGTGACCGGTTTTTTCATATCTTGCATCATGAAAAAATGTCATACTACACTTCCACCAGAAATTATTTAATACAACAATGGCGCCATCTCTGGCCGGAACACAGTAACAAAAAGCCCCTACGCGAGATAACTGAACACATATCCATCCCGATCCTCCCACCAGACGCATCGATCGTACCCTATCAAAGCAAAAGACAAGAACTACGCTTCGAGCAACACGAATACTCTATATGCATACGAGGATTCCCTCCCCCAAACCCGAACTGTCCTAGCTACCACTACATGCTCGACCGTCCAATGCCCGCGCAGCTGAATTACATCCTTGACCCAGATTGGCGTGAAAGACTGATGGTCACAACGTTCAACTACAGAGACGTAAAAGAGTATACTTATATCCGCGCACCCGACGACCCAGAAGACGAAGCCGAGCACTGCCTCCGCATGAGACGCTGCGGCGCCGATGCACTCCTCTACAACGTTACAACCCATGTCCTGCAAGAACGTCTCTCCGCTGCCTCCGCCATGCAAATCATGGGATGGCCTTCCAGCGGCGGGGTTTGGATGTATCGCGTCCCGCAGAGCTGGTATGCCGGCAAAAGTCTTGAGGAGCGATTCGCGGGTGCGCCACCATATTCGCAGATGGGTTTGGATAATCCTGCTGTGATGTTGGAGAAAGTAAACGGAGATTTGCGGGGATGTGGGGGTATGGATGAGTTTTGTGAGGTTTTGAGGGGGTATGGAGGGGTGTATTTTGGAGATGTTAGGAAGTGTAGGGCTGTTGTGGGGTTGAGACTTGTGGATGCTAGGGGGAGTGGGGAGTTTGTGAAGTGGGTTTTTGAGAGGTTGGGGGATGAGGATACGAGGTTAATGAGTTCTACGACGAGGTATATTGGGACGACGAAGGTTTGGGATCCGAATGGAAGTAAGGAGTTTTTGGAGGGGGAGGAAGATGAGGAGTTTTAGTGGTAGGGCTGTGAGCACACTCGTTTGAGGAGATTTCCCTGTTGATTCGGATTTTAAGATAGCGTAACTATAGGGTTTTCTCGCAGTGAGTTTGACCTTGTAATATCGGTGCACCACAGTCGTCTATATCCTATCACACATATGTCAGACAAAACACCAAATCATCACATAACATGTCAATTTCACAATCTAGCCTGCATATATACCCTCACATTACCTCCCCTAATATAATATACAACCAATTGCCCAGCTCCCTATTCCAACCGACTATACCTCCTCACACTCGGCATATCCGGTACATCAGGCACCTCATCTCCTCTCGCATTCCTCTTCCTCTGATCGCCAACCCAACTCTTAATCGTCCTGAATCTTGGCACACTCGCCAGACTACTAACAGTCGCGACGCTATTCCGCCAGTTCGGCCATTTAGACGCAGGCGGTGGAGTCAAAGGGGATACGGGTGCGATTTCTTCGAGTGACAGGTTCCGATTGGCGGGTGCGGATGAGTTGAGGGCTTGTGGTGGACGGTAGGTTGGGAGTGCAGTAGGTTTTGAGCCGCCGAAAAGGGGTGTGGGGATTGCGGATGGTGGTTGATATGTTGGGTTTGAGTTGAGGGCATCTGCTGAGGAGCGGGTCGTGTCGTAGGCGGGCCAACCTGCTATGGATCCGGGCTAGAAGTTGTTAGTCAAAATATATCTATCAGATATTAGGGACTTACCCCAGCTGTCGAGCCCGGTGGCGCTGTAGTAGCAGCTCCCCAAATCTTCTCATCTCCAACGGAAGAAGCTGGTCGGGTACCGGTGTATGGAGCTTCTTTCTCTTGGTTCCAGTCGATTGACTTCTTTGAACCTTTGCGGAATCCAAGTCCAGCTTTCTTTCGGATGACGATCCATGCGATGAGGATGATTGCTAAAGCACTCAGAAGAACGCCGACTACAACACCTGCGGTGCGGACATTGGTGTCTTTGGTGCTTATAGTTCCGGAGATGATTTCGTTTCCGGTTGGAGAAATGACTTCAGCTGCCGCAGTCTGCATTTAGTGTCAGTAGTCAACCTTTCTCACCTGATTGAAAGTCTTACCGGTGTACTTGCTTCTCTTGCCGGTGAGAAGGGAGCAGATGAAGAAATGACCAATTGAAATCCTGAGCTAGTAGAACTCGCGCTTGGTACTAGCACTGGCCCTGCACTTATTGAAGATGCGGCAATGATGGACGTCGATAGTCTAGAGGTTACCATTGGTAATGCTGACGTTGAAGGCGAGGAAGTCACTACTGGTGCACTCGATGTCGGTGCACTCGAGGCAGGAATATTTGATGGAACTATCGTCTGTGCCAATGATTCCGGGGCTTGGGCAGCGGGCGTAGAAAGTGGTTTCCGTGACGAGTGAGTGATAGGTGTGTTGATTTTCAGCGTTTGAGACTCATTCGAAATCAAAGATTGCTATAGCATGGTTAATATTGCACCGATGGATGACAAGAGGGAGACGTACTGGACCGCCAACTGGCGCTGGTGTTGTCTCTGTGCCTGGAGCTGACGATGCTGGTGAAGGTGTTGGTGCAATCGACGAGATCAACGGCACAACTGGTGCAGCTGGTGGAGGAGGTGGTAGAGCAGCCGTCTGATAAATTATTAGCCAAGGCATTCTTTTGATCCATACCAAGCCTTACAGTCTGGGCAGGAGCCGCAATCGAAGTTGGTGCTACCTGTGCATCTGGAGTTGGAGCTGGAGCCGGAGCTGGCGATGTAGAGGGTTTGTTGTCATCGCTGTCCTCTCCGGATGTTGGCCCAGGTGTTGTTGCTGACTCTACACCATCCTCTGCTGAGGGTGGATCTTCGCCTGGAGGTGGTGGTGGTGCCTGTCTCTTCTGTCTTCTCTCTTTATTCTGCTTGAATCGACGGTGACGAGCTCTCATCTCAGCTGGCGACTCTGATCTCCGAGATTCCTGTCTCGGTTGAGCCACCACATCCCTCATTCTCGTCGGTCGAGCCATTTCTACGATCCTTTCCTTCAATCCTGAGTCCCCAAAAGTAAATCCTCCTACTTTGCCTCGTGTAACATGAATCGAAGGCTTGGAGCCAGCAAGTTTAAACGTCAAAAGCGATCAATACAAAAGGCGAATAGAAAGACTTCAGATCTACTGAAGTAACGAAAAAGGCGATAACGTGAAATCCAGACCAGCTGGAAAGGAAACAGAGACAAGAAAGCAAGAAGCCAAGATCTTTAAGAAAAGAAGTACAGACTCTCGCACTGGCAATCCCAACTCCTCTCATCCCCCATCTCCACTGAAGAAGCCTCATACCTTTCTTGGCACGGCCCTGCCTTTAGGAACATCACCGTCATTGGCTTGAAATGATGAAGATCAACAACAGTAAGAGCCTCAATTGGCTGTTTTGGCATCACAGATCTTCATCGGATAGACAATTTGCATCTCTGTGCAAGCGAATCCTGGTGGTTGTCGTTGGTCAAACGGCTTGGCGAGTGCCCAGGAGTCCGCGCGTTGGTGTTGCACACGCAAAGTGCCAACGATCAAACAGTGGTTTCGAACACCAAATGTCGCAGGTTTGGCTTGGCCGTGCAATTGCCGCGCGCGGCGTCTGGTCGCGTCAATTATTGCTTGAACGATTTGTATCTTTTGATGTCATTTTCCAGCGGCCAAGAGATTCAAGAGATGTTAGGATTGATATCTTCCGAAGTGATTAAGGGGAGACGGTTGCTGCATCACTTGACGCCTAGATGACGATGCATCTATATCCAAAGGTTCAAGATACAATGCAATCAAGTTTACTTCTACAATATCTAAAATATCCAAAGTTAGCCTTGTTTGTCAAACCAGTAATCTACTCCCGTCGACGGCCGCGTAAGCCTTTGTTGTTGTTTCTTCTGCTGTACTAGTCCTCATAAGGTTACTCTCCACTTCTCCAAGACAAGTTTCGTTTCGATTTTGCGGGGGATTCTGCGCGCCAGCTCCGATCCGCCGCCGATCTTTCTACCGACCACACCTCCCTCCAGGATTCGCAGAAAACCTTCAATCGATACCGACACAACCACATATATCCAAAAGACACTGCGAAGTAGTTCCTCGTCAAAGTTGATTGTCAGCTCTCAACATGATATGGTTGATTCTGCAACTATGCGCGGCAGGTCAGAATTGTCGGGACAAGATACGATGTTATAAGGTTAATTAAATGGTGCTGAATGTAATTGTCAGCAAGAGTATCTTATTGGTCGGTCTATTTTTTTTGTGTTCAGCTTCCAAAAAAGAAAATGCTGCCCATCGATGACCGCAATTTATTCCATCTTCGACCTGTATATCGACTCTTCGAGAAGAACTTAGCAATCACCAAGATGAATCGATATGGCAACGTCATGGAAAGAATGCCACGCGTGCAAAGCGAGGGTAATCAACGACGAGCTCTAAGGTCTAATACAAGACATGTATCTCCACCTCCCAGGATCATCACCAATAAATTGAATGAGGCAGAACTCCCTCTCACTGCGAAAACCTTACGAGCTCAGCATGACGCAAATCGCATAAGACGACGCGCAGACAGAGAGTACATTGAAAGAACAGAGCCGGTAAAAAGTCTGCCTGCCATACCCCCGAAGAAGAATTCCAAAGCCTACCACGAGTGCGAGACTACGGACGACTACTATCCTCCGAGAGATTCTTCTAGGAGTACGATTGAGAATGAAGACTTACGTGACATGTCAGATTTCGTGGGGGGTCACATCGGTAGTAAGAACGAATGGAAACTCGTTCAGAAGAATCTCTTGCCCCTAGTCGAGCAGCTTGTTAAAACAAACAATCAACTTTGTCATATCCTGATGAGAGGATTATCACTCGATCAAAAGCCTCATTCAAAAAGAAAGACCAGGGAAGATACTCCAATACAGGATGCATTTAGCATCGATGTAGAAAAGGGAATTGAACTAGAGACCATGGTGCACTCGCCGGAAATTTTGTGTGGCAAACACCAAGACGACTTTATCCGTTACGCGGAGGAAGACTATGCTCAGTCGATGAAGATGGCTAACAAACATCCAGAAACACCTGACGTCCAAAACTTTTCTCCTCCAGGATGTCAATGGTTGGTGCCCTATGGAACTTTTTTCGGTCACAGCACTCACCAACTTCCTCGAGGTGTGGGGGACAGAAACAAAAGAGATTTAGTTGAGAGTCGAAATGACGGTGATGCCAAAACGATCTTAACCGAGATAACAGAACGTACCCAGCGAACAGACAGAGGGTCATATTTCTACAGTACAATGTTTCATTCTTCTGATTATCTTGCACAGATTGACTTTGAGGATGTCTATAATCGCAACTCCACTGCTATGGGACTCTTTACCACAGCAACACTACGCCTACAAGACCTACACGCCAAGTAGTGACTTTTTTATTCCTAGTAACATGAAAGTCGCTATGCTGCGAGGGATTGGATGCCTAAAAGTGGACTGGACGGAATATATGAGCGAGCATCTGACGTTCAACTCTGACACCATGACAGTCTACGTGTGCTGGTTCTTTACTCACATTTTGAATAATAGAAGTTGGCAGTCAGTCCATCGTTTTCCCATTCTCAAATCCAGGTCAAAACTTCGACTCAGTGCTAACGAAGGATTTAGTCTATACTGCCAACGTTTTGATTGTAATGACCATCACGAAGAATTGCCTAACCGCACTCGTACTTCAGATCTCACACACATAGAGGAAGTTTTTGCTTCATATCGATGGCTCTTCTCAATGAGTTCATCGGAAGCATTTGAGGAACTGTGTGACATGCCATTGCCATGGTGGCTAGTTCCACTAGAAGAACACAATCCAATCCTTCCTTGGCACCGGTCTGGTACATGGATCAGAGATCAGGCTGCTGTGAATAGAACAAAGTCGAAATGGGAAAATATCAGTTCTAAGGTAGCCAAGTATTTTGCACAACAACGGAAAGCACGTGGTGAAAGAAAAACCGTCCGTTCACTTCTTAAGACTACCGATGACCGGAGATGTGAATTGCCAATAGACTGCAGACACTTGCTCGAATTTCTGACCGAGGATGAGGAATATGACCAATCCGATAAAAGCTTGCCATTTTCGCGGTTCCCCAAGCTCCAACCACGTTTGGAACATTTGATGGGATATATGGAGAAGCAAAAACCACGAGGCTTTGCTGCTCTTGGCGTGATAAACGGGACTCCAATACCTGGTACACCTTTTGGGCAGCGGTGATTCTTGGAGCTTCAGCTTTTACAATAGCTTTGGCGGGGCTAGGGTTAGCTTCTGTACAGACGTGGGCGAGCTTGAGAGCTTTGGAATTACAGAAGAATGAATAGTGGTCTTGTTCTACGACCGGGAAAATTAGTGAGTAGTAGGAGATATAGTATTACCTTGCACAGACGCCTCTTGTTTTGTGGATCTCATAATGTTTGTTTTATATATCACTTTTAATATAAGTATAAATCCTGAAAATAACGAGCAATGTTGTTGTCTTATTAACGCTCGCCTACTTAACCTCCTTCCAAACTTTGCCCAACTTTTTGTAAAATTATCGTATTTTGTATATAGCTATTCCTTTAGAGATTTCCGAGCACTTTTTTAAGCGGGAGAGAGAGAAGAGACATTTGAAGACTCTATGTAAATAGGTTGTATAGTTTTCAATTTTACTATAATAGATACGTGAGAAAGGTAGTCTATGCTACATAACTCTTTAGCCAGAAGAATTATCGCCTTCTTCTATCTCTTAAATTTAATCCTCTTCAAAAATGTCACTGCTTGCTGTAGCTTGATCCTCGTCATCTCCAGCACTATCCGACAATGACCATTCATCTTGGGGGTGAAGCTTCTTTTGTCGCTCGCTCGATAAGCTTGCCATACTCCTCGAATTTTGCCCCAGTGCACTTCTGATATTTAGTCCCTGATCTGACCGCCCTACTGAATCCGCTCTTAGGCTGAAAATGTCCTCTTGCGAAAAGAGACGGTAAACGACAAGAGATCTGGTGGAGCTGGTAACGAGGAGTTTGAAAACGCAGTCATGCTCCTCGACCAGATCGACAATAGTTGAAATAGCTTGGCGCGCACTATCCTTTCTGTTTCCATACTCGCAGAATGTTATCCCATCAATCAGGCAAAAAACTATCTGGTCCTTGGCCAACTGTTGTACGAGCCCAGCGAAGATGAAGCACAGGGTATCCATATCATGGTCGATGATGTCCTGCTTCTTTTGCGATATCAAAATGAAGTCGAGATCGAAGGTCGAGGAAGAAGTCAGAAGTTGATGAATCAAGTATGCCAACATCAATTCTGGACCCTCCTCCTCATTGACATCGCTGTGCATCCCGCAGAAAAAGACGAGAGGGACAGCACCTTCAAATGAATCCAAAGATCGTGCAAGCATTCCACAGGCAAGTGACATAGGTGAGATCTTCTCACGACCTCCATTGCCATTGACAAGTAAAGCTTGAGACCTTGCGTTAGTGATCCAACTCTTCAAGCGATTGTGGCTCATAAGTGCTTGGGCTCGTTCCTGGAAGATGTTATCCGCGGATTTCCCGGCGAAGATTGCTTTATTCACATCCTTCTTGATTACCTTAGAGGAACAGCCTAGAGTTTGTATCAACTTTGCGGACGTTAATTTCGCACCTAGAAATAATATTAGCAGTTTTGCAGCCGGTGAAAAGGAGTCGTGGGTAGAGTTTACCCTTTGGGGCCACCGGCATGTCGACTTGAGTGTTTTTCAGATCCTTTGCCACTACTCGATGTTAGTCCTGCTACTTGATGGGTACAAAATATCTCTTAATTCCTACTGTCTTGGAAGAGATGAAAAAAGGCATTAAGTCTATCTTCTATTCGAGCTTGACTCTTGACTAAAACCTTGCCAATGTCCTCTACGTCGGTCTTGACACCTTCGATCGTCACTCTGACACCGGCCAAGTTATGAGTCTCTACACAAACAATTAGTCAGTCTATGTCGCCTGCGGTTCTAGTGGTACTCACGTATTTCTAAGTTTTGATGAATATCTCCTATGAGAAACTGAGAACATATTTCTGCCTGTTGGCGAACTGCAGCGGCTTGATCCCAGACGCGGGTTAACTTATCCTCTAGCTCCTTCTCATAATCATCCTGCTTCAAAAATGCTTTTACCGCATGCCTCATGCTACTCTTCGACATCCACTCCAGGATATGTTGGAAGACCTCGAGAATAGCCTTGTATAACCTGGAGAACTCTATATGCAGCTCTGCTGACTTGTACAGATTGCGCATCTCCAGATACTGTTTGGCTGTCTGTAAAGCTTGGGGAATCTTTCCAAGACTCGATAAGATCAGATCTCTGATCGTAGTCAACCGAATGCATGACTAAATCTGATCAGTTGCATTCACCTCAAGGGTCGCATCAACGTTAAAGCGATGGAGAGGTCATACCTTAATCACGAGTTTGAAGGCTCCACATATAATTGATGAGTACTCGCCAGTGGGCAAAAGAGAGAGCCAGGCTTGAAAAGTCGCTCCACTATCTCCCACGTTGTCGAAGAATTGTACGATACCTCTCATCATGGGCTTGTTTTTGTGCCTTTCAGCGTAGTTCTTTTCTGCGTCTCTCATTATCTTTTCGACTTCCTTCCAGTCTTGATACTTCTTGGGATTATTATCTACATCGGTGGAGCCTTTCGCTTTGGATTCAAAATCCTGCATCGCTCTTAAGAGAAATGTTTTCTCTTTCTCCACAACCCCGTACACATTGCCAGGACTAGGAGATGGACCTTAAGCCACGATAGCGAGAGCAGTAGGAGGGTCTATAACACGTACGGTAATTTTCCCTCCATCTTAACGTAAAGCTTCTGGTCCTCGTCAAAAATAACCTCTGTGTTGATGATTGGAGCTAGAATCACTCCATCCACTTTGGCCTCGACACCATCCCGAGCCACGATTGCTGAGTCTTTTAATGATGCTGCCATAGCGGTCATCATCGTTGATTCAAATGTGCGTGGCTCTTGCAGGTGTTCTCATCAAGTGAAGAGGATCGTCATCGGGAAACTTCACACATCAAAATAAGGCTGAGAAAGATCATCGGATGTGATTTTGAATACCTTTTCCACGTTGTGTCTTTGTTGTCGCGCGACGAGGCTGTGATGTCTGAATCAGCAATGAAGCCCCCACCTTGAAATTGAGAATAAATGTCTCAACAGCAGTAAAGCCTTGAACATCCCTGGCTATTGAGACTGAATTATCAAGCCCTCATACAATATTTTCACCTTTCAGTGTGGATGAGGAAAGTACACTTATTATGGTCCAATCCGTCGAGCGCCCTTCGGTGAGAAGCTGCCTCTCAGAGACAGGTTCTTCTAGACCTGTAAGCCATTGTACTCCCATGAGCCCTTATCAATCCACTGCCGTTGGCCCAATTTACCCCTCTTACTTGATACCACCTCAAGAGGGCGAATTTTATGTCAATGCCAGATGTAAACGGCCGGTTTTGTGGGACTTCATTTATTTCTGCTGATTTATGGGTGGTTGCACTGCACCTCGCTCCTGCACTTCGCCAGTTGTACCTCAGAAGGTGAGGGGCCGAATTTAACCCCCAAGATCCTTCAGAGCCTCACTTCATAGAGTTCCTCTCTTTTCCCATCCTTTCGATTAAGACACCACCTCAAACTCCAATTCATTTCCATAGCGCAAGACCCAGAAGTGCAAAATTGCTGTTGTTAGCGTGCTGCTTTCGCCGGATTGACACAAATTGCAACCCTATTACAACCTCTTGAGTCTGATTGCGCCGCATCACGTTCGGGAATTCTCGGTCATGGAATCGTCAGACGAACCAAAAGTACAGTTTCTAGACGAACAAGTGTTAACGAGTGATGTCACGACTTCTGGAGCATCTTCAGCAAGAAGTGAATTCGAGGCAGTCACCGCCACGACCTCTATGACCTCGATCATGACCAACACCGACAGAGCCAGCACTTATGATCAGAGTACTGAAGCAGTTTCAAAGTTAGTGGACGCAAAGGACGTTGCAGACGAGATCTCAGAGAGAGAGTCTAGAGTGCAAGCCTCTGAAAATGTGGACGATGTCGATGTTGATGATCTGAGCGAACCAGAGGCGGAGAGGCTAGCGGCCAGTTACGCACGTATGGTAAATAAAGGCAAACCTTTGGGTGAGCGAGTCAAAAAGGCACCGAAACAAGTCCTCCAAATCATGCAATATACTAGATTGATGGAGGATCGGATGCAAGCCCTTGAGAGTGAGGTTCGGGAATTGAAGAACATCAAAGATGAGGACGGGAACAAGACAAACGATTCAGATGAGTCAATAGCAGCGGATAGGAAGTTGTTGCCTCCCCGTTTGATTCCTGCGACTCGTCGAGCAGCATGGTCAGAATATGCAGCAGCGCCACACACACATGCAATCGAAGTTCTTTACGGTGAGCCTGACGATACACTGGCGCATCAAAGTGCTGCAGATATTTGGAAAAAGCGCAAACTCTCAAACCAACCGACTATTCAGAAGGTTGTCACTCCCTTGGTGAAAAACGCCCTACTCGGGTCAAGATACAGTCCAGACTTCTCAGAATGCACATCAGTGAACTGACAGGTTTTCGTATTCTCAAGGCGTACAGAGAGGTAGTAGCACCTTTCAAACCATTTGTCCTTTGTGAGGATAAGATTCGGGCACATACGCAGACATTGATAGAACGTCTCGAGAAGCTTGAAGCTGAGGCAGATACACAAGACTACCCGGTCACCAAGACCAATTTGACATCGAAAATGTCAGGGGTGGATATACCATTAATGGCAGAAAATCCGAGTGTGAGAGTGGAAGAGGAGGCGAAGCGTTCTATTGGCAATTCGATTACAGACGAAGCGACCTCCCAGCCAGAAGACGGTGTCAAGTCAGCCACTGAAACATTTAAACAGCCATCCTGTATGATTCCAGTTGTTGACGGCTTTGACACAAGAGTTCTCTCGGGAGAAGAGGACCTGAATCCTCAGGACATCGCATGTCTGATGTACGCTTGTAATCTATCGCGCAAGCAAGCATCATCAAAGCTCTCGGAGGGCGAACATGACATATTCAGAGCTGCGCTTACTGAGGCTGCGAAGGAGGAAGAAAAAGAACTATGGGAGAAAAATGCCGCATTGTTCGAAGCGCGACTTCTCGTTCAAGAATGGAATGCCGTTATCAGCCTCTTGGACAATGAACTAGCCTCAGTCATTAAGGTGCGCAAAGAGTTGAAGAGCGGGGATAGAGAAGAAGTTGGCTTCGATGATCTGGCCTACATGTTTGAGCCGGGTCAATACGTGGTGACCTCTGAGGATCAGTCAAGAATGCTGCGGGTCTTCTCTGTGACTGGCGGCCGAAGATTGTTGAACGACAAACTGAAGTCGGATTCGGAGGGAAACAGAGATGATCTATTAACTGCAGAAAAGGCAATCACAAACTTCAGGAGTCTATTTCAGGCCGAGAAATACAGTCCCTTGGCCGTGGACTGCTATCAGTTTGACTTCAACGGTACATTTTTCGGGCCGGTCCAGACCACCTTCTACATCAAGAAATTTGATGACATTCAGAACGTAAGGTCCCAACCAGTCTTCCCCACCAACTTCCTTATAAAAGAAGATGGCCTGAAGTCAACACTAGCAACCAGGGGAAAGAAGTTCTTGGAGCTGTGCTCTCTTGATCATGTAGTGCATAGAGAATACGACGGTCTTAGTCTGGATGATCCACCTGAGCAAATAGATAGCCAAGTTATCGTGGATTTCGACATGGCTTCACGTGTGGCAGAACCACAACAGCCAAAGGGTAGCGCATGGATACCAAGACTTGGACTTGACAGCCCGACGAAAACCGATGAAAGGGAGATGGATCCAAAGAACGAGAATTGTGTCTTTAGGGATTGTATCTTTTGCTACGCTCCCGTACTGAATGATCAGTCAGACGACCAGAAGCGTAGCAAGGACTTTGTTCTGGGCACTTCGCTACTCAAGGGTCCAGCGATCAAAGCCAAAGATTTTTGCCCAGAAGATATGATGCTATTGTCGCATAGGATTTTTGGCTTCGTACTCAGGAGTCGCAAGTGGGGTAAGAATTTCGACTTCCAACGTTTATGGCGGTCTGATTGCTAATACATATAGCTCGGCTCCACATTGATCATATCTCCCCTGTTAGACGCGATGAGAAAAACTTTGAGAGGTTGGTTCTTCCAAAAGGCTATAGATCGCTTGTACGAGCCTTAGTCGAAACCCATTTCAAGAAACCCGATATGAATGCCGCGGAAGATGCCCGTTATAATGTCGACTTAGTCCGAGGGAAAGGCAAAGGCCTTATCATTCTTCTCCATGGAGCTCCTGGCGTTGGAAAAACCTCAACTGCAGAGTGTGTAGCCGAGCATACTGGGAGGCCTCTGTTTCCCATAACTTGTGGAGACATTGGCGAGACCGCAAATGAGGTTGAGAGAAACCTTGATCTCTGTTTCCAAATGGCGCATCGCTGGGGGTGTGTTCTTCTTCTCGATGAGGCCGACGTTTTTCTTGCCAAACGAAGCAAGACCGATCTCCGCAGGAATGCCCTTGTGTCAGGTAGGCTCGACTCCCAGTCCCGATGAGTGCTCCATTATTGACAAATATAGTTTTCCTTCGGGTACTCGAGTACTATGCTGGTATTTTGTTCTTGACCACCAATCGAGTCGGCACATTTGACGAGGCTTTCAAGTCCAGGATTCATATGAGCCTCTGGTATCCTAGACTTAGCGAAAAATCCACCAAAAAGGTGTGGCAAATGAATTTAGACAGGACGGTTGAGAAAAAGGAAGAACTGGGCTTGAAAGTTGACGAGAGAAAGATTTTGAGTTTTGCTGATGATCATTGGAAAACGTCCAATGAAGAAGATTCGGGATTCTGGAATGGTCGACAGATCCGCAACGGTATGGTCCCCTATTCTCAAGCACAAACTTATGCTGATTCAAAGACAACAGCTTTTCAAACCGCGATTGCGCTCGCACAGTGGCAGTTGAAAGAATTCAAAGGCGAAAGTAAAGAAGTTGTGCTCAATGACAAACATTTCATTAAAGTTTCCAAAGCCTCGCGCGACTTCGACAAATACTTGAATAGGACACTCGGTGGTTCAACGGAAGCAGACAGGGCTTTGGACGTTGGAGAGCGTGCCGATAATTGGGATGATGATGATTCGGAGGAGAGGGAAAAAAAAGAGATTCGAAAGAAAAAGGCAAGGAGGGAGAGGGAAAGACCGACAGGGATCAACGTGGCAGACTTTAGTGGATCGAAGAAGGGAAAGAAGGGTAAGAAAACGAGGAAAGAGGAAAGTAGCAGTGGCTCAGAAAGCGACGAGTCTAACCCTCGTAAATATAAGGGAAGAACGGAAGAGAGCGAAAGCGAATCCGACGACTAGAGACTTACGTTTCTATCTTTTCGCTTATTAGCTAGGGGGTTTGTTATTTTGAATATTGTCTAGAGCTATTACTTATGTTTGCTAAATTATACTGAATCAAATAATAGACTTTGACTTAAATCAATTTACAATAGCTTATAAGTAGTGTAAGTAGGTTCGGTAAGCTCTTAATATACTACTATTAACTTCATTGACACCCTACCCCTAGAAAATACATTTAGGCTATATATAGAATTCTTGAAACGACAAAAAGTCTGCTTTAGAGACTTCATCATGGACCTTCTACGCTAATCGTTTGTTGATTGGAATAGGTTATAAAATTTTGGGGATTATTCAATAATTGTATGGTACGACAAAATTGAAGCACAACAAGAGCGAGGATATCCAAGAAGCACAAGTGTGACATGCTTCCTGGGAGCTCTTCTCAAAGGGAAATCCTGTACAAATAGAGATCCGCACTCAAAAGACTCGGATGTCGACTGCATCTCAAGCCTCTGAGGGGGTCCTAGTTACACAAGAGCCTGCTGGATTTAATTTCTTCGTTTCTTGTGTCACAAAAGTCCAGCACGCACCACCCGCACCTCTTCAAAGCCGTATCGTACAACGACTCAAGCCTTCTCAAACACTCACGCCTCCAAAGACTCTTGGATCACTTGTCAAAAGATATCAACAGCCTCACCTTTCGTGTCAGACTGATGAAAACTGGCTTACGCGCACCTCTCCTGTCGGAAAAAAGCCACTGGAATCATACCATGCACCCTCACCCTCGGTTGTCGACGATCTCACCAAAGAATCAGTTATCCACCATGAATATCTCACACTCTTCCAGCCTCTTTTGGTGCCTACCTGCAAGTTTAGAAGTCAAGACTCCAAAAGTCACGAAAGACCGGAACAAGAAGGTCAAAAGCCTCTCACAAATGAAGGACTCCAGTGCCAATGGATGGCATACCGCCTTGCCGCCCAGCGATTTAACCAAAAGATTCAAAACGCCTCACTTGCGAATCCCACGGCCTTTGCTTTTACAGTCAAGGTCTTTAGCGAACCAGATCCTCCCATTATACCTTCGTATGAATAGAACTCAGACTTCCACGATATGGACCTCACGTAAGCTTTTGAGAAGGATAAAATCTAGCTCTCCGGGTTGCCTAGTCTTTTCCACTCCTGTTAATATCAACTACTCGAATTGTTAGTCGAATATATTCCTTCCAAGGTCAAAAAAGATGCCTTTTCTCTCAACACTTCTACCAAATCAGAATTCTTATCGACCGGGAACGATCATCTCTATTCGGGGCAAAAAAGAAGACTGAATCAGATTTAAAACACCCGTTTGACATACCAAAGAACGTTTTCAATCACTCTTCAGATATGAATCCATAAGTCATTCTCATATTTCATCGCCCGTCAGCACATCACATCGCAGCATCACACCTGTCTTCCCTCACAACGACGAACATAGATTATTTCAGAACCCCGGACGATTCATAAATCCATCGTTCCTTCACAAGACGATCTCGATGCTAGTCCTTCGGGCTGTCAAACGTAGGGTTATTGAGGAATAGCGACCTCATTCGTCACTCGTGAATGGGGTGCCCTAACCGTCAATATTGACCTGTTCATGGATAGGGTTGTGTTGTAGGTTGTCCTTATATGAACACAATGTGTTGATAGTTAGGGTAGAAGAGATGAAAGGGAATGAAATTAACGCGCCAAGATATTCCAGTATAATTTCTCGACAGTGATCGTTGTACAGTTCAATGCTCAAGACCATGGGTCTAGCGAAACAATCTCCCTACTGCTTTGTCGCATTGTCCATATATTAAATCATCTTGATCATCTTGCTTTAAACTTGCTTAAACCATTCATCCCCCAACAACTCCCCCGCCGTCGGTCTATCCCTCGGATCCAGCCTCATAATCCTAAGTATAAACACTTTATCCTCCTTCGCTATCTCACTCTCAGCCGCACTTGCAAAAGGCCTCATTTTCTCCGGCGGCACGCTTCGCATAACATACATAATAATACGAATAGCCTCATCATCCGCAATATCCTGATACGACAGCGGAAAAGGACCGAAGAATTGATGGTGGCGCATGAGGATCTTCAGGTCGTAAGCTTCGTGGTCAGCGGGGACGTCGGGTCTGAATATGAACCAGGAGTCGCCGTATATTAAAGTTATGAGCTGGTGGGTTTGAGCTAGCGTATACAAAGAGGATAGAAGGGATCAGCATACCAAGGTCCTTAGTGACCAGATGTCAGTAGGTGTACCCCAGCTTATTTGAAGTTGCGCTTCGGGACTCCTCCATACGGGTGCGCCGATGACATCGCAATCGTTTGCGAACGGCGAGGAAATATGAACGGTATTACCGCAATCCGCCAATTCAACGTCTGTAAATCGCGAAGCGCCTTTGCCGTAGTTTACTAATACGTTGTCGATCTTGATGTCTGAGAAGACATACGTTAGTAAAATTTCTTAGGCATATTCCACAGAGATAAAACGTCATACCGGTATGCACAAACCCATCCTCATGTAACACATTCAAAGCTTCCAACACCCTCTTCGCTACCTGCTTAATCTCAAGCGTGGTAAGCCTTTTAGCAGCAGACGCTCGCATTAGATCGTCATCCAAATACTTTAGCACTATAGCAGGAGGAACACTCTGATCTTGAATCTCATCAATAAGAGGACGAAGCGCAGAAGTCCTGCTTTGAAAGCGTTGAAGAATGTCACGTTTATTTTGAAGTCGAAAATGCCTCACGCTTTTGATGATGACGGGCTGTTCATTCTGGCTACTTCTAAGATGATAGTTAGTGTAGTTCAGTGATACTTTAGGGATGGGTAAATACGTTGCGAGCCAAATGCACTCGTGAAGTGGTTTGGTGATCGTGTAGGTGTTCGCTTTTCCTTTGATGAGTTGACCAAGACGGAAGCGAGAGGCCATTTGTATAGCAGTGCCGTCATAGCTAAGGTCAATGTTGTTCTGAGTGTTTCGAGTGGGCCGGCCCGTTTACTTTTGCTTTGATGTAGATTTGTTCTTACGCTCAACAATGCTGACGCGAGAGACCGAGAAAGAGTTTGCATCACTTATTTGAGCCAGTTAATTGTCCTACTGGACATGAACCCGCTCGAAGCCACTTTCATTTCCACACAAGTCTTTCGAGAAGTATCCCACGTATCACAGTCGTAGAGAGCTGTAAGACCACGCTCAGTGTTTGAATGCACATACATTAAATATATACGATATATACCCCACCCTTAAAACTCCAGCAAATGCAATGCTCCAACACCCAATGTACCCATATCTTTCAAAAAGTGCCTCGAACTCACATTCTATCTACCCACACATAAATCTCACCAAGAATCCGGACCAAAATGACTCCCATTCGCCACAACCTTATAAGGACAAGCATTCCAATCGCACCCCTTCTTATAAATCTCCGTGCCCCACCATTTAAACCCGTCCATGAAGCCGGGGTAGACAAACCCGAAGAACACCACGACCAAACCAAATGCAAGTCCAGAATCCAGCGCCGCGCTCAGAGTCATGGTGTATTTCGCCCACCACGGCTCCGCGCGCCTCCGGATAACATAATTAAAGAGGAAACACACGAGGGCCCAGACGGAGAAATTAAGGCCTGTAGCAGGTGGGATCCAGGAGAGACTGCCGAAGAGGACGGGGAGGTTGATTTTACGGAGGATGTGGAGGCGTTTATGGCCTTTTTTGTTGCGTGCAACGAGCCAGAGGAGGATAGGGGCGATGGCGCCAAAAGGAAAGGCGTAGACGAGGATATGGTAGGTGGCGTTGGTGCCGAAGAATTCTTTGGGGCCGACGACACCCCAGAGGATGCTGCCGTTGAAGTGGACGCGGGCGAGAGGGCAGACAAAGCCGTTGATAGCTTGGGGGGTACAGATATTGGGGACGTTGGCAAACATCCAGTTTAGGACGCCGATCTGGGTGATTGAGGAGACGATTGTGGCAACCATTTGAACGCTGAAGAGGATGCGAGGTGGGATCTTCATGTAGTGTCCTAATTTTAGGTCGGCAGAGAATTTGATTCCTTGTGCGGATGAGATGTAGCCGTATGTCACGAACACCATATTTGCGACAGGTCGACCAGGGAACACGGCGCCGCAGATAAGCTGGCAGATCAGGTAGATGCTGCTGTGCTGATTGGTGATGGCCATGACAATACCAATTGGGATGAAAAGGACAGCACAAATCCCGAGAGCGAGGAGGAGGCCATACCAGGGAAGATAGACGGGATAGCTAAACATGATTAGAACAAGCAATTCCAAACAAAGGTAAGACTTACTATTCGACAACAAACATGCCAACCCCAGTCATACTAACAAAAGTGACCAGGTACCACCACAATGGCGCGTCTTTGTATCTCCTCATCAAGCGATTATGCACGTCTTCCTGGCTCATCAAATTATCCATGCCAGAATCGGATCGTGATCTTCTCCTCTGTCGATTGGATGCTTGGGCTCCTCCATTTGAACTGATTGGCTGGTATGTCGATTTTGATTCTCCCTCCACTTCCTTCATAGAAGTTTTCCACTGTCTCCAGATATCTTTGCCATTCCAGCAGGCGGTATGTGTGAGCAATGACGCGAGTCCCGCAAATTGCAGTCCATAGCTTAGAACATAGGTAATTGGTAGATATACCCGACTGTAATTGTGATATGCTTCCTTGTCAAAAACGAAATCTTTGGTCAAAATCTTGCTGACATCGTAGATATTTCCGGTGTTATCGAATACAGAAGAGGATAAAATGGGCATATACGAGGAATAGAAAACGTTGTAGTAATATGCGATGGGCGCCACAATCCACATGACAATAACCAGACCTCCAACCACGTTCATTGCAGCCCAGAAAGGTGTGAGGAGTGGTGAGCCGATATATGCGATCTGCGCCCAGTCGAAAGTCACGGGGAAGAGCCCGAGACCTGATGCTACACCAAAAAGATTTGCAACCACAACGCTCTTTGGCCAGATCCATGTGATGACGCTGAAATAGCTCAGTGCTGGAAAAAGAAGTCCAGGGAGGAAGTAGAAGGCGAAAGCGGAAAGCCAGACAATAAAGAAGAATCTCCATCTAGTAATCTTCCAGCCATTCGCAATTTTATTCTCCTCCTTGTGTAATGTAGTGAACATGGCCGCTGACATGAGTGTTCCCGGCCAAATCATTCCTCCTGGTCTGACCAAAAATCTTCGACATAATCCCGCAAATGTATATCCTAGGATCTGAGTAGAGAGAATCAGCAGAAGCTGGTATGTGATACTGACTTCTTGGTTGTAAAATTTCGTCTGCTCTACAATGACGTCTGTTGCAAATGCAAATCCGAAAGAAATGTTGCTGCTGATATAGACACAGCTATGCTCCTTCTCGTTCCATCTCCCTTGTGATAGCCACAACCGGAACTTTCGCGTGGTTCCTGGCCCGGCAGAATTATTGTTTATATTATCTTGTGTATCGTTCTCTGAAATCTCATCGTCTGACGCGCGTGTACTTCGTAAGCCGTCTATAAATTCTTCTTGTGGATCATCTCGTCGTTTAAGTATTCGGTCCCAAAGCAGACCTAAAGGATGTACTAGCAAAAGTGCGATAACTGGTGTAATGGAAACGCTCGGGTATCGAAGAGAAAAGAAAAGGTTGGTGGAGGATCCGAGGATAGCGAAGAGTATGGACAGAATCCACATGCGGGGGGTATTTATGGACAGAGTTGTGTTGTCTACGGCGGATACGGAAGCTCGTACTTGGGCGTAGGGAGAATTATCGGGAGGGTCCTCCTCGTCGAACAGAGGTTCGTCCGTCACGGCTTCCTCGGAGCCACTGCCAGAGTACGACTCCTCGCTGTCATTGAACGGACTGCCATCTTGGATTGGGTCTTTCGTCGTGGGTATTGGTATCCCTCCCGAGCTGTATCTGCTTCCCAGCCCTATGTCCTCCACCGGATCAATCGGGGTGTCCTCCGTCTTTGCAGAACTCTTCCTGCTCGTCCGTGACGCTCTTCGTCGAGATCTCCTGCGCGATACATCCGAGTCTGATGTGCCTTGGTTGCTAGACAAAGTCCCTGTGCTGAGCGCATTTCTCAACCCCGAGCTCTTCTTCCGCCGTTTGTCCCGCCTCCGTATCTCTTCATATTCATCCTCATCGCTATTCTCCGTCGAGACTCCTATCGGGGCCGCTCCATATGACCCTGTGCCAAACCCGGGTGAGGAGCGCAACAGAAGAGGTGCCTTCGACATCAGCCCCCACAATGATTTCAGCGGGGTTATAAACGACGTCTGCTCGTTCTGCCATGCGGCATGGTGTTGGAACTCGTCTTGAAGCTGGCTTGGAGATGTAGGACCGTGAAGGTCTGCTGCTCGATTGAAGCTGTCTGGTCGGTGGGAGGTCGAGAGAGAGGTGGGGGTTGAGGTCGTCTCGTGTCGTGGGTTTGAGTCAGTTCTTTGCGGCGGTGAACGTGGGGGACGATGTGGTGTCGAGGAGTCGAACGATCGCAATGGAATGGCCGACTGCGCTTCTATACCAATTCGGGTCGCATCAACGGGGCGGAGACGTCGGGCGCCATCTGCGGATATGCGTGGTTGACTGGCAGAGGATTCTGTTTGGAGCATATCCAGTGGATGGTGCGATGGTGACTCGATGAATCAGGCGCAAGCGCAGGGCAAGCTCTGGGCTGGTGGTGGGCTGGCGGCCCCGCTTGGTGTATTTTATTCCTGCTTTGAACGGAATCTGTAGGGGTGACAGATGGCTAGTGTACGGTGCTAGCAGAATAGTGTGCAGAAAAAGAAAATCTTGTCTTCTATCTGATCTAATTTAACAGCCGCGATAAGTCGTATTTGGGTTGCAGGTGTCTAGAACACAAGGAACACCAAGGAAATCCATTGAAACGCGACAACCCATTTAGCGTGCTGGGGGCGTACTTGTGTTTATACCAAGCTTCAACGAGCTATTTCAAAAGATACTCAAATCCTTTGGATTAAGCTAGATATTGGTATCAATATTCTTCGTTTTTCTCTCCCTTCATAGCCGCGGTTCTTCATCTCCCCACTCCTGCATCCAAAGCCAATGCAATGCACCTCTGCATCACGCTTTTCCTGGTCTTTTGTCAATCACCCGCATTATAGTGGGGTAGATCCGTCTTATCTGATCGCGAGATTACGAGAGATCTTCGTTCTGTTGCGCAGCTTCTTCTCCTCGCTCTTTGAACCGTGCCGGTAAGTCCGAAATCCTGTTATGTGCTGATTCTATCACGATATTGACCTCCTTTGGATCTTCAATTCACCGTATTGATGTTGATTAACAAAGGTTGCTTTTATTATCTATAAATCATTTGTAAATTACTGCACACAAATCCCCTTGTTATAAACATATGCCGGCTGTCTGAGAAGAACACTTCGCTAGTGCCTTTGCTAGCTGCTAATCATACCACCCTAGAGTCACGAGAAACTCCAAGAATTTACTCTCCCAATTTGCAATCGAAGTAATCGAAGTTGCTTTCCAGCATATATATCCTCACTCGCCATCACTTCCCTGAAGCTTTGTAGGCCATTTGAAATCCATCATGCTGTTGTAAGTCATTGACGCCACCTCCCTACGTTCCAAGTGACAGCCATCCTTTTAGTACTGATTTCGGCTCCTTCTAATGTCTATTGACTTGTATCCGTAGTCTCAGGCGGTGGAGTAGACAACGGCCGAATTGCAGTTAGCTGCCCTGCCAAACTTGGATCACCCAGTCCCCGTACTGCATCCCAGTAATCTGGTGGTGTATCGCTGTAAGCAGGCGGTGGTACCTCGACCGATATATAAGCAGGCAACGGGCCAGCAACAATTCTCCTAGGTGCGGGCGGTATACTCGTTCTGAGTCCTTGATGTATAAAGATAGCGAGTGCATCCATGACATATGAGTCCGCGGTCACAAAGGCTACCTCTGTATTCTCGTTTCTAGCCAAAGACCAGATTTTCTCGGTACGACCCTCTTGTATGTACTGCTGATCTTCTTTTATGGCCGGATAGGACACCAGATCTGCGTATTTCCAGACTTCGTGGAGCATCACCACGGCAAAATTATTGACCTCATAATTTTCCATAACGTTGTACTCAAAATCCGCACGGCCGTGGAAGTTTGCAACGGTAAGCAGGGAGAAGAAGTCCGGACACCGAATTGTCGTGTGCGAGTTCTTTGGGAAACTTATACCCTCGCGTTTGTTACTAGTCATCCCTGAGACCTGTCCCGGAGCACATTTCGATTGCTCGTCTTCGCAATACCAGTAGATTACCTCGTGTTTATCTACTTTAGCGGAAAACAGGTCCCCAAGCCGCTCTAAGTTCTTACGGATAAACCTACTCCGCCACCTCGACATTCTGTCAGCGGTTGAGTTCCATTCTGTGCCCAGATAAAACTTATGCGCCTGATAATACGGGTACCCAGTTTTGTTTGCTGTTTGGGCCTTTGCAAGCCATCCTGCCTGCTCCCATGCCTGTTTCAGGATGATTCGCTTTAAGTCGGTGCAGCTAGGGTTCACAAAAATATGCGGCATACGGTCCGATATTGGTACGAAGCCTCTTCGATTGTAATCCCTCTGATCAGCGACTGCGAGAACGAACCATGTCGCCATTAATGATAGCAAGATACGCATGCCGTTGAGATATGGTGACACGGCTAGGATATGCTACTCATAGAGAGTAGGAGTAGCAGAAGTAGTAAATATCAGGATAGCTACTTTGAAGTAATGAACAGTAAAATGAGATACTAAACCTTTAAAGAGCATATTTATTGTTAACAAATAAACACCATCTCTAGTTTCGCCGAAATTCAGGATATGTTGCTCATTCAGGCTTGAAGTAAACCCATTTCATATTATAAATGAAGTACTACCTATAAGAGACATAAATTCTGCAAACCCCGAGCCTAAAATCGACAACCAACATTCACCACTATGATCCAATTGACGCACAGATGCAAGTATTTTCCACGATACATCAAGATGGATACCTGCCTATGAATTCTTGCCATGGGAAAAGATTCACTTGTATCATTCACTCGTCTCTTCTTCCATACACCTGATATCTGAGCTCGATGGTGTCCAAACCTCTTGATTATAGTCTTGATTAGGATATGATTCGATGGAATGAATAATGAGTCAGGGCTATAATTATTGGTCGTAAATTATACAAGCGATGAGATAAAATATGAGCTATCTACATATACCGGCTTTGACCCCAATTCTTAATATGGTTTGGAAAGTATCGGTACCTTTATAAGAATTGTAGTTACAACAACGGTATCGCCAAGTTTCTAACAGTTACTTATAAGGAGTCAACTATTTTATGAGATGATTGATAATTAAGACATTTTGACTATCTTTATTCATTGAGGAGCCTGAGGTCCAGGTGCCTGAGACCTAGGTACAGCTGGAATTGCACTGCTAAATAGTTGTTGGAGATACACAGCGAGAGCATCCATAGTATACGAATCAGCAGTTACATATGCTGATTTCGTACCTTCATGACTTGCCAGGTCCCAAATCTGATCCGCACGATCCTCCTGAATAAAAAGCTTTTCTGGGTGTGTACGCGGGTGGCAGACTAGATGCTCATACTTCCATATCTCGTGGAGCATGATAGTCCCACGGTTTATGTCGAAATTGTCTATAATCGTATGATTGGACTCGCTTTCGAAGTAAAAGTCAGTTTGATCTTTGAGTGTCCCGATGTTGAAAAATTCCGAACACCATATCGTTGTATGCGCGTTATGGTAAGCGCTGGTCCGACTCTCGAAGGCATTGCTAGTTACACCAGAAATCTGACCAGGGCGGCATTTTGTATCAGAGTCCTCACAGTACCAATAAATAAATTCATCAGTAGAGACGGGGCCCTCAAACAGCATTTTGAGGCGGTTGAAGTTAGCGAAAATAGCCGTTGACCTAGTTCTTGCCAGCCGCTCGTGAGAAGTAGCCAATGCGTTCCACTCGTCACCGAGATAGATTTGATGCACAGCACCGTAGTCGTAACCTTCGAGAAATCCCGTTTGTGCTTTTGCGAGTAGTTGCGCCTCGTCCCAGGCTTGCTGCAATAAGATCTTCTGCGCTTCGCTGCAAGTGTGGTCGATGAAGATGCGAGGAAGAAATAGAGAGAATGGTAAGAATCCCTTCGAGTTAGGTATAAAAGAGTATGAAGGTGGTGGTGAGGGCTGTGGGGGTTGTGGAGAACTGTTGACGAGAAAAAACTCGAGCCAAATTGCTATTATTGGGATTGAGATATGCATGCTACTCGGAATGAATGATATCGCCGGTATATGTACCAATATTTATTAGTGAGTAACATGTTGAAGAATAGCAGAACTTTTCTTTTTATCAAGCACGTTGTACTATGCAGCCTTAGCGAGAAAGTTAGCAATTATTTTGCTTTATTCGGACTATCCCCTCTTGAGAATATATGAATATAATATATTTAACCTATTTAAAACAAACTCGCATTGCTTAAGTAGCTAACATCAAAACTTACGTACCCAAAATATTCACTGAACAATTGCAGTTGTCAGGCATGGAAGAAAGTTACTTTCGTCGACTTAGCTTTCAAACCGATGTGATATGGGAGACGGTATACGCCTCCACCCGAAAATAATTTCACTCCAATTTCGCTACATTCAGAAGACAATAGCTATACATAGGTCTTAGTGTGAAATATCCTGGGTATCATGGGTTACGCTCGCACCGGGACGCAATGAAGTCACAGAAACCAAATTCTACTTCATAATTTATATCATGAAAATCAACTGAGCATTATTTCAGCAGTTGGATCCAGGTTGACCGACCAAAAGACCCCAGATCTGAATGCCATTGCGTAGACAACACTCACAGTCGAACCCGAAAGTTGGTCGCTGGAACCTAGCTTGTTTTAATGCAAAATCAAGTTTCGGTCACAAGAAAATCATACATCTTGTTTGAATCCTGAAAAGTTTGCAAGATTGACACTCCGCCAATTCCGCACCATATCACGATTTTTGAAGAAACTCTTGACCCCGAATATCTTTTCACATCACAATTGTATTTTCACGCTAGTCGAAATTTGGAATTAACGATTCAAGAATACGCTCAACAACCATTTATCCGCTTGAGTTTATGCCAAAACCAATGGACATCCTGTGCTTGCTCACTACCACACGTGAGATCCGAGATAGTCATCCCCAATCACGTTCGGATCAATCAATATACTTTCAGAATCAATCTCGGTGTTATCCTGGCCCCTGTCACTCTGGTTATCCTGAAACCTCTCATTAATTTGCTCCTCTGCTTCCCCTGCGTTTTCTGGTACGTGCTCTGCCTCATCCTTATCCCATCCAAACACATCACCAGTATTGATACTATCACGGCCACTATCGTGCTCGTTATTTTGACTGCTCTGGTGAAAATATGCATCCGTTGCTCCTATTTGATCCGGTGCCTTGTCGTTTTCACCCAAGCGACATCCATTCACATAATCATTATCCATGTCATGCTGGCCGCTGTCGTATTCGATATCTTGGGGTAAATATTCTTTGACTTCTTGCGTCATTTCTGGTGCGCTGCCATTTGCAACGGCAACCCCAACTACCTTTTCCTCCTGGCCTTCTTTCTCTTTTCCATTTGTTTCATTTTCATTACATCGTCTTTCCTGATTTGTGAGAGAATCTATGAGTGGAATTAGGATACGCGCAGACCAATGCCATCTGTCATTGTGGTCTGCGTGTTCGCATCTGTGTTGTGAGGTATAAGCGAAAGGAAGTTTCCTAATTCCAAATTCATCGACGCGGCCCTGTTCCCATCCACGTCTTTGGTCGAATTCCCTCTCCTTCTCCTCATTCCATGATCTCTCCTGCGCTCTGAGTGTTTCAAGGCTCGCACTCTCCTGACTGCTAACTTTAACTCGTCTACGAAATACGTTTCGGCTGCCGTATGCGCTCATGTACTTCTTTTGCCATTCCCGTGGCTCGGAAACAAACTCATCTAAGCTACAGTATCCAGCACTATAACCGGGTCTGATGGACTCAAGTTCCCGTTCCGTCAATATGTGCTGCCTATCCAATACGGGAACTTGCTCCTGTAATGTAGATGTAGAGTGCAAAGACTGTATATCAGTAGAGGCTTTCGGCCCCGAAAATTCAGATGATCCAGAATGTTGACTCGGAAATGCAGCTGATGGTGAGTTTTGTTGACTGGGAAGGGTTCCTGGGGTTGCAGACACTGATCCAGGGGACCGCGTGGAGAGTATTTGTGAAGCGGGATTTTTGCCCGGCCTAGCCACGGGTTGTTGAATGGGGATATTAGACGGATAGCCTGGTGATGGCGTACCCAACGCTGAGAGTGGCGTTAGTGCCTGCGTCAGCCCACTAGATTGGGATCTTGAAAACCCCGGTGACGAGGAACCACCCGTGACAGTAGCCACCTTCTGACTTGTCTCGTTAAAATCACTGAAAGTTCTTTTTGCCGACTCAAAAATTGGTCGGGAAATGGGTTGGTTGAGGCTGGGTAGTCTTTGTGCAGTACTTGAGAAACTCGTCGGCGACAGCGACCCACTAGAGCCTTGGGATCCTATGCTGTGGTTCATTCCACTATGAATCTTCGTTTGGTTGAAACCCATCATCGTAGAAACGGGCTCTTGGTAACTTTGCAATCCTCTTGTTGAATATTGTTGTTGATTCAAAGCAGTGCCCCTCGGGTGTGGAGATTGGGAGGACTCCATCCCTCTCTCATTCCACCCTCCATATATTTGACTGTGTGGTATTCCTTGGTTTCCATGGTGTGTTGTAATAAGACTGCTTTGATAGGTTTGCGGCAGCTGTCCGTATCCTGGCTGGAGCTCAACAGATAATCCGTTCTGGCCCATTGATTGAGGGACTTGGGAGAGGCCATTTGCCGTCGTCCTGTTATATCCAGATAGTTGAAAGTTTTCCCCGTTCGAAAATTTTGGGTTCACTGTCTCGTAGTGACTAAACGGATGCTGCTCCTCGACCTGTGACTGCTGCACAAAGAATGGTTGAATGTTGCCATTCCCCACTATCATGGAACCACTTCCCGGATGTGGAGGCCTTTGATCGGTGGTTGCTGGATTTTGAAATGCCGGCGTATGAAGATTGTTTTTTGTCTCAATGGTCTCTTCTCTAGACTCAGCCATTATGTTTTGCCACATCAACTCTGTCTAATCCCAATCAGCCTGCGTAACGAATGCGAATTATTTACATACTTCTGGGTCGATCTTGTACATCGGGTGAGTGGGATTGTTCAAAAGTTCTATGGGGTCATTCTCTGGCGCGACCATGTTGATAGGGCCTTCAAGCGCTATTGATATAGAGATAAACAGTCGTAGGCTCGTAGCGATATGTTATGTAACCGTATCGATTTTAGTAAAAGCTGCGTGCGCAAGGAGTATAAAAAGTACAAAAAGAATGAATTGAATTTCTCTCTCTTGATGCAGTTGATTTGGCAAGTCCTTGGAGTTATTCCCTACGCATCGCTCTTTCCATGTTGAGAGGTTGGAATTCCCCGGTGCTAGCCCGAGTTATGTCACAATCTCAACGAAAGCCTCCCAACAATGGAACTGGGATGGAAACATGGCATGAATAACTCCACTAAGTATTTGATAGAAACAATCTTCAGCTGCAGCTTCTAGAACTCGTGCACGTTCAGCTTAGACTGAAGAAAGTGCGCATACATCTTCTAAAAACCTATCTCATTGACTTCCTTTGATTGCCCACTCCACACCTCTCCTAGCTCCCTCCTCCAATGTGACTTTTGGTTCCCAATCCAATCGCTCTCTCGCCTTCGAAACATCAAAAGTGCGATCCATACTGCAATTCTGCATCTGACTCTTGTTGAACTTTTGTGGTCTTCGTTTCCCAGCACTCAGCATCCACGCAACCCACTCAGCTATTCCAGCCATAAAAAACATCAACCACATCGGAATGGTTATGATCTTTTCTGGTGGAGTACGATCGCCTGCAAGCCTCCAAACCAGTCTTGCGAAACTCCAAAACTCCATTGGTTCCCCATTCGTGATCCAAAATGCTTCCCCAGCGACGGTCTTGTCACCACCTTGCAATTTCTCGGTATGCTCTTTCATCAATGCTTTTGCACAACATACAGTTGCATCGGCAACATTGCCAGCATATACGAAATCAAACTTGTTCTTCCCGTCTCCGAATTGGAACCGTGCCATGCCTTGCTTCATTCCCCCTATCAAACTGGGGATCACTTGTGCATCATGCTCGCCGATGATTCCAGAAGGCCTCAAAACAGCAGTAAGCAATTTGAAGGGTTGATTCGCAGCGAGAACCATGGAGTCTGCGGTAGCCTTCGCTGCTGAATACGGATCATGATTCGTTTCTGGGTTGATTAACTTGGCGTCAGATTCGGGTAGCAACGAAAATGGCATTCCAGAGGCGATTGAGGCACTAGATATGTAGATGTAACTATTGATGGCTGGTATCTCAGCGGCCAAATTTAGAGATAATGCGGCGCCTTCAATGGTAGTAGACGTGGACGCTTGAGCACCCGCATGAGCAAGCGGAGAAGCAGAGTTGACAATAATTGTTGGAAGTAATTTGAGTAGAAGACTTTCGAGTTCCATCCTCTTCGAGATATCTACCGCGTAATAATCTGCTTCATCGCGGAGATTATGCGTAGGTGAACGACTCGCAACGGAAACTTTCCACGTCGGGTTGTGTGCCAGAAAGGCTTGGACAATGTGGCATCCAAGGAATCCACAACCACCAATCACAAGAACATGAGGTGTTGTCGGTGCCTCTTCGCCTGCCATATCTGCTATTGACAATGATCTGGAATCAAGATTAGTTGACGAGCAGTAACAGAGGATAAAGGTTGTCTGGTTGTCTGGTTGTCTCGGATGAGGCCCACACCGTGTTGGTGGCTGTCAACCTAGGGAGTTTGTGGTGAATTTAGCGAGCTGCATTCAACCACACCTAGCACATCAGGCACAGTAAGTGCATTCACGACTGTGCATACGCCATTTTGGAAATCAGATCACAGGTTGTTGTGATTTACGACGTGACTTGCATAGCGGCAAAGCAGATCCCGCCCCCTGGAATTGAATTGTTCTATTTGGGAAGACCGGGGGGTTCTCGTTTGCATGTGCTTGAAGAAATTCATGGTTGGCTATGAGCAATAAAACATCAAGGCTAAACTTTCCAAGTGAGTGCAATATTATATAAGAAAGCTCATCACCTTTTAAGTCCTAGCATTTATAACTCGTCGTGTGTTGGAAATTTTAAAAGTACACTTCTCATCGTCACATCATCTTTCCACTTACTCGGTTCTAACAAAAGAACCTCACGAAAATTCATTTATACAAAACGTAAAACGAACAATGATTGCCTATGCTTGGGCTCCCTTTGACAATGTTTTCTTCGGCTGTGGTATTCTTTTTGGTGGCATCGCCGTCTTTTTGCTTCTTCTTACAGCGTGGTTCAATAGCATTCTACCTTCTTTCCCCGAACCTCCCGTATGTATGTCATTACTCTATCACATAGAAGTTCCAGCCGCTGAAAACTTCAGAGCGGCCTAGATGTCCCGACGAGCTTCTCACCCATATCTCGATGGGTTTGGGGTAAGAAATGGCTTTTGCAAGGGAGAAATCTACTCATCAAAGCTCATGTGAGTGACTTGAACACCGGGTCCGGCCCGCAGGTACACTTTGACTGATTATATTCATAGGCACCGAGACAATCCTATATGCTTCCTACACCCAAGAACTATTGCGTCTTCATCTCCAACGAACAAAACATCAAAGAATTCGCTTCCAACCCTGATTTCTCGCTTAACCAAGCATACGACGATGTAGGTCCCCAGCTGCTCTCAAAACACACTCAGTCACTGACATTATGAAAGCTCTTTTCATACAAACACAATAAATTATATCATGATCAGCAAGAGTCTGCTTTGATCAATCAGCAGTATTATTTTCGCGTCTTGCGAGAAGGATTGACAACGAAGCTAGCAGGATTATACCCCTACATGTACGAGACTCTCGTGAAGGAGATGGACGGTCACATTTCGCGCAAGAGTGAAGTAAACGGTGAGTTAGATAGTCGAAGTTGAATCGGACTGCGCTAACACTTTTGTAACTAATTAGGCTGGAAATCCATCCACTACTACCCATTTCTGGAATACGTAACAGTCTCCATGATTGGCCCGATTTTCTGGGGTCAACCACTCTGTGAGACCCCTCAAACGAAAATGAATACAACTGACTAATCCATTTACCTCTTAGGGGACGTCCCTGAATTTCAAGATGCGGCTCGCAGATTCCCAGCTCAATACTTTAAATTTGGCGAGATTGTACAACACGTACCTAAAATTACCATTCCGTATGTTCCACAACGTGCACGACTCAGCTCTATCTGACTCATCTTCCCAGACTTGTGAAGTATGCTGTCACGGGGGGAAACAAATATCGCAACGTCTTGATCAAGCATCTGCTGCCAATTATTAGAAAGCAACTTAGCGAAGAAGCAAAGCAAGAAAAGACTGGCGATGAATCACCTGTAAGATTTGTGCAATCTCAACATATTTGGGTATGCTGATTTTGAAGTTCTGCGACATCATGCAAGATGCTATCCGAATGGTACGAGGGAAGGCTTACTGGACGCCTGAAAGAGTGATTTTACTTCTGGAAAGTCTTTGGCGAGCTGGCGGACACTCCGTCCCAATGGTAAGCGATGTTTCTCTTTAAACGTAGCAGAAAACAACTAATTTGGAGGCTTGGTAGACAATAGCACATATTGTAAATTCATTGTGCGAGCATCCAGAATATTTTGAGCCACTACGCGAAGAGCTCCAACAGCACCAAGATATGGATTTCAAGACACTTGAAAGTCTGCCACTTGCTAATAGCTTCATGAAAGAAGTAATTCGGACCCGGCCGTTAGATAGCGGTAAGCTGATTTGGGAATTTATTATTATCTTACACTGACAAGGATTTCAAAGCTTCCACGCGACGGAAAGCGATGAAAACACATACCTTTCAAAACGGACCTCACGTCCCCGCTGGAAACATCGTATGTATACCTTCGCTTAGCATCATGAACGATGCTTCTATCTACCCCAATCCTCAAGTGTTTGACGGGTTCCGCTTCGTCACGGCCAACGATGCAGGAATGGTCAACGAAAGCCCGGATATGAAAGGCATGAGTAAAGTCACAGATGTTAATCTGAAGTTTCCATTTTGGGGCTATGGAAAAGAAGCTTGTCCTGGGCGATTCTTTGCCTCAATTGAAATGAAAATTGTCATGGCTATCCTCGTCAGCAGGTACGATTTTAAGCTAGCGAAGCCGGAGACACCCACAAGTTGGTCGTGGCGGACGATAGCGGTCCCCCGACGGGACAGTGTCCTCTTGATTCGTGAAAGATCTGGGGAGTAGTGCGCTTGATGCCACTTTGACAATTTCATTTGTACTACTATGAAAGATGGGGGGACTGGAGAATCCGATTCGTTGATGTTGTTAGTCAAACGTAGTTACTCAAGCTGTTCTTCTTTTCATTTTACTTCGGAATTCTTATGAATCTATCAATTTTCATCAGATAAAGCCATATACTTGACATCAATTCTCTCGGAATTCTCACCACAATTTGTTTCCTAATCTAAACTTGAATATGACCATTCTCGGACTTTGTAACTGTTACACCAACACCAATAGACCAATCTAATAGCACTTTTCATTGGATGACGAAAATTCAGATTTAGTAAGCTCTGCCCCTGCCGCTTCGGTTTGTAACAAGATCCTCTGCCAAGCAGCAGAGATCTTACTCGTAACTCCCAGGCCACTGACTTGCTATCTGGAACCTCCAAATCCCCTCATTAGCACATTTTGAATGGTAAGGCACAATCGAGACCCAAAATTTGTTATCTTTCAATCGATAAGGACGACCTTGTCATTCGACTGCAGCATACCCTATGCATCACAGCACCGCCTTGCTTCAAACTCCTCAATTCGCCTTGCCAAGCGAATTTCATCTTCTTGCTATTAAGTACTCCGTAATAACCTTAATTCCCACTTACTTTGGACAGGGTTTGAGAGTTCAGACGATCGTTTTAGGGATTAATACGCAAATTCTCGGTAAACGCTGATGACTTCGGGATCGCGTTGTGACTTTGAGGGCGAGGTTCGAAGTCGCACACGTAGTACCAAAGAGGTATTTTCCCTGATTTCTACGCCACAAAGCTAGATCCGCAGTAGGTGGTGACACGAAACACGATTTATGTGCGATCGTGTATGTGTGCGCCCCCACGATGTTGTGCCGAGACGCAGGATTATCAACAACACGGGTCGTAAATAATCGTGGCCTTTTCCCACATTCTTTGATCGATATCGCATCACCACAGCGCCAGTCGTGAGATATCTGTGCCACTTGGGGACGTTTGGTCTCACGCACTCCTTCTCACAATGCAACTGTTGTCCATTGCAGGTGACGTGCAAGAATTGATTCGTCAACAAAATTGAAAGGACTGTGGTGCTAAGTACAGATTTGATTATTGGTAAGATACTGGTTTTATGGATACACACATCGCTGACAGTCTCGGCTCAGCAAGTTATGACAAGGGGCAAACTCAAGGTCATCTCTGCTTAATTGGTCTACTGAATTCGAGAAGCAAAATTCATGCTTCGGGATGACTTTCGAATACGTTCTCCATACACAATCAGAAAGGCAGGAAACGGTATCAGCAAAATAGCAATCAAAGCGAGCAAAGAATTACCCCAACCAAGCCCCAAAGCAGCATACATTGGCGGACCGGCAAGCGGTAAAAAAGCACCTGATATTGAACGGAGAACTGTGTTTGCAGCCACGGCGGAAGCCGAGTATAAAGGAAAGGCATCTACTAGATAAGCTTGTGTAGGTATCTGTGACTTTGTTAGCAGACTCTCAACACTTGGAGACACTCACAATTCTCAAAAATGAGCAAAAGTTGAGTTCAAACGTACGAATGTTGCCATCATGCCAGTTCCAACAATAGCTGTCCCAATGATAGGCGCGATCCATGCATCTGTTTTCTCGGCTGTCCAACCATATATTATGAGGCCAATGGGAATGAGAATAGCGCCGTAGACCATGATTGGGAGGCGGTATTCAGGTTTCATTTCACAATTTTCGCTTTTTTTGGCCCTCGATTTCAGGGTCTGATCGGATAGAGCACCGAAGATTCCAGCACCAAGAAGCATCCCGACCGCCAGCCCTAAGAAAGATAGACCTGCAATACTGGTACCAAAATGAAAACGAGCCTCGAAGACGAATGTGATTGTTGTGTATAGCAAATACAACTGGCCGAAGACGAAAGCTACGAAGATGGATAACAACAACACGATCGGCGAGAACATCAGCATCTGAAATGGTCGAATGATAGCTCGGTAAAGAACCAAGCGTGAGGAATGAGTAAACTCAATTTTGAAGCGAGCATTGGAGTTCGCATTCTTTCGTAAATGCGATGCTTTCTTTTTCAGAATGGTTGGCGAATAGCTCTCGGGGACAAAGAAGTAATAAGCTATTGCTACAGCTGCAGACTGGTTCGTTTTTTCTGTGAGCATAAGTCCAAGTGCGGATTCAGATATCGTAAATTACATACCGCAATCGTGAGTATCCAAAAGATCCATCGCCAACCTATTGCACCTGATATAAACCCGCCTGATCATTGTCAGATCTTTTCTGAAACGTTGAAAATGGCATAGATGGTACCGACCTGCCACAGGACCAATTACGGGACCAAGTAGAGGGCCCAACGACCAAACCGCCATAGCCGTCCCTCGTTCTTCTGCAACGAAAAGGTCGGTAATGGTGCCTCCTCCGATAGTCAAGACGGCGGATCCCATTGCGCCAGCGAGAAAGCGAAAGACAATCAGCATAGACATATTTACACTCAGAGCGCACGCCGCCGTACAAATGATGAATAGAAAATTTGTGGTATGATAAACTGGAGCACGTCCATATACTTCAGAGAGTGGCGCGAGAATCAGTGGACCTATTGCATTGCCTAGAACATAGACTGACACAACGAAAGTGCCAAGAGTTGAGCTTTGAGATTTAAACTCCTTCATTACCAATGGAACACTAGGTGCAAACATGGTAGAGGCTAAGGTCCTATTTGCTTTATGAGTGAAAAAGTTTGGTCATTGCAGAGGAACAAAGCCTACGAAAGAAATGTCATAAGCGCAAGCACAACTATCGTCGTCCATTTCTTGCCAGCATTCCAGTTCTGTGCTTTGGCTGGGTCATTCGGGCCTTCAAAGTCCACGTTCTCAGTATCCATTTCCTTCATATCGTAGGACTGACTGCTTGAGAAGGCAAATACTATCGAGATAGCCGTAAATGAGGGCAGAACTTTGGAATGAGTTCTTGACGTTTGCTGAGATACTGACAGTCGTAATACCTGTGGAAGTGATAGGTAGTATATGCGGTAAGCCGTAAGCGAGACGCAGTTGGTGTTGGGTGTACATTATCGGAAAAGCATAACAGAAAATTTATTGGTGGGGAGTACAGGGATTGGTTTGCTGCATGAGACTTTCCCAAGTCTTACCTTGGATCGCGTCTATCCGAAGTACGAAATATACATAAAGGTACATTCAATTTTTGGGAAAGTAAATGAGTATGAGATGAAAGCAAAACAGCACCTACCAATGACCAATCATGCCATAAGAATAACCGCAAACGGAAAGGATGCAATCATTTTGTGTGCATGGTAGAAGATGAATGTGATGCTCTCAAGCCAAGGTGGGCTACTTCGACCCTGGGCTTCCCTCGCCATTCATGTCATTTCGAGTCTCGCTCCCACAACCCGCAGTAGGCAAAACGCAGCTCACTCCAAATCAATGTTTTCGTGTTATCCCACACTCTTTAGAAGTTGCATTGGTATATCGCCACCAAACAACATCGAAAATTTGCGCCACAGGCCCACAACCGAAAACCTTTGCGGCGCGGAATACAATCTTGCTATCGTCAACTACAGTATACCACATCGGATGACTGAAAGATATCTCGCCATACACTTAGAATGACATAGTTGTTAACAGGGTTGAATTGACGACATGTCAACCCACTTAGTGATTTTCGAGCTCGGCTGCACCCCTGGTATTTGATGCATGTCGGAACAGCACACACGGGATGAACTTAGTGATCTTGAGGCGTAGAGTTTCGTAGGTAGAGTAGTGCTATGAGAACATCCCGCGTGAGACAGCGTCGTATTATCTCCTCGTCAACAATTCTTACTTTAGAATATGTGGGATCATGGTGATGTATTATTGTGGCAAAACGTTGTCGAAAAAGTAAATAACCATCTCTAAGCCATACTGTTTCAGAAAAACCCCGTTTCTGGTTCCTGATCTACCCGGGCGGATTTTGCTACTGGATACTATTCAAGCCACCATTTCTGCTCTTTGCGCATTGCCTGGGAAGGATTTTAGTATAGCCAATCGCTCGAGCATTTGATGATCTGGTGTGTGTGAAATTGACAACGTGCTGATCGGCTTTGGCTTACATATCACACCATCAACGGGATATTGCGTTTACATTGCAGAAGTCTGCGGCGTACTTTTGATTCACAAACAAGAATGGTGAATGAAGGATGGCGAAATTCTTGGACCACAAAGATCCTGGAAGTGTGACAGATGCTCTCTGGCGTGCATGCGTGTATGTGTGTCAAGTCAAGTCAAGACGATAATTAGTTGACGATCGCTCCCGTCCATCTAGCAAACCATCCCATAGTTTAACATGAGCCTCCAGTTTAGCCCTCCCAGCTCGGGTTGTCAAGTCTGCAAAGATTTCCAAACTTTTTACAAATATATTTCTTTATCTTGAGTGAAAAATAAGCCACTTTGCAGTATTGTGCCACATATGAACATTAGACGAGGCATTAATATTCCTGGCGGCACGAGCAAGATCATGCTACGGGAACGGAAGGTCTGAAGTGTGATGTTCATGACATTTCTGCGTTTATGAGGCGAAACTTCCAAGTACAATACTAGAGAGGGAAAGTTTGCGAGGCAGAGAGCTGCGCGTGATGACCGATGCTCGAGATTGAGTGAGCCCGAAGCCACTGACAACAAAACATCAGAGTGGTCGGTTTGGGGGAATTCAAGTTCCAGCCAGGCCACCCGCCCATGACGTGTAGGAATTCGAACCTTCTCCAGGAAGTTGGTTCTTTGTTTATAGATTATAGTAGTTTTGGAGTCTGTCTGGCATAGGAACTTTTGTTTAATGGATCAAGGAGAACGTGTGTTTAATTTACTTCGTCTAGTGCGTCTTTAAGAGAAGTTCTATTTATCCACTAAAACTACATTGTAGCATATTACAATCGAATGAATATAGTACACGGCCTCTTCACCGCCGAAACATCAGCGAATTTACCTTCTCTCATCTTTGAGATGAAATTCCTCTCGAACATGAATTCCGTCCTCCTTTGGTTGCCAGCCCTTATCCCTATTGTCAAATGCTGAAATTTGAACTGGTTGCAATTGTGCAAGCTCAGCATCCTCGCGCCATGCATCTGGTTCGCGTATTCCGTAACTGGCGCCTCCTTTGCGGCTTGCGCTGTTATATTCATCGCTTCTCTCGTCAAGAGAGCTACCTTTCCCGTATGTTCTCCTACGTAAAAATGTGAAGTAGGCCGCGAGTCCGGATATTTGTTTAGAGTAGTGCTTCGTCAGACCACCGATCGATGGCATACATGAGCAGGAAACACCGACTGAAAGTTCAATAATACTAATGCAGTGTTAGAGGCCCGTGACTAAATCACCAAGAATGCATGATAATACATACCAGAGTAAGGCAGGGGGCAACAACTCCCAAGAGCCATCCTTACCAGCTTTTGATCGAAGCCGGAAAACCAACCCAACAATACTGACCAGACAAGCTCTGCGAGAATACTTGTCAACTTTCGAAAAGAGTGTGAACAGAACAGACAAGACTTACAGCAGTCCAGTCGAAAAAATCCCAATTATACCCAGTCTTCGTTCTTTTGGCATTTGAAGCTGCCAAATTCCAATGGTAGCTATGAAGAACAAGTAAAAGTCGCTAAAGATATTGAAACAAGCTGCAACTATTCCAACAGTAGAGGACGGTGTGTTCGGCGCAATCTTGATTGTTGTTAACCATGTTTGTCCCGGTCCCGGAATGTAGTAATAAAACTGGCAGATGGCTGTCGCGACGTAAAATCCCGTTGTGATCGCTGCTCCACCCCAAATCCACCGGACTAGGTGAGTGCGTGGCCGAAATATCTGCATGTATAATATGAAGAAGGTGAGTTTTGCAAAGAGCATTGTTGGTAGTGACCCAACGACGAACGCGGTACCCCACTGAAACATTTAGCTTCTGCTTCGAGTGAGTTGCAAGATTGACTGACCATTAGGAAATCAGTTCTTATAAGATTGCCAACTTTGAGGTTCCATTGATGGGTGCCAACTCCGAAATGGCAGACTGAACAAATTGATTAGGACACATCATCTGTATTTTCAGAAGGAACAGACTAACTCATAGATGCAGTAAGAAGCTGTTCAATGACACCCAGCTAGCGATCCACATCAGCATGTTGAAAACGAGTGAGTCTAATGTAAGTACGTACAGCTGCCAACACACATGTCACTAACAAAGGGTCAGCATGATCTCAAAAGATTGAGGAAGACACTTACAGTCGTCCCAAGTAAATCTCTTGATAAGAACAGCCTTGTGATAGAATCTCGCAGCAACAAAGCACATCATGATAAACACAAACAACGCACCCATCGAATACACCAGAGGGGCCAATGTGTATGGGTTTTCAAAGTTAGCAGTAACTCCCTTGGGAGGAAGTCCCGCTGGAAAAGCCGCAAAGGCCGGGAACATGCTCGGATCGAGGTCCATTAGTGAAGCCATCGTTCTTTACCTTCTTGTTCTGGTTTTTTTTGCTGAGCAACAGTTTTCGAGGACTCGTCTCGTGGTTTTGTCGCAAAAACCACATCTCTTCGTTCAGTACGCCTCTGCACACGCACCACATGAAGATGATGCTGCGCCGTTGAATACACAATGTCCGAAGGAGTGCACATAATTGGGCGTTGTTCGCACACTGCAGTGTTCCAGCAGACGCCACTATATCTAGTCATACTCGATGTAGTAAACCCTGTATGCGACGTTGTTATCAGACGGCCCAGATCTCGGGTCGCTCGCTCCCCCCACACGTATCCAGATTGAAAGGATTTGTATCCTGGAGCGCCACATGGCGGGACAGGAACTGGCACAAGTTTAGGGTCACATCAAGATGTGAGAACAGGGTGGTATGCAGGACATGCGCCTCGCGTAGTTTTGAGCGGGAATGGGTATTTACCGTCAACGAACAAATCACAGACATTACTTCGTGAAGGAATAATAAGTATACTGTCAGCTTATTACTGAGTATTTTGGTTTTGAGGAAGATGCGACACACCAAATGTTCCCGCGAATACCAAGAAGTCGAAAGCTATTGTCATCCCGCATTTACATGTCCGTGAGCGGCCAGAACCCGCCGACTCACATTCACGCCCATTACCATCCAACCCAGTGTCCCTTTCCCAAGGTTGCTGGAAGAGACCAAGAAAGACGTATATTTACGTACGAACACAAGACGATGCATAAGCCATGATTATAAGACTAAAACCGTCTTATTTTGCTGGAAATACATAGGTATATAGACAGGCTTTCACCGAATTCTTCCAAAAGCAGCAATTTTACCCCAAATCTTCGACAACTTCCTACTAGTATCCTTCAACAAACTCTTTGGGGCCTCTGATCTCGCTTATTTTTCACCCTGGTCTTTTAGTTTCCAGCATTCCCTGACATCCTCCATAGGAAAATCGTGATCAGATAGCCTATGTAGCGGTCGGAGGAAAGATGGTACATAAGTAGCTGAGGGTTCATGAAAGACTTCTTCTTGGGAGAAGTCGTCGTGAAATTCTTCTTGCGGTACGGTGTGATAGGACCCAGATTGAGCAGAAATAACGTTAGGTTCGTGTGAGAGAGTGTTCTGGCCTTGAGATATGAGTCCATTCGAGTTTAAATCTTGTTCGCCGTGAAATAGTGGGACTGATATGCTGTCGTCTTGTGTGTCTGTTTGAGAGGTTTCGTCGCTAGTTTCAGCGTTTGAGACGTGACCGCTGTAATCTTGATCTCGGTGAAGCTCTTCCACAAAAGTTCGCTTAGCTATCTTGGCCATTGTAAGCTGAGATAAAAGTGGTGGTAATGATCTGTTGGTTGTACCGGTTGATGCATCGACTCTAGGAACTGAATTTTCTAAGTGAGCAGAAACTGGTGCAACGTGCTGGAGCTGATGCATTTTTTCTTGAGCACCAGGCGATCTTCCCACACCAGCGGGTGGTTGATTCATACCCCCAAGTTGATATTGATGGTAGAGTACAGCTCCGGTTCTGTGTGATGGTATTTCCGATTGACGCTCGTGTCCCATTATCGGTGTATCACCTGAACCAGATTCGCTTTGAGAATGGTTCGCAGTTGGCGAATCAACTGAAAAGCAATTTAACCAAGGTTTCGGCACGTTTTTGAGTACTGGCACCGTCTTCTTTCGCTTCCGTGGTTTCGGTCCTCCATCTTGGTCTTGTTGAATTTGTTCCTCATTATTAATCGAAGAAAGAGACTGTCCTTCCTCTGAACGTTGTAGTCCGCCAACATCCAATCGAGACGTTGATGCTGCCGAGGTCTTGGATTGGATAGACAACTCGCCAGGTGTAGCGGGAGTCCATGTGCGTTTTGTGCGTTGCCCAGTCACTTCGACAATGTTCCCTTGTTCAGAGGATTGCTGCCTGACTGTGGTAATTGGAGCTGAATGATTGAGAGTGTATCTGCTGGTCTCGTGGACGTTAATTCGCTGTGGAGAAGACCCTAATTGATGTGCTGGATCCTGGGCTAAGGCGGTCGTAGTTTGCATGCGGCGGCTATGGAAACCTTCCACCACTTGTCTTGTGTTTTGGTAATTGCGGGGGATGTACCGCTCTGACGCTACTTCCGGAACTTGATTGAGTTGACGGGATGTGGGGCTATGATTTATGAATCGAAGGAACTTTTCCATGCTAACACCAGCCATACTTTCCTTGATTCCTTGCTTGCTCCTCCAGAGGTCCCAGCAAGTTGCATTGCTTTACTGCATTTCTGTTCCTCGTCAGAATTCAGACTGTATGTAGACATGAAATTGGTGATTAGGTTAGGACTTTGTTTAATGGCTGAGTAGTAATAAAGATACTCTTCGAATGAAACAGGAACATGAGCGAAGTTGCCTTGTTCATTACTGTGGTTTTTGTGCTTGTTTGGTTTAGTAAACAAATCCAAACTGCCCTTCACATACCCTGGTCTAAGCAGGGCAAGTGTGTCTTCAGTCATCCGAATTCTTTTTGGTGCTGCATATTTCTTTGGTATCCTTCCAGGTATGAATAAGCGCTGGACTCTAGCTTGCGGCTCTCTGGAATGCTGGGAAAAGTCTTCCGTTGTTGTCAGTGGGACTAAATGACTGGGATCCGTATTCTCAGCGGGAGCAACAGACAGGGTTTGCTCATTAGAGAAGTCTGGTGAGTTTGATGATAGGTTCGAAGTTGAGCTATGAACTGGTCCGTCGCTTACAGCCATTGCCTCCAAATGGTTTGGCTCAGCTAAAAAGGTCTTCGGACGGAGATCAGACGTTATCCGGGCCGGATCTGCCCTTGTTCTCCCAAGCCGCATATTCATTTTGAAGTTGACTAGGGCGCCTGTGCAGATGTTCGGGGGTTTATTTGTTTGTTCGGTAACCGATGATGTTTTACTGTCGTGTAATGGTTGAACTGACACACGTTTGACGATGGATGGCAACCTGAAAGATGTGTTGTGCTGTGAAAGTGTGGTGAGCTTTCAAGTGCTCGTTTTTCTTTGTAGCATTGTTAGCATTGCCTGCCAAGTGGAGACTGCAAAGGCGATTCTGCAAGAATCCTACAAACAATGGACAATCAGTTACGTAGCGTCTTCCGCCGGCGGTTATGATTTCTTGTTTCAGTCCCGTGGGACTTTCGTTCGGTATAAATAGATAACCGGAGTTGGAATGGTTCTCGAAGCTTAGCTGTTTGGTGATGTGTTTCAGTAACTCGTCGTTATGCGCTTGGAAAAGAATGAAATCGAGGCAAAAATTCTTTCCGTATCACCCTGGCAATGGCAATGTCTGGGGGAAGGACTCGAATGATGCCATCAATGGAGTGAACAATCGAATTCCGCCGTAGCTGCTTTGTTTCACTGACCGACTACTGAACGATTTGGTAATTTCATCTCAGCCAGAAGCGACCTCCTACACCTGTACGACGAATCAAGTGCTTCTGCAGAATCGCATCATCCTGACGTCGATCGTAGGTGGTTGGTAGAGTCGAGCAAAGTGCAGAACAGTCTGTGGAAAAGAGCCTGCGAGATGGCTCGTCTATCGTAATGGAAAGGTCCTCTTTATATTCACTTTCCTTGCCGTGAAGTTAACATAACCAACTCTACATACTGGAAAATGGAATTCACTCCAAATTAGCGAAGTAACTCACCGGTTCATAAAGCATTCACATCATAGTGATTCGATTGCAACATGAACGAGAACTTCTTCGAATACTCTCATGATCTCATCTTACGAACTGCATTTATTGCGCGTCTATACCAGGTACAAGAACAAAACGGGAGAGAACTCACAAAGATGTGCATATTTTCTACTACTGCAGATGTCAGAACTACTCGCCGACAAAACCCCTTTCCCAGCACACTTCTACCATTAGTTACATGACCATCAAGAGCGTATCTCTTCAAATAACCAAACTTGTAGCTCCCTGCAGATCTGTGGCAAATTGAAATGACGTATAGAAAGAAATCGTTTCGCTTCTCCTCAGGATAATGACTTGTCGGCACTGGTTCTTGGTTGAGAACAAGTTCATAAGTGCACTTTGGACGAGGATTTATGTACACTGGTTACCAAACTGGCGATTAATTCAATTTTGCTAGGGTTTGACCTAGAACAATATGGGACGTCTTATCTCCACTCTCAGTGTGCAAAGCTTTACGACTTCGTGTATGACGCTTCTCGCCCTATTTCCGTAATTGTCGCTACAAAGTTAAGAGATTGAAGAGTGTCTCATAAGAACTCTAAGAACACGAAATGACGAATGCTATTCATCATACTCGATTTGATCGATTTCCTTACTTTCCAACTTTCCACAGAGGACTGCGGTTCAGGGTGACTTCCTGGTCCCGGGTTCAGGAATCAACAACAATGGAGTACCATCAATATGCTGGGACCTGATGAACAGAGGAACATACAATTTATCAAGTGAGCAGATATGATAGAAAAGAGCGATGTCGTCGCCGTCGTCCACATCTTAGCGAGGCGCTGGGACCACCCGTGTACCCCCCTGAATCTCGTGTTCAGGCTAGCGGCTAAGCCCGAAATGCCTTGGCATCGCCTTCGACGTCTCGTATTCCCACGTTCCAGACCTGCGCATAACCAAAACCAAGTACAAAAGCAAGCGCATTACCTCCTTGAAGTTTTCGGTATTCGTCTCTGCGCTTCAAATTATCACGCTCGTTACCCAGAGCTTCACACGACGCACTATGGTTCAACGCGGGGTGTTTTTCACGGCTAGGGCCGTCGAGGCGGTTTCTGTCAAGCTTGGATTTGGGAAGTTTGAAGGTATGATACTTGGTTTGACGGGTTGATAGTGTTCTGACGAATGCGATAGTTGGCGATCACTGGCAATGTCGAGCATGCACACATGGCGAGGACGACCTCTGCGACGACTGCATCGATTCCTGGGTCGGGGAACTCACGCATCTTAATTACTCGGACGATTACGAACGCAGACTCAATGTGACTGCGGGTATTACAATGATGATTATGGGCTTGGCAGCTATACTGGGAAATGCTAGTATGAATATGTGGGAGGAAGGGGATGTGGTTGCCGCGGTATGTCACTCGTGTTGTTGTTTGCAAGATTATACTAATACCTCTCATCCAGGTTTCGAATCTCCTCAAAGCCGTGGTACCCTCTATCCTACTTCATCGCGGTCCCTGGACATTCTACTATAATCTCTTCCTGGTGGTGGTCTGGCTCTCGACAGTTGTTGTATTCTGGGGAAGCATGCTGGTGGCTATGTTCCTCATGTGCATGAACCCTATGTCGCCTAGACACCGAAAACATATGACACCATCGGCGTGGGTGGGTATGGTGGTATTCGTGACTCTATATGCAGTCGTCCTCATCGCCGATGGGATTTCCATTCCAGATCAAATATTGGTCATTTGGCCAGTCATAATGGGAGTGGCGGCGTGCTTGACTCCATTCGCGATGAGGGCAGCGGAAGCTGATCTGGTGCTGGACAAGTTGGATTCGGAGGAGAAACAATCCTAAGCAGTTATTGAAGCTTTGTTCAATTGCAAACATCTAGTTTTCAGTATACATTAATAACATACAGACCAAGAAATGCGTGACGTTCTTATTAGCTCGTTAACTCCCAAAACCAGTCGGGATACTCCCCAATCTAAAAATAGATCCCGAACTTCCAGCCACGGCCCCACTTTGGACCCTTGAATCAGCGAGGCGCAGCTCGGAATGTTGGCCGCAGACGCGTTGCCTCGAGCGATCGTTTCACTCACAAGACAAACATATTTGAGTGTCAAACGCTCGAATGCGCCCTTGCTCTTGCAATCTCACGTTTTTTCTGAAGTACCCATCATGGCACCAATACTAGGATCACACAGCGAAATCCCTCGCGCTATTCGAAGCATCGCAAGAAGAGCAATAACACAAGCTGGCCCAGAAGTCGCAAGGCTAGCAGCTCGCCATGCACTTCAACCCCGCGGTTTATCGGTCAACAGTACCCAAAAGACGACCCTGGGAGTTATCATCGGATATACCGTAGCTATTGCACTTTTGTGGAATTTACCTTATGTTCGGTGGTCGTTATGGCCTTTCAAGGTAGGCAAACTTGTTAGCACAACTATACCAACGTTGCTGACATAGACATAGATGCTTGTAATCGCATTCCACGAATTCGGCCACGCAATAACGGCATGTTGTACGGGCGGACGAGTCAAATCTATATCTCTTGATCCTCGAGAAGGAGGTGTAACGCATATGCAAGGTGGAATTAGCGCTATCACCTTACCAGCTGGATACCTTGGATCGTCACTCATCGGAGCTCTGTTAATTATGTGCGGGTTCAATATCGTGGCCAGTAAAGTTGCTAGCATTGTTCTGGGGGTTTGCTTCTTGCTTACATTGTGGTGGGCGAGGAAGGACTGGCTTACTATTGGGACTATTATTGCGGCGGTTGGACTGTTGATTGCGTGCTGGTTTATTAAACATGCTGAGCCGTTGAGATTTGTGGTGGTAGGTCATATCGAATGTCAACTTTTGGAAGAAACTTGCTAACAATAGCTCTAGCTCTTCATCGGTGTCATGTCCTCCCTCTACAGCGTCTGGGATATCTGCGACGATCTCATCCTCCGAAAAGTCAACGAATCCGATGCCAGTGTTTTCGCAAAACGATATGGTGGATCTTCACAATGTTGGGGGGTTATCTGGTCGATTATATCGTTGTTCTTTATGGTTGGCGGCATCCTTGCTGGAATCGCTGCGTTCCCTGAAGACTGGCAAGAACAGGAAGACGATTCGAAGAAGTTCATCCCGACTTGAAATTTAGTCGCAGAAACGCTGTATCTGAAGCGCAAGGTCGGACGAAATATCTTTCATCGCGCTAGATCGAATCGAAAGGCAGAGAATGTAAATTTACGTACGACACGTGCTGGGCCACAAGGAACAGGATTGTTTATGCAGAGGGCCAAGGGTGGATAAGACCTGGAGCCGAGGAACGAGAAGCGGAATTTTCAGTGGCTTGATGAAAAGACACGATGCGAGTGGGGTGTGGTCGTGCAGGAAGTCGCCGACAGTTGGGAAAACACTGGGCACAGGTGAGGTTCGAGGCCTCTATGGCTTACGGGGCAAGTTAAATATTTCAGAATTAACAATTCTTTCAAACAAAAAACTTTGCATGTCTCTTCATCGCTACTTGTTCTTTAGTATCCCACTTCCTTCCACTCGCTTACTTTTTTTCCTATATCGAATCTACAATTCATGACCATCTCCCGTTCCACAGACTTACAAAACGGGACGCAGTCAGCCGATCACATCCAACGCCTAGCCACAGATCCCACCCCTCAATAATGGCTCGCTCCGATGCCCTCACCATTCATAGTTGTAACATTTCGGCACTACTTGCAAGTACCGTTCAAGATCTATCGGCACGAACCGAAGTGCTGACGAATCCGTCGTGTGTACGGGAAGCCACAGGCGCGAGGAATAAGTTTCCGCATTAGATCCCAACGCACTTGAAGGTTCGTTTTTTCGTGAATGTTTAGGCGAGTACTGGTGGTATGCGAGGTAAGTTTTCTTGATCGAGCGAGTAGTGGGAGGGCGAAATGCCATTTTGGGTCTGTTGCGGCTGCTTTTGGGTTAAGGGTGGTTAGATCTGCCGATATTGTACATGTTCGTTGGCAGACGAGGGGTGTTACAGCGGATATCGTCTTTGCTGGACAGAGAAGTTATCTATGAATCTACCTTTGGGAGTTCTTGGATTTGCGGGACTCTGTTTCTTCCATCACTTCTATTACCTTTTGATATCCTGTTTCCATCGCGAGTACCTCATTTTCTGGGGGGATTATGTTGAGGCGATTCGTCCTAAGGTAGATATCAATGCCTGGATAATTACGTCATATTGACTATAGCTAGGTTATGCTTTATGATTCGAACATGACGTTACTTGTTTGGGGATAGAGGGTCGCCATCTTCGCTAGCGCGGTTTTGCGGAATACTAGTATCCGAATTCTTATACTGCGAAATTTGGTTAATGGATAGAGAATTGGTTTGACAATTCTCTATTTCTAATTCAAAAAATCGCGTCAGTTTTTTCTTGGACCGACCTATTTCGCGTTCTGAATACCAGGCTTTGAACGAAAATTGTCATTGTCATATCGGCAAACAATAGCATCAAGAATCAAAAAGCCAAAACCGGGTGAATGACAGGAATTGGCAACCCGGATGGCTTCAAGGCAAAATTAAGCCGAAATCAACCCAAGAGCCGAACTTGAGCAAGTTTTATCAAGCCGCATCTTCACCCTCAACGCCATGTTCGCACTTAGCGAACATCCTCCCTCCAGCTCCCAAATATCAAGATAAAATCCGGTGTGTCTTCTCCTCCCAACAATGGCTCTCACAAGCTACGAGATCAACTCGCTCATCGCGATCGAGCGAATCACCGCCAGCATCTCCGTTCTCAGCACGCTGATCCTCATCGCAACTTTCAGCTTTGTCAAAGAATCCCGTACATTGTCCAATACGCTAATCTTCTACGCTTCCTTCGCAAACTTGTTCTCCAGTATCGCGGCATTGATAGGTAGTTCTGCTCTTCATAATGAGAATGGTGCGCTCTGCCAGTTTCAGGGGTTTTTGCTTCAGATGTGAGTGCTTCAGATCGATAGCTTTTGGTTGAAGGGGTGAGCTAATGAGATAAAGGTTCATGCAATCAGATCCCTTCTGGAGTTGCGCCATTGCTATCAACATCTATCTCGTTTTCTTCCGCCGCTACGACGCCCAGCGATTGAAAGGCTTATACTGGATCTACGGCCTTATATGCTACGGTCTACCTTTCATCTCCGCCTTGTTCTGTCTGCTCTACCGCGACAAGACGAGAGGCAAAATCTACGGCGAGGCCACCGTAAGCCCCCTTCTCTAACCCGAATTATCAGAAATTGGCTAACGATTCCAGTTATGGTGCTGGATCAAAGACTCCTGGGGTCCCGTGAGAATCCACGCAAACTACGCACCGGTCTGGTTCGCTATCCTCCTCGCGCTGCTAATCTATCTGCGCGTAGGCATCGAGGTGTATCAAAAGCGGAATCAACTGCGCGCGCTAAATGCTAGGTATGAACGGAACATTAATAACTCAGATTCGATTTCCACGACCACAACGACTGACACGCAGACCACGAATAATTCCTTTTCAATGCCCTCACCAGCTCTCTCTGCAAACTCATCCGAATCCGGTGAGCGATTTTTTGTCCCGAGAATGCAGGGTATGGATAAGATTAAACTCGAATACACGAAATCCGCGTTCCTGTTTGCGGTTTCGATCCTGGTTACTTGGGTCCCGGCGTCGGTTAATAGGTTGTATGGGCTCTGATATCCGAGGGATTCGTCGTTTGGGCTGAATGTTGCGAGTGCGGTTGTGTTGCCGTTGCAGGGGTTTTGGAATGGTGTGGTGTTTTTTGGGGGGTGTTGGGGGGGATGGGGGAGGAGGGTTGGGGGTAGGGGGATTGGGAGAAGGGGGGATTGGGAGAAGGGAGTAAGGTGGTTGAGGGTTTGGATGGGGATTTTTGAGTACGCTTTAAATATCCATTGATAAGGAGTTGTTGTAGCTCGTTTTAAAGACATGGCAGAATTTTGATATCATATTCGAGACTCGATTCTATGATTCCATCTCAAACACGGATTTCCACATATAATGTCTTTAATAAAGACACATTTCAGGAACGAAGATCTGTATTTTCCAGTTTATAAAACGGATTGTTGATACTTGACCCGTGAGTGTCCAAAAAGTTCTAACACAAAATGTCGCATCTTGCCGGAAAAATAACATAGTTTAGCAGATAATGACCTTGTATTTGATGAATGTTCTAGTTCCGAAAGGACAATATTGTAGTTGATGGCAGACTTGTGATTGATAGACATGCCTTCGCCAAGTTGACGCACTTTTTTGTGCGGTATCATAGAACTTTCACCGTTTTGAGATCCTGCATTTGAATGTCGTTCCGTAGTCCTAGGTCATGTACTTGGGTTTCAAATATCTAACCAATTCCGCTACTAGCCAAATGAAGGCAACTTACCTTCATCATGACAATTGAAACACTATAGAAGTGAAAGAATTGTCCTATCACTCTATTAAGAAGCTAGAGCCACACCTATAGAGACAGAGTTTAATATTAACACCAGCGTTTACTAGTGAATGTTTAACTTAATTCCATTTTCTTGGCTAATCTGATCACATAGTTTTCTCAAATCGGTAAAGACTACAGCAAAATTGGTTCCTATAACTATGTTCCAATTCACTATAAGCTTTATTGAAGTAAACTTACTTGGGTTAGTAATCCAGCTTTGAAAACAGTCATCAGCAATTTAGCGACAGATAGTCGACTAGATTGGTGTTCTTTATTTTAAGTAGAATCTATCAGAGATTCATCCATCTATAGTAGTGAAAAGAATACAAGGGAGAAAATAAAGTGTCATCGTCGTCAGCACCCAGCTGACTTGACAAAATTAAAGTTCTAGGGGCTTTTTAATTTGCACTATATTGTCACTAAAATCTCATTGCGTGCATGACTATTTAATGCTGACTACGGAGTTGTCAGTAGCGGAGATTGTGCCTTACTATTTACCTTTAGAAATGTCAGAATTCTCAATTAGGGAGACTAAATAGAAGAATAACATTGATCAGCCACGAAATAGTATAACCATTTAATCATATGGGTTGGAATAAATCTTACTCCCAGCTAGTTGACGCTCGACCTCTGAGGAGAGTCTTATTTTAACACTTTTTATATATTGATAGTCATCTAGGACTTGGAATATTAACCCTCAAATCCCTCAGTTCAATCAGCATAGTCTCACGCCGTGATGGGTGTGACCCAACTACAGCATTCCCCAAAAATACAGCTACACCCACAATCTTTCTGCTTTTGTCTAATCTAGTACCAATCTCATTTCATCATATTTGCATCCAGGTAAGCCCTAGGCATTGGTCATATGGAAGAAAAGTACGCCTGCTGGATATAAATAGCCAACCCGTCGTATGTATACGAGTCTGCGTTTACATACGCTACTTTCGTTCCATCTGTCCTAGCCAACTCGTAGGCTTCCTCTATTCCATATTTATAGTCTAATGTAGGTGGATCGGACACTACACCCCAGTGCCACATTTCGTGTAACATAAACTGAGCGGTGCTGCCATAGAAATTTTCCATATATCTTTGCGCGATCTGGTCGTTGAAATAATTTCGAATTATATCTGTTATCGCCGGTTGTTGAAAAAACAAAGGACAAAACATAATCATTTGTTCGCGCATTTTTGTTCTTTCATTCCAATGTTTGGCAGTAGTGGCTATGACTTCTCGATTCGTCTTCTTAACAAAACAAACCGACTCGTCCACAAGTGGTTCTGTACAGCGCCAAACAAACATTTCGTTGTCATCTATTACACCATTAAATAGGTTTGCTATCCTTTTTAGATTTTCGGCAATAGCTTCTGACCGCCCTTGAAGAACAGGATTACCTACGGCATTCCATTCATCCCCTAACCATATTGAATGTGGAAGGTTATAGTCGTAGTCTTCTATATCTCCAGTTTGTGCCTCCACTATTTGCTTTACATGCTCCCAAGCCTCCAAGAGTTTCTCCTTGTCACAAGCGGGATCAAGAAACGTTCTTGGGAAGAAATAACTCATTGGCGGAAAAGGTGGACCCCCCTTTGGATCAATATAATTTCCGTCCTGAAGGCCGTCCTCATCTACTATGTGTATGTCTGGCGGCAGGGGGAGAGCGATTTGTCGTCGTTCGATCCTGTGCAAGTCTTTTCCTTCAGCCCAATTCTCTGAAGACGGTAGCTTGTGTTCAGGAGGAGTTTGATCTGGTAGTTCGGCTTGATCTGGAGGTAGGGGCTCTGCTGGCTCACTCTGTGGAACTACCGGGGCTGATGATGCTTGCGTATATGCACTGCAGAAGACAAGACCTAGGCAGACAGCCACGAATAATACTGAGTTATGCATAATGTTTTCAGGGAATAGCCTGCTGAGTGATAAAAAATATTTTATTGTGTATTTGGTGATTCAAAATTGGTCAAGAAATCGAGTATGAGCTTATTTGTAGCTACTTGTTTTCCTAAAACAGATGTAAAAAGGACTTTCTCGTTATCTTTTGCGATTTAAAGCTTAACTATTTTAGGGTAGACATATCAAGATAGTGTACTTTCTATAAAGAAAAAGGCCATCTACGATCTTGGGATAAATTAGTCCCAAAATTATGTACCTTGTTAACAAAAGGACATCTCTATCCCAAACAAGAAGCTCTTTATGCAAACAAGACTGTCTAATCTCACTTATATTACTTAACAATCTTACACTAGTCAGGAAGAAGTTCGAGAATATTGATGTTATAACTACTAGCTAATAGAAAAATCAGCAAGGTCTTTACCTAGGTATCCCTAATTATCATCCATTATTGAGTCCCAATCTTCTGAGTGATATCACCATTTTGTTTTCGCGAATTAACCGGACTGCAGCAGTGCCCTTAAGGTCGTTGCTTCAGTATCGTGGAACTTCTCAACAAGTCGCTCTGATAGATTTCCCTTTCCACAGGTACCCTTTAGGAGATCCATCCCGAAGGCATCTGTTTTGCAAGTTTTCCGCCTGATCTTAATTCATATCAACGTCTGAATCGGAATTGGATTCAGGATGATAATCAGAATCCTTTGGATCATCATCATGATAGTCAATCAAATTATCAAGATAAATGTTTATAGCGTCGAAAGTGTACGAATCTGAGTTGATGAAGGCTCGTTTCGTTCCGTTTACTATAGCCAACTTCCTGCAGTTGTACATTCCATATGCAAGGTCTGCTATCGGTGGCCAGCCAAGTATGTTGTAGTGCCAGACCTCGTGTAGTAAAGTTTTCGCCGTACTTTGTTCGAAATAGCCTATTTTGGCCAGTTTATCGGCGTCGTCTTTATGCTGGGCGACTTGTCCTCCTATCGTCTCTAGTTTAAAAAAGCTCTCACAGAAAGTCGTCATTTCCATGATATTCTGGGTTCTTTCGGACTGCTCGGCCCAGGTACCGGCGTTTCTAACATCGCTACATTCCCAGTTCAGTCTCCTTGCATTGTTGCAGCGCCAAAGGAACCATTGATTATGATGTAAATGTGCCTCTTTGAACAGCCTTCCAACAAGTTTGATCTTTCTATTAACAATGACTGCCCGCTCTCGAACACCCGCCTCAGGATGAGTTGTTGCGTTCCAATCATCCCCCAACCAGAATTTGTGGGTTTTGTCATAGTCGTAGTCCTTCTTCCACTTGCCGTTTTGGGCTTCTGTAAATAACTTCGCGTCGTCCCAAGCCCGCTTTATTATTGATTCCTGTTCTGCGGTACACTCCCCGGAGATTAATGTTTGAGGGAAAACGCCTTCCATCCGGCGGAAGGGTGGACCCTGCAGTGGGTCAACTGTTAGAGTATCGTCTCCTTCCACCGCATGGGGAAACAGATCAACTTCTGCCTTTATATTATCCAACCAAGCTTGATCAGCGTCATTTAATCGTTGTTCCCCAGGAAGCTGTTGCGGTTCATCCGGAGCTTGTCGCTGTTTGATTGCAGACTTGTACGAGGAAGATTGTGCAATGCCGAGCACGAGAGATATATACCATACCAACAATGGTAAAAAGAGCATATTGTTGAATAAAGAGGGTTAAATTTCTACTATGATGATTATCGTAGGTCGTTCTTTCGGAGAAGGTTTCATGAATGAGAATCAGGTGTGTCGAGTAAATGAAGTTAAGTGATAGAATTGACTTGTAAGAACAGATATTACATACTTGACGACACATGAAGTAATCCTTTTTGAGATTTATTAATAACTGTAAATTCACGATCTTCGTTAACCGAAAGTTTAACCTAGTACTCCTCACTTCTAAATTAAGATCAAACCCCAGTCTCCTAATTTCAACCTAAATAGTTTTTCCATTAACAAATCGGACCATAGCTGTGCCAGAAGCTTGATGCTTTTGTTTAATGCTCCGAGTATCGGTTCCAGATTGGATCCATTGGACAACGTCTTAAGTAAGCCGGTAAGGCGGACGATCTGATTGAAGAATCTGGTGAAGATAGATAGATAACGCGTCGATAGTATACGAATCTGAGTTGACGAATTCTAGCTCGGTTCCGGCAACTCTAGCCAATTTGTAAACATCCTCAGCGCCGTATGCACCGTCTATTGCCTGTGGTAAGCCTATAAAGTCGTATTTGTAAGCCTCGTGTATTATAGTTCTTGCCGTATTATCTTGGTAGTTGTCCATATTTAATCGACCCTCTGAATCCCTTAAGAAAGCAAACTTTTGACCTATCCTCTCTTCTAAGAAGAAGCCGAGACAGAATGCAGTTTGCTGTATAGTAATTCCTGTGCTGACCCGACGGGAATAGCTACCGGCTTTAGCATCATTATCGCAATCGAAGCCCGGTATCTTATGACCTCTGCACCCACCGCCAAATAAACCAATTAGTATTTGGTATTGCTCCTCGGAAAAGGTTTCCCATCTTATCGAATTTCTGTTTAATAGTTTCTGCATGGAACCGGATATCGGGATCGGAGTCGGCCACTGAGTTCCACTTATCCCCTAATCAATGTTTGTGGATTTCTGTATAGTCATAGTCGCTTTGAAAAGAAGTTGATTGTGCTTTTATAATTAACTTTGCATCCTCCCAAGCGTATGTGAGAGTTGCTTCTTCTGATTTAGTGCACGCCGCTTCGATGTATGTTGCCGGGTACACGCCTACCACCGGGCGCAATGGTAGCTCACCACCCATTGGATCGACTATCCGATCACCATCTCCTTCCAGTGCCAGAAACTGGGGGAACATCTGAAGTAATGGCTCCGCAGCATCCATCATTTGCTTATCATGTTCAGCCTCTTCCTCTTTTTTAAGAAATTCCAAATGCTCCTCGGTGGTTGGCGGGTATTTAGATTTGAAAGTTTGGTGGAGATAGATAGCCAGCCCATCGAAAGTCATCGAATCTGCATTTACGTATGTCACCTGCGCTCCTACTGTTCTAGCCAGCTTGTAGCACGGCTCTGCATCATAAGCATAGTCCACTATACGCGGCTTACTAACTACATAGTAGTGCCAAGTCTCGTGTAGCATAGCCCAAGTAGTGCTATACATGAAGTTGCTCATTCTTAACTGACCCGCCTTATCATCTTTCTTCTCCTCGATTTGCTTTTCTAATGTCTTGAGTGGCCAAAAGGGTGGACAAAATACTGTCGTTTGCACCATATGTTCGCCTCAACGTCCACGATGATGTTTAGTGATCGCCGGGAAGTGATGGTGATGATCCAAATCACAGGGTATATTAGGTTTCGAAGATTCTGAGCAACGCCAAACGATAAGCTCATCAGGCTCTATCTTGCCTCCGAATAATCTGGCCAATTGTTTTATGTTGGCGGTAATGCTCGATGATCGGGACTCGGTTTTATGATTACTCCTTTCGTTCCAGTTATCGCCGATCCATGTAGAATGCGCAAAGTTATAGTCGTAACCGCTAATAGAATCATTCTGTGCCATTGCTACTAGCTTTGCACCTTCCCATGCGTCTTTGAGGATCTTAATCTCTGGATTTGTACATTTGGGGTCTATGTATGTGTTTGGGAACACACCTTCCAACGGAGGGAACGACGGACCCCCATTTGGATCCTGGTATTTCCCGTCAAGAATGTCAGGGTAGTCCGCTGGCGATGGCTCAGCGCTGGGAACTTGTCGCTGTTCAATCGTGGGCGTGTGCCAGGAAGGATGTGTGACGCCAAAATCGAGGTATACACATAACACTAATAGAGCTCTAATATACATATCGTCGAGTAGTGAGTATAGTGGCTTGATAGTCGATGATGGTTATTGCAGGTTGTTCTTCCGGACAAATTATCAGGTACGACAATGCGATATGAGGAGGAATGGAACGGTTAAGTAATAGAATGTAGCTCTATTAAAGAACACTAAATAGTAATTAGCATCCGCTTTGGGACATATCGAGAGTGCTAAAAACATCTGATTTCAATCGCTCAGTAAGCACAAAAATAGCCGAAAAGAATAATAATCGACTTGGAAGGATATCAAAAAGTCCCATAAGCGAGCATTGAGATAGCGGTTGCAAATTCACGAAAGTGTAAATAGACTAATGTAAGTTAAATAAGCTGAAAAGATTCTAGCAGGAAACAGGACACACGACTCTGATAGTTCGGTTCCGACGAGATAGCCGAGAACATTTCGATTTAGACAAGGATTAACTAACATTATCTGGCTGTGTAATCACATTGGACGAATGATTGGGACATGCTACTTATATAAGATGAACTTATCCCATTCAGGCTTCGATATAAGAAAATTAACCAAGATAGCTAGTCTCTCTCCTATGAGTATTTAGGTTCTAGCTATAATCGACAAGATATCGGATTGATTTAAGAAAGTTATGTAGACGTCCATGAATTTTTCGTCGATGAACAACCGACTTTTTGGGTCAGGTGAAGATAAGTAAGGGTGAGTTTGCTCTTTTGACGTCCTCCGGAATTCTAGCAGGGAATGTGTTTGCCTTTCATGAAAAGCGATGTCAGGACCCCGGCAGTTCACCACTGAGCTGCATTTTTTCGTATTTCAAGTGTATTGTTTACCTTTTATGCTACTCGAAACGCTACATCCAAACAAACTCACAACTTTTCCAACGCCCTCCTAGGATTAATCATAACCCTCCCCTTCTCCTTCATCTCCGGCCACGAATCCGCAACCTTTTGCAACCCTGGATCGACACCCTGTCTAAACTCCACACTTTTCTCATCCAACTCTCTTTTCCGTTTCTTCACACCATCTTCCCACCTCGCTTTCTCGTCACTGACCCATGTCGATATATATTTCGCCACAGTACCCACATGTTCATCCATTGGGATACAATGTCCACCTCCTTCGACAGTCTTAGAAACCACACCACCGGCTTTAACACCACCATTTCCCCCAACGCCAGATCCAGTGCGTTGGATTCTTCGCTTGTGCAGTCTATCAACAGCGTAAGCGGTTTTATCACCGACAACATATAGTACGCGAGGTCGGACGCTGGGTAGTAAATCCCACATGATTCTCGTCTCCGCTTTGTAAACGGGTGCCAAGTATTTTGCATCTGGATCAACATCAGGCATCTCCAATCGTTCCTCGGCCGTGAGATTTTCCAAACCGTCTTTCCCAATTCCCTTTGCGTTGCTACGGAAGAAAGAAGCTGCTTCGATAGCTTTCGGTGTTGTTGTTCTGACTTCTTCAGTTGACGAGGAGTTGGGTGTGAAGCCATGCTGCTTCAAACGTTCGACGGCTCGAGGATCCCATGTTGCATAGAATGGTAGTTTAGCGATGTTTTGAGTGGCTGCTGAGTGGGAGGGGAACGTCTCTTTCCGGCGAACGATGGTTCGAAGTTGTGGTAGGATGATTTGCGGTGGCATGCCTTCTGATATCATTGCTTCGACCAAGATCAAGGATGTGAATAGTCGGGGATGGAGAGTTGAAAGATAAGCACTATCTTATGTCAGAAGGTTCGACATCATGAGCGAGTAGATTACATTGCGGCTCCGCCTGCTGAATGGCCGATTCCCATTATTGGTTGTACCATTTCGCTTTGGAAATGGTTTACCATTTTCAGTAAATCCCTGGAATGGTCAAACCAAAAGACTCGTTGCCGAGTTTTGTCGCATTCAAGACGGCACTTTGACCCGTGTGTACCGGGTCTGCTGTCCATATATTCCTAATCCGGAATCCATCTCGTGCAGACTGCTTGAGAATATCTTCAAAGAGCGGTTCGTACAATTCCTGAAAAGTCTCAATGTTGTTCTCTGGAATTATGAACACGATTCAACTACCTTGATAAAACCGACCCCGGGTGACAGTATGAAAGTAACATCCCCAGGAGAAGGTTTGAGGTTGTCCTTGGGAGTGTACTGTTGAATGCAAAGCTTCAAATCGCATCCATCTTCAAGCACAGACTGCGGATATTCGCGAATGTGGTTTGCTGATATGATGTGCTCGCGGATATGGAAAGGATAGCTTGAGTAATCAATTGTCATTGTCATAATCCAGTAAGTGATTGAGAATAAATATTGCAAAATGCAGAGAATTGGATCGACAAAGAAGGACAAAATAAAGTAATATCATAGAGCTTTATGATTATAACAACCCCCAAACCCTTATTATATGTCTACCCCAATCTATCATACCCACATTCGTGAGATGCCTTGACTCGAATCAGTCTCCATTGATGGGCTAATGCACAACCTAATCGCCGCTACCCGTAGCTAAAACGCATCCCGCAGGCGATCCTCGAACGGCAGAGATAGCATGACGTTTAAAGCGGGTAAACAACTAATAAAGTGTCTAAATGCAGCAAAGTCTCGATCTGAAATATCTCCGACAGAAGGCTCCGCCGAAACTAAGTATGGAAATCTGTGGAGTCGAAATATTCCGAAATGACTCCAAACTTAACATGGATGATGTGTCTAAAGATGACACCACGGGTAAGCAAATATCTCAGCACGCAAATACTGAATGATCCCCATCTCATAAGTCAACCATATGGTTGTACGTATTCTCAAGGAAGGGTCGCGAATCGCTTTCGCATAATTCAAGCGGGTAATGTCCACCCGATATAAAAATCGAGATGAATTTCTAGAGCGCTCGAGACGTATGAAAGAGAGACTTTCGAGGACGATGTTCACTCCCACGCATGATAAGAAGCATGAGTTGCGTAAAGCTCAACACCTAACTTGCTTAAACCTGAAATTTTAATGCTGTTCGTGAGAATAGGGATTTGTTTGCAAGCTCGAGTAACAATGACGAAGCGGCTTGATAGAATTGATTTGTGAGTCATTTGGGCCTGCCTGTTGGTGTGGCCAGATGAATAATCTCATGAGCGCATGAGCTTCTGTAATCTGCTGCCCCATTTCTAACAGGATGGAGGCGTTTGGTTTTGGACCATCTTGATTGCTCCTTGGTGACGGACACTTTATTTCTTCCATTGATTCTTGACTTCCAATCTCTATCTTTTAGTTGGAGTTATAAACTTTTAACTAATAGTGATAAAAGATAGAGTTCAAGATGCCCGAATAATCCCGAATAAAAAGACAGCGATGGTCATCGAATCTAATTCGCTCCCTCGTTGTACATTTTCCGTCGCACCTGAGATAGTTCATATGTTTACTTCTTTAAACAGCGAAACGAGTTTACTGCAGCAGAGCTTTTGCCCAAAGCGCTATATATGTCAATTCAAATTGCAGAAAATCTTAGGGAGATGAATCTTGCATTATTCCCTGTAAAGCTTTGAGGATCTGACAAATTGTGGCAGTTTAGCCTCTTACTATTAAATCCATGGTGATGTTAAGGATGTATTATATAAAAGGGAGCAATCAAACAAAACATTTCAAAAGTCCAGTTTGTAAGTACCTACGGGGGCGCATTATCTTCAGATGGTTGTGAACTCGTATGTTGTGCGCGTTTCTGATTTTCTTTCCGGACAGACCGAGATGCAAGTTCTTCTTGTCGTTTGTACCAAGCAACGTCATTCTCTCGTATATGACGAGCAGCGCCTCTCTGACCAAGTTCTGACATCCGAGCACTTTTGACAACTTCCGGTACTTTATGTCGGGAGCTAACTCCTCTTTGGCTAATGGCTGAGGCTCTATATTCGTCTTCTGCTGTAGAGTATGAGCTACTAGATTTCTTCAAACCAGAATGCCCAGACAAGAATGGAGATTCTGATGCAAAATTTGAACTAGCCCAGCCATGAATATCGTCTGAAAATACGGACATTTCGAGATTTGGCAGCTCTTTAACCGAGCGCCGAGTGTCGTGAATATCCGCCATATATAACGTCTTCTCGAACTCATTTCCACCAACTACATGTCCCAGAAGCTGTTCACCGCGGACTACCCAGCAACCAGAAGTCCCGGGAGATAGAGGATCTGTTGCAATCAACCGACGGACAACAAAGGATCCATTACCAAAGTAAATGGAGGCTGCGCTGCCCGTCATGTAGGCCCTCGTGGATTTCTCAGCATGGTCGACGATTTGTACGTTGCCAGAATCGACAAACTTTTCTGGACACATCTAAGTGACGAAATTTGAAACAACATTTCCCTTCTCGTCAATACTTCCATACAAATTTGACAGCCAATGGCCCGAATTGCAGGCCACAAAACACCAGTCAGAATTGGGAGATTTCAGCGGGAGGGACATTGCATAGCCAAACTTTTGTCCCCGATTGCCGAATACAAACGAGCCAGTGGGTGGTCTACTGTCCGACCATGTAGTCATTTCCTGCGTTTCTTTCGTGTACGAATTGTGGTTATCACCTGCTTGAAGTTCTCCCGGTCCGGAAATTCCCACATCCGAGTCGCTGTCTGATGATGAATCACTGCCGCTGTCAATATTATTCCTCTCACGAACTTGGTCGAAAGGAAAAGTATGCGCAGTAGTCATGGCAAAGGTTTTGCCCCCCAGCAACCACGAGACCACCAACCCTGGCCGTCATGTGTTGCTCACAGTCAAGACTATGGTCCGGTAAATTATCCGTCGGTTGTGATTGCTGGCTAGAATTGGTGAATTCGATCTTCAGCCCACAGTGACGGTCCCTATATTGCGCGAGTTCGAACTTAACCATGAGATTTTCTTGTTTTGGAAAAGCGAAGGCGTGTTGGGTAGATGTTACATCGAGGTCTGCCATGCTAGGCGAGTGTATGTCGGCAAAAAAGCGATCTACGTTTGTACACTCGCGTCTCCAAACACAAACAAGATAAGGACATGCAAGTTTGTGGAGATAATCGAGTTTTTTAGACTCGATGAGTTGCTTGAATTTTACTTTAGCCTCTTTGTGAGCACACAATATGACGATAGTCGGCAATAAGCGCAGCATATTTTCAACTTTGGGGCCAACCATTGATAGACCTACATAGACTGCCATTTCGTTAGGCTGGAGTCCGATCTTTTGGATAACTGCCTCAATATTGTTTTGTAACTTCTTATGGATGACATGATGCCATTGATCTTTCAGCGCGGCAGGTACCGGTACTTTATAAGCGTCATATAGGTTCTTCTTTATCATCTTGACATTTTCAGCTTGAAATGGTACCAGGATGGCGGAATTTCGATTTGTGGTCGAATTTGGCACAATGTTGCCAAAGCCTTTCATGAGTCGCTGGAAAAACGAGTTTCCGTTTGAAAATATTCCTAGAGCTGTCGCCTGTAAAGTTCTTCGCGGTAAAACTGTCTTAGCAGGTGGGGTTGGATTTTCTGGGATGGATGAATGCAGAGGCGACATTACATCTGGTAGAGGACTTTGGTCCATTTCAGATGTTGTCGTGCGACTTGGTTGCCGCTGTCTGCTCGAAGATAATGTACTGGAAACCGATTGCTCCTCATTGTCCTCGACATTTTCAAAAGTTGAACAAATTGCATTCGAGTGAACGTTTTGTCGGGTGACTGACAAGATCGATGGGACAGCTTCAACAGTCTGCTCCAGATCTTTGTCTGGACTGGTATGATCAACGGCAAATTTGCGTTTTGTATCGGGGTTTGTACCAGGCCAAGGCGAATAAGATTTAAATGCCATAAGGTGCTCCACTCTGCCTGTTGCATCAGGTCCCAACGTCTCGTGGCCAACCTGTTGCGACGTTTGGCTATCCAGACTCGGAGGTTGAGGAGCTAATCTCATATTTCGGGATGAACGATGATGAGCCCGTCGATGAGCGGGAGACGAGTATTTTGCTCTATTGGGTGTTTGTTTGTAGTAATTACCAGTCCCTAGACGAAAGAAGTCGGATATTATTGTAGAGGTGAGCCTTAGCCCGCCCTCGAAGCTGAGACTGGAGGACATGTTCTTGTGTAACAATATCATAACATCTCTCGGGCGTTGTGTCTGTGAACTGTTCATTATTGGCCAATAAAGACTTGACATGATCGGACGGTAAAGCCTGGCCGCAATCTAATGGACTGATTAATATTGGCTGCATTCGGTACGAGATGACACAAAGTGTTGTCTTGCGGCTTGGGGTTTAGAGCTGCGGGCATGTGCTTTAAACTTTTCCTTTCGTGAGCTTCCTTCTTGGAGGAGCCCACGTCAATAATGGTCTGCAACAATTTGCAATCGAACGCTGTATTTTTATATGATCACCCGTCATCATGAGTTTCGCGCCTGAGCTCTTTAATGACGCTCCTGATACACAAACGCAGGCAAAACTGGTTTCTTTGTTTTGGCCGGGCACTTCGTGGCGATCGGAAGATTTCTCGGCATTCTTTAGATACTTCAATGAGCGCATCTTGCTCCTTAAATGGTCTTACTGTATTGATCATAATCAGTTTGCCGCGCAAACTTTCGATGACTTGATTGCTGTAGTGGAGGTGATGAGGATTAAGAACCAACGTACGCGCGAGGAAGTATCGAGGTCTATCAGACAATTACCTCAGTTCCAAAGGAAGCAGGCGACCGACTTGCAGATATTGAACTCAATGGCTCTCGCTGGATGCGTGTGGCTCACTATGGAAATCAGAATGTCTGATCAGCTCTATGGACCTGCGTCGGGCGCATCGGAGGCCGCCTCATGGGGACCTTTAGATACTCTCGTGGATGTTGTCAAGCAGCGGTTTCAAACCTTCAAATTCAACCCCGCCACAGGGGAAGCTCAACTGGACGCTGGTTTCATCGCAATAAATTTGATGGAAGTTTGCGGTATCAGAATTACCTGGACCGACAACTTAATCGACCACCTTTACTACGACTCCACCCCAGTGCCAAGAAGATGGTGGGAATTTTGGAAATATCAAGGATCTGGTGGCATCGTATATATATATCCACACAAGATATGCTTAGCGAGCCATCACGCGTCGACTGATATTCTCGGAAAGGAGCTTTTGGAGGAGACTATGAAATCTCTCGACCTGCTGTTTCCTTTTGGTGATAGCCGTACCCGGGGGCATCTCATCAAGGAACGACACCCGTTTTTTCTCGCTGAAACACCCACGTTCCCTCGTACTATGGATCTTAGCGACTTCAATTTCTGGCGACGAAGGATAATTATATTGTACGACGTTTTTCATGCACCTCCATCAAGAATGCATCAGATATGGAAAGATAGACGAAATCCAATGCAGTGGTGGACGTTCTGGCTTGCGGGACTGATCGTCATTATCACGGTAGTTTTTGGTGTCATCTCCGCGTATATGGCACCTAAGTCGCTCGGATTAGCAAACCTCACATACAGACTTTCTATATTGCAGGCGTGCAATCAGGATACTGCCATCTAGCAGATATGTCCTGCGAGGTGATGTCGTCTAGCAGTTTTATGTTACTGCTACATGAACGATCGGACTCAGAAATTTGGATGGCAAAGACTTAAAGCATGATGCTTTGCCGTTGGAGAATCGTGCATATACGTCCCATGCATGCACTGATAAAGGACTCCGTACTTATCAAGCCCAGGTGCGATTCGACAATCAAGTAGCATTCTCCGCAGCTACAGTAGGACCACGAATCCACTGGAGATCGACTCTCCGTATCCTCGATATCTGGGGTAGTACGAGAGATACTGCATGTGGTTTATGGAATCCTAGTTCCCGTCCCGTCTCAGCCATGTGTTTGGCACGGAGGCGACCTGGTGAGACAGATGCAAGGCACCCGCGTATGGAAACATATTGAGTACGTCAATGCAAATGTTTTGTACCTAGAGTTCATATTAGCGAAGTCTATCATTTGGCATTAGTTTTGTAGTTGTGCTTCATGAACCTTTGATGTTGGTAGTAGGAGACTCGATTGCTAGAAGCCTGATCAGTGCAGAACGTATTACCTCGGAAACAAAACCGATTTCGGAATATTCGCCAGTGATCAGCAGAAAGCACTGAAGCCACCATTGAAGTCGTAAGAATTGGCTCAGTGGAAATTATCCTACTCGCCGGCTCGGCATTCTGGTCTCACGGTCTCACCACCCATTGCGCGGAGCATACGTAAGAGTACAGAGACCGGAGCATTATCTCAAGCTTCCATCACACCATCAGAAAGTGGTTTTGATGCCAACATTGAAAAAAGTTCGGTGGAAGAAAAAGGTTGCGTGAAGATGTGTTTCCAAGCTTCGAAACTCGCCTGATATGGATATTTATGCCTTGCAGTCAAGGCCACAAACGAGGCATCAAGCTATTAAGGGTACGAAACTCAGAGGACCAGGACCAACACCAAGTTGCCTAGCCACTCTACAACTCCAAGCACCACACCACGATAACCAACTCATAATGCATCCATCAGGACTCAGGAGAAGACACGATCGCGGCTGATGGGAAATACAAACATCTCCTGCATGTCAGATCGTGCACCGCGTCCTATTGCCGCCATTGCTCACTGTGCGAGGCGCCCCCAACAGCCAATACAAGCGCGATACTGGACAACGAAGCGCCGGAACGAAATTGCGATCGAAACAGCTGAACGAAATAGGGAAATATCTATTTAACCATTCCGAAGGGTTATATACGCGGTATAGAGTTGCATATTTGTGTTCTTTTCATACATCTCGCCTCGCCATCATACTCCAGAAGGAGGCCAATTTTATGAAGAGGAGGTTCGGTGAGGAAAGCCTTCTCAGCCACCAGCCGTCACAAGCGATGATAATTGAACACCTTGCTTACCCCCATTTGGCCTCCAACGACCCCCCGCTGCGCCTCACAATCAGGCTTTTCATTCCAAAAAAGTACTCCGTACATCCTTCTCCTCCAAAAATATCCTCTTCCACGACACAGCAGCGACCTGAAAGGCCGATATCTGCTCGCAAGTTGGTTGTACCGTTTTCGTATGATCCGCCGATGCGTTCTTTTTCTGCTATTTCAACCACCGCTTTAGGAGCGATGAGACGGATGTGCCTGGCATGAAAACCGTGAAGAAACATCTTGCCTTTTCCACGCCGTGTATCCCGTTTGACAAGTGTCTGGCTATTACCTGGTCCCGGGACTCGTTGATGAAGCGAGGGTTAGCAGAGGCCTCGATCACTCCCGCTGCACATCACCCCGCATCCCGCTCCCTGCTTCCGAGTTTCCATAAGTCGGGATGATTGACGTTGTCAAAATGTGAGCGCTATTGGTTGAGAGAGCTGAAGAACTGCGGCACTCGAGTCCTGTTGGGTGGCGTTAACGACAAGCGAGCATCCTACCTCATGTCAAGATTCCCAATTAAACAGCTTGTGTGGGTGCAGCTGTTGGCAACGGAGTCAACTTTGTTGTGTGCGACGTGTGACGGGCGAAGTGTTTTGGCAGATTTGTTTCTTCGCCGCAAGCGATATGCGTCTATTGCAGCAGCAATCACCCCAAGATTACAGTGTCTGCTCGTCTAATGGCCGTCTACGTGCGGCATTGTGGAAGCGGTCGTCCAACAGGAGGCCATTTACGCCCCAGCTGCACTTCATCCCTCCATGTCATGGACCGTGTCTGACGCAGCTATGGTAATCAAGCCTGCTTTCTTTAGGTTACCAGCCTAGTGGCTGCCTTTTTTGGGGGAGATTTCTTATTCATATGTTCCTTCTGCCCTGGTTTTGCGTTTTCTTTACATGCTGCCCAAATGTCGAAATGAAATGTATTCGTTCGCACGACGCCTTCATACATAAGTTTCTTCTTACAGTTCTGTTATGTTTCTGTTTGCCAGGAGTCCGAGGAGAGAGAAAATGTTATTACCCAAATAACACGTTGGCACCAAGCGACAGCGAGTGTAGTGCTGGCGCGGAAACATCTGTTTGTTGTGGGAAAGGATATGTTTGTCTAGGAAATGGTGTCTGTCAAATCGATCCAAAGATCACAGGACCGAATGCACGATTTGCTGGAACGATATGGAGGGGGTCATGTACGGATCAAACATGGAATTCTCCAGAGTGTCCAAAATACTGCGCAGGTTCGGTGGAATCAGAAGGAGGCAACACTTCAAGTGGACAGCAGTTAGGGAAATGCCCAGGCGTGGAAGACACTTACTATTGCAAGACTGCGGGGGTTGATTTTGATTGTAGTGATAGTAGCAAAGTGTTCCAGATTAAAGGTATGTTAACATCATGTCTCCAGCACGTCAAATCTAACTATCATCCAGGAGAAGATATTGCAGTAACTACCTTATCACTAGTTGTGCCGACGCCGTCGACGACAACATTGACGACATCCACTTCGGCAGTTCCTACTGATACCGACGACTCGACGATTCTCACAACTCTTGTCACAACGCTGTTACCAGCACCAACGATCTGGACCATGACCACCTCGACGGTCCTGCCAACGCCATCACTTGGAAACACAGCCACATCAAGTACTACCAGCCCAACGAGCGTAGCCCCAATCACCGCGAGCTCCTCATACGCTAGCAGAAACGCCGTTGCAATCGGCGTAGGAGTCGGCGCCTCCATCGGTGCAGTCGCCCTCGGAATCCTCGCATTCTTCCTGATCCACCGACACCGTCAGAAATCCAAGGATCTCATCGAAGTCTACCAAGGTCCTTGGCCACCAGTAAACTCGGTTTTATACCACAACGACTCGTCCACAGATCTATATCAGATTCACAGTCTACCGCGCGGTCGCTCAGTCAGTCGTTCGCATCTCGAGTCGCTTAATAGTCCGATCGAACCGATGTTTCTTCCGCCGATAGTTTCACCGTTGCCGTTGTCGCCCATTTTTACGCCGTTAGAACCGGTTGAGCGTGTTGGACAGGCGTTTTGATGGTTTTCTTAATTGCATATATACCTGGTTGGGATGGGTGGTTTAATGATACCCCTTTTACTTGTCAGCTCACGATCTTCTGTTTTGAAGAGTCTATTGTCTGTATTTCAATTTCGCTTTGTATATCTTTCACTGGGGGGTTAAAATTCGTGTATGCAATTACAGGTAGACTTTATTAAAGCTAAAATTATGATACATGTCCTTGAGATTTTCTTCCCAATTGAAACTACACTCACGTTGTTAATGAATTGAGAGGGACCATAGATATTGACGGAAAATGGAATACAATACAGCTTCGGGATACCACTACCTATTTTCCAAAAGCTTCTACGAATCTCGTATTCTCCTAAGTCGTTTTACAATGTAACTACCCGTAGGTGGTGGTAAGTTCCATCATGATGGTACCGGGAGTAAGCTTGCCTCACGTGACGGATGAGCCTACGCATTCACCAATCAGACAAACAGACCCAAGCTCCTACCAATTACATCCGCCAAGACAACAGCGCAACTTCCCGTTTGTCTCTCACAGGACCGGATATCTGGGAGCAAACATAAGCTCGACGTCTCACCAACAAACCCTCTTATTGCCAGCGAAGACCTCTCTTCCTCGCATCGCCAACCTCCTTTCCTCTATCTCCATTGATGCGACTCTCCCCGCTGCCACCACCACAATGGCCAAAATCTCAGGCATCGGCGCCTTCTTCATCATCGTCCTCTTCGTCGTCCTCCTCGGCACCGCCGCCTGGATCATCTACACGCATCTGCGCGCTCGACGACTCGGTCTACCTACACCCACTCTCGCATCATACAACCCGTTCGTCTCATCTGGCCGAAGCAGCGGCGGCGGAGGTGTGGTCGGCTGGGTGAAAGACAAAATCGGCGGGCTTAAGAATAGGAATAATCGCTCGGCCGGCGGCGCGTACGAGGAGCCGCTCAGTAGTAATGTGAGAGGCCGCGCGAGTAATCGCGGGTTTGGACCGTTGGATCCGGATGATGCGTGGGATGCGAGGGTTGGGACTGAGGCGGATGCGTATGGACCTGGGGGGTATTATGAGGAGCAGGAGTTGGGGTTGCATGGGGAGCAGCGTGGTGGGTTGGGTGCGTCGGGGTATAATGCGCGGGGGAGGAGTTTGAGTCGAGAGCCGGAACCGTATATTGGAGGCAGTCAGGGCGGGCTGGATAGGAGGTATGATGAGGAGATGGGGAGGAAACCTGCGGTTAATCCCTTTGATGATTCGGCGGCGGTTGGGGGTGGGTTGAGGGGGGTGAGTCCCAGACCGATTGAGATGGATGCGACGGGTGGGAATGCAAAGGGGAAGGGGAGTTTGGAGGAGAATAGTCCGACGGAGAGGAGGAGTATGTTTAGGGAGAATATGTAAAGGGTTGATTGGGTGGTTCATGATTCGATATATGGGATTGGCGCATGGCGTGATTAGGGTCTGTTAGGAAATGTATATCAAAATTGGAAAAGCGTTGATTCTTCTTCGACGCTCGTGGTGGTTTCCTCGTCTGGCTCGTGTGCTATTCAAGGCTGGCTGCATGAGGTATTCAGTGGTACTATTTTGAGACATTTTAGGGCTGAACATGACGACGTTTATAGACCAGCTTTTTGCACCCGCGCCCATATTAGAAATCCTTCTTGGTTCTATTTCTTCGAAATTTCATTATTAGATGGAAGTCGGGCAAATATAACATTCGATTCTAAGCCAAAAGGCAGGGCATCCTGGGCGCTCCGGGCATTTGGTATTTGGGCACCTGGGCACACAGGGCGGACACATGCATGGCAGGAGCTTTTCACCCCACCAAGCTCCAGCTCTCATCTTCAACTCAACCCCACCATATAGCTATTCAACCTCCCTTCCTACCATCATTGTTGTTGTTGTTGTTTAATCATTCCACAACAACAATACCCTCATCATCATGGCCGACATCAATCTCCAAGAGATTCACGATCTCCTCATCTCCATCGCCCACGAAGCAGGAAAAATGATGCTCACAGCAACACCCTCCTACCTCGACTCGGGCACCAAGAAGAACTGTAAAGCTTCCCCATCTCCTCATCTTCAGTCGATAATGAAACTAACAGCTTCCCAGCCGCCGACCTCGTAACCGAAACCGACAAAGCAATCGAAACAATGGTCTCCACGCGCCTCCAGTCATCCTACCCAACCTACTCCTTCATCGGCGAAGAAACATTCATCTCCGGCGAAACCGTCCTCACCGACGCCCCAACATTCATCTGCGACCCCGTCGACGGAACCACGAATTTCGTCCACGCCTTCCCCGCATTCTGCATCTCCCTCGGTTTCACAGTCAATAAAATCCCAAGCGTGGGCGTGATATACAATCCCTTCCTCGATGAACTATACACGGGTATCAAAGGCCACGGCTCATTCGTTACGCGACATGGAGGAGAGAAATTGCGTTTGCCGTTGAAGAAAGAACCAGAGCCGCTAGGGGAGCTCTCGACGTGTCTGGTAGGCGCTGAATGGGGTTCCGATCGCACAGGCAACAATTTCGACGTCCGCCATCAGGTCTTCGTGAAGCTCTGCGCGGCGAAAGAAAATGGTGGCGCGATGGTACATTCTATCCGCTGTGTCGGCAGCGCGGCGCTGAATCTCGCGTATGTGGCTGCCGGCCAACAGGATGTTTTCTGGGAGGGAGGATGTTGGGCCTGGGATGTGGCGGCGGGTTGGTGTATTCTGGTCGAGGCCGGGGGGATCATGGTTAGTGCGAACCCGGGGGATTGGGAACCCAGGGTTGATGGGAGGGTTTATTTGGCTGTTAGGGGGGCGCCGAGTGGGCAGAAGGGGGTGGTGGAGGAGTTTTGGGGGGTTGTTGGGGAGAGGAGGTTGAGTTATTAGAGGTAAATGGGCAGACGGGTGGGAAGAGTCGGTCGGATTCGAAATGGGTTGGGGTGAGATGAGGAGGGATTGAGTCGGGATGAAAGTATGATGTTATGACTGATGATGATGAGATTGAAAACCCTAGAAATAAATATAGATTATAGACTTTTTCTCCGTTACCTAAAGGTTGGGTTTGTGGAACTTTTTCGCAAGTACTATACAATACAAAAACGACTCTATCACTGGCACAGAATTGTCAGATAACTTATGGTGCCCAGGTTTTGATCACCGTTAATGTAGGATGTTCAAATTCACATGCAAGTAGAGGAAAGTGAAAGCAGTACGGATTTCGCGAAAGAATTGAGAGAGTAGGATTGTGATACCTAGGGAACTGGATGGATTGAGGTAACTGAGGTAACCGAGGTATCTAGGTTGGATATATGAATGGTAGAAATAATGGGGATAGTGAAGATATTTTCTTCACTGTGTTGCATTTAAATTTGTAACGCCTTTGTTAATATTAGATCTTACGAAACAACATTAAATGAGTTTTAAGAGTTTTCTTTAAGATATACTAGTCCGATGATTTTTCAAGAGCACGTGCTACGAAGTTTTGATATTGATCCCGAACAAGGTTTAGCTTTTATTAATGACTTATTTAAATGCATTAATTCTAGAGTAATACTACAAATGTCGTCTGCTGCGAGGTGGTTAGAATTAAGGCACGTTTCAGACTAGATATGCCGATCTGGTTGGTAGGGCGAAAGCTGGTCCACCTTTTCTGCAATGACACGCTCTTTACGCAAGCGAGCAAATGATCACCTGCAGTGTATCGTGCACTTATGAACTCCTAACATATAATTGAACGTCTGTATTCCACAAGGCTTAAAACCTTCATCTCCCTCACAAACCCATTAAAGACAAAACAATCCCTCCCACATAAATCAAAATGACCTCATCCTCCCCCACGCAAACATCCATCCACCGCACCTGGTGGAAAGAATCCACCGTCTACCAAATCTACCCATCCTCCTTCTTCGACTCCGACGCCGACGGTCTCGGCGACATCCCCGGTATCATCTCCAAGCTGGACTACATAGCCGCGCTTGGTATCGACGTCGTTTGGTTATGTCCGGTGTATAAATCCCCACAGGTCGATATGGGCTATGATATCTCGGATTATAGGGATATTCATGAGCCGTATGGGACGTTAAAGGATGTTGATGAGCTGATTAAGGGATTTAAGGAGAGGGGGATGAAGCTGGTGATGGATTTGGTGGTTAATCATACGAGTGATCAGGTGAGTGCGCGTAGAGAAGCGGGGTGTGCGTTTGGTGGAATGAGGGTGAGTTAGTTTTATGAGGCTGATTTTATTAGCATGAGTGGTTCAAGGAGTCGAAGAAGGGGAAGGATAATCCGTATAGGGATTATTATATTTGGAGGAAGGGAAAGACTCTTGAGGATGGAACAAAAGCACCGCCGAATAATTGGGGTGCGATTTGGGGAGGTGAGTTGATATTATTTTATTCAGTTGGCATCAAAAGATAGCTGACTTGTGTGTCAGGGAGTGCGTGGGTGTATGATGAGCCGTCAGATGAGTATTACCTTCATATTTTTGCGCCCGAGCAGCCTGATCTGAATTGGGAGCATCCTTCTGTTCGGGATGCAGTTTATGACATTATGACATTTTGGCTTGATAAAGGCGTGGATGGGTTTAGGTGAGTTGATCGATACGAAAGTGAAAGGGTTTTGCTAATTGATTATCTAGAATGGATGTCATCAATTTCATCAGTAAAGTACCTGGTCTACCCGATGCACCAATTACCCGCAAAGACCAGGAATTCCAACCTGGAAACAAATTCTACGCATGCGGTCCACGACTTCATGAATGGCTCAAGGAAATTGGACAAATTCTTAAAAAGTATAATGCATTTTCGGTCGGGGAAATGCCAGCTGTTCACGACCCCAAAGAACTCATCAAGGCAGTTGGTCAAGATCGTGGAGAATTAAACATGATATTCCACTTCGAAATGTCCGTCCTCTATCTTATCCCTTTCATACTGTAGCTAACACTTTTCAAGCGTCGACATGGACCAAGGTCCCCGCGGCAAGTTCTCACCCAAAGAATGGGATCTCCCAATCCTCAAAACCATCGTCAACAAATGGCAACGTTTCATGATCGACAACAAAGGCTGGAACGCCCTGTACCTCGAAAACCACGACCAAGGCCGCTCCGTCTCACGCTGGGGCTCAGATGCACCTGAACACCGCGTGTACTGCGCAAAGATGTTTGCCACGTTCCTTGCGCTGCAGAGTGGCACCGTGTTCGTGTATCAAGGTCAGGAATTAGGCATGATAAACGTCCCTAAAGATCGAGACATCAGTCTCTACAAAGACTTGGAAACGCTGAACTACTGGAATGAGTACCTCTCCCTCCCCTCCCCTTGACAATCCTAACCCCTCCATCCTAGAATCAAAGAAAAATATCCCAACGACAAAGAATTACAAGCCCTCACCCTCTCCGAAATCCAAAAGAAATCCCGCGACAACGCGCGCACACCTATGCAATGGACCCCCCAAAAATACGCCGGTTTCTCCACCGTCGAGCCCTGGCAGAAGGAAAATGAATCGTACGCCGAGATTAACGCGGAAGCGCAGGTTGGAGTCAAGGACAGTGTTTTTGAGTATTGGGCGAGCGTGTTGAGGGTTAGGAAGGAGTGGCGGGATGTGTTTGTGTATGGGGATTTTAGGTTGGTGGATGAGGGGGGGAAGGAGGTTTTTGCGTATGTGAGGGAGGGTGGGGGGAGGCGGGCGTTAGTGGTTTGTGCGTTTGTAGGGAGGGAGGTGGAGTGGAGTGTGCCTGAGGAGATGAGGGTGGATGCGAAGGAGGTGGTTTTGAGTAATTATGGGGGTGTGAGGGTTGAGGGGGGGAAGGTGGTTTTGAGGCCTTGGGAGGGTTTTGTTTGTTTTGTGTGATGTCGTAGCGGTAAGTGTGTCGTGGAGCATATTATTGTTTGCTAATTTGTTATAGGGCTTGAAAGAGGTGGATTACTAGCTGATAGTGACTATCGTCTACTGCAAGATTAATTTACAAGATTATCTTCAGCTGACGTATTTATTCTTCCATTACAACTTCTTCGCTTTCTTCCTGTTCAACTGGACCTTCTTTTTTCCCTGCTTCAATTTCTTCTCTTTCTTGAGTATCCTCTGCTCTTTCACTTTCTTTTTCTCAATCACCCTTGTTTTCTGATGTATCTTTCTCTGCTTTTTTAATCTCTGCTGCTCAACTACCCGCTGCTTTTCCTCCGCCTTCTTCTGCTGTTTAAGCTTCTCTTCCTGCTTCAGTTTCTGTTGCTGCTTCTTCTGCTCTTGCAACTTCTGTTGCCCTAAGATGTGCTTCTCTTCCTGCTCCTTCTTCAGCTTGTTCGCTTTGACGTGCTTGGCCAGCTTCTCTTGCTCGGCTAGTTTCCTCTGCTTTGATAACTTTAATTTCTCTTCGGCACTACGATGTAACTCTTGTCTTTCTTGAAGTTTCTGACTCTTGGCCTTGAGCAGCTTATGCACCTCCTTTTGCGTTTTCGGTTTTTCTCGCCTGCTCGTTTTCTTTTGCTCGATTCCTTTGCGTTGTTGTTTGAACTTCAGTTGGCCCATCAACACATCACGATTCAACGAGTCTTTTTTACTTTTCAGTTCTTCTTCTGGATCCCCCTTATTTTCTTTCTCAACAATTCCATAAGAATTTTCAAGACCTACAAACGTTTAGATACAACTCTCTGACAAATTCTTAATTCTCTCAAACCTTGCAACACAATAGAAGACAACCTTCTACTCCTCCTCCTTGGCTCCATCGCCGCTCTCTTCTTCTCCTCCCTAGCTCTAGCCCTCAATGCAGTGGGACTCAAGAACTCTTTCGGAATCTCTTTGATAAGATCTTGCGCCCTTCCTTTCACAATATTCCCCACACTCTTCCGTCGCTCCGTCATCACAATATCTTCATCCCTAGCCCCCACAGTCGTGGAACTTAACACCTCCCGTTCAATCTCCCTGACAATCCTATCCTTCCGCTCCTTCTCTACCTTCTCCTTCTCCGCGCCCACGCTCCTCCTCCTCACAGTTTTCCCCTCCCTCCCCCTCCTCTCCTCAATCCCCCCAACAAGCACCCTCAAAGCATGCGCCGTCAACCGATACGCATCGACCTCCTCCCTCACCCCACCATACCTCGCCAAAGCGCCCAACGCAATCGTATACGTATTCCTCAACCCAACATACGAGCAATCCCTTTTCATCCCCTTCCCATTCCTCAATTTCAACGTACCTAACGCGTGCGGTTTCGACGCCGTGACGACGCGCAGATAACCCGCTTTAGCTGCTGCTTCGGCGCCCGTGGCGGTGACGATGCCTTTTGAGGCGAGATGCGTGCGGATTGAGGTGCCGTGGAAAGATGTCATCTATTTACATCAATATTTTCCTCCTTTATCATGAGAAATAAATGTTTTACGTACGATTGCGATTTCAACTTTCGAGTCAAGTCTCAATGGGCTTTTTGGACAGGAGAGAATCACGATTGGGTGGTTGTACGCGCCGATGTTCATGCTGGGATCCGTGTAGGTTCCTGCGGGGATCTGGTCGTGGGGTGGGAGGAACATTATGGTGCCTTCGGCTATGCGGGGGGCGTCGGAGGGGGTTATGAGGTTGAATGTTATGGTGTGCATTTTGGATTGTTTTGGGGGTGATGATTTGGAAGGATATGGTAGTAAGTGATGTGGGATACATTGGAACTGCAGATTGTGAGAGTGACGAAGCCGAAGTTAGTTCTTTGTTTGGAAATTGGAAGAGTGTTGAATGCGTTTGCCCGGGAGATTGCAGACAAAGAACCACATTTTGCAAATTGATTTGTGATTCATGTGACAAAGAACCTTTTTGAGAAATTTCCTGTCGATGTTAAAGATTAGAAATCAGTCATGTAAAGTTGTGAACGAACTTGTCCCTGAATTCTTCCCAATTTCATAAATTCATAGCATATGTTGTGACTTGAAGTCGATAAATGAGCCAGCAATCAAGATCATTTGGGAGCCGTAAGCTGTTTGAAAGTAGGATACAAAAGCTTGCAACTTTAGCAATCTTGGAGTTGAGCAAGCTTCTTGACTTGTAAGGTGTTCGAAATGAAAAAGCATTCTATCCCGGAAGGGTCAGAATTTAAAATCCTGTCTTATCACTTCTGAGAAAGGTAATTTCATATTCTTTAAAGTGCAGATTCTTTTATGAAAGGCTCGCATCAACGGTCACAGACTCGAGGAAAAATGGATCCTGGTTTCAACTTGAAATACTGGTTTCTAAACCCTGACAAGATATCAATTATAGAACTTGGCTTTGATGTTTATGTTAACTTCCCGTACACTTCACTCAATAGTCCTTTACTTACTGTTTGAGATAACCCAATTGCAAGTTACTGTAAACTGTCATATCAGAAATCTGAACTCACAGACTTCGAGTCGCCGTGCCTCTATTAAATGATCATTAAAGTTTGTTAGGCACGCCAGCATTTCGCGATCCCTGGAGCCTATCACTTCTCCTCATGTTTAACCAAGTCCCAGACAAAACGCCGTAAAGATTACAAACCGATCTTGGTTTCTCGTCCGGGACAGCTCCACGAAAAACGTTGAAGTGGAAGACCAAACCCTCTCCACTTTTGGCATCATGATGTTGATTGAAGGATATTTCGCATGAGCCTTCCAAGGGACGTGTTAAGAAGTCAAGTTCTGAAGTCATGTCATGGTTCAGACAACGAATGGCCGAAGGTCACAGCACGGTGACAGTAGACTCAGAGGTTTTTGCGTGATGGAGCAAACGACTTCAGTCAGTCACAACATCATTCATTACTGCAATAAGACCTCTTTGTGAGTTACCAGGACAAACATGGAGTTTGCTAATGTGAGGGCCCAACAATGATCGCTTATAAGAATCATTCATTCTTTTCACGAAGTCAACATTCTCATCCATTTCTCCTTAACCTCGCTTTCACTTAATCTGCAGCCACTTTGATCAGTACTCTGTCAATCTTCCCATTATGCCCTACCAAAGAAGGACTTGCAGAAAGGCTCCATCCACCTTGCCATCTAATATACACGACATAATCGCGCGAGCAGTTTTGGCTGGAACTATTCCGGTGTCAGGGGGGCAAGAACCTCTCCAGAAAACAGCAGATCAATCTACACATCCTGAACAGTTATCTCAATTGTCAGCAAATGGCACGATAGAAACGCCTGTGCAGTCCAGTGGCTCGAATATTCCAAGTGATGAGAATAAAGCCTCCACTGTTATTCTTAGTGATCTAAAACATCAAACTGGCACCAATACCGTCTCTCAACAAACCGATAATTCCAAACAGCCTTATCCTGCTACTACTGCCGTCGAATCCCAAGTTAGAACTTCCACATAACGCGTATGGATAAGTGATTGACAAATATTTCGACTCCGACTCTCAGGGATTCATAACATGTCCTCGTGGGGAGCAGGAACCATGTAGTTCGTCTAATTCATGGTAATTATCGCTCAAATTTGTGAATGGAAAGGACTAGATTACTCATTTGGAGGTACATCATCGTATAAGACAACTCGATTTGTTCGGGCAGGACTTTCCTTGTCTGACTTGTGGAGAAGGATTTTGCTTCGACTGGGAGTGGCAAAGACGTGTGCATTCTAAGAAGCATGAGGGGAGAGTAAGGGAAAGATGACAGTAGGATCAGAAAGGGTTTGTTTAGTGAGTCTCTGTAAAACGCAGTAGATGTACCATTTCACTTGCTTCAAAACTATATAAGTCCACATGAAAAGGCTTTAAGTGATTCGAGACATGACTCACAAAGTGTTCTGGCGAATTTGGTGACTTAAAAAGCTAGCCTACGATTTTACGATGCCCAAACATCAAAGGCCAGCTTTCAAGATAGGGCGTTTTCGGACTTTCCTTTTGCATTAGTTGTTTCCTGTTCTAATGTGCCGATCTATCAATATATTTTGCCTCGTATATTCGCTTGAGTACTTCTGTCATAGAAACTGAATTATGTGTAATCTCAGGAAATTTTATGCTTTACAGAATACTCACGCCACCTATTCATAATCGCATCATTATTAAAAACTACAAAGATACTATACTTGCCATTGTATTGATGTTTGATTAGTAATAGACTTGACTGGAAGTCTTGTTTAGTTGTCTCTAGATCGGTGAATGCAATTGGGAAAACGCATGTCGATCATTGAAGACACATGTTAGCAAGAGCACAAATATTTTATGACCGGCCCATGACTAGAAGGTGAATTGAAAGAAGCATGTCCAATCTTTATTAGCCTTCTATAAAATATTATTTCTGACCTTCCTCATGCTCCTTTCCATAGATCGAAAACAACTTTTTCTCGCCTAAACTTCAAAACATGTCAGGAAAACAGCTGTATCAAAATAACAATCCAATCGCTACATCGTCTAAGGACATAGACATTCCGCAAAATGGCCAGAACTCGTCCTCGCTCACAGATCGCTCCCACTTGACAAGAAATCGCCAGAATTCCAACCTCACCAACGCATCACGTCCACCAGCCGCCGGCCCAAGCACCACCCCCAAAAACCCAACCAATCCACCCGAGATCCTCAAACTCCCCCTCGTTCCCATTATCCCAGGTCCAGACCCCGAAAAATGTCCCAAGTTCATGGATTTCCGCGAAATCGACTCCCCATTTCCAAACGAGATATATTGTCCGGCGGGTCGACACGAGCCCTGCAACTTTGCTAGACCTAAGGAGGATTATGCTGTGCGTGCTAAGTCGTTCACGAGTGCGGATACGTTAATTGCTCATTTGAAGGGGGCGCATGGCATTTTGCCGTTGGGGAAGGAAGGGACTTTTACGTGCGAGGCGATTGGTTGTAAGGGGCGGTTTTGGTTTGATTGGGATTTGAGGAAGCATCAGAGGGAGACGAGGCATAGAGATTGGTGGTGAGCTATTGTATTAGGAGACCAGGGTGGAAGGTGGTTTTGAAATGGGTGTTTTAGCTTTCAGGGTTGTTTTTGGATTTTGATGAAAAGATGACAGGATAGTGGGGCTCTGTTCGTTAGAGAGATGAAAATTGTACTGCTTCTCTTGACAATCTACTTTATGCATAGATGAGAGCTCTAAGATAACATTATTCATCAAGATGGAGATTTGTAGGGGGTTCGAGGCCACTCTTGTATCCTAAACCAGCCAGCACTCTTCAACACCATCTCCACCTGCAACTCCCTTCAAAGCCTCCCCGTCCATAAAACCCTTAACGAAACACTCCCCAACAAGGCCCCTAAGTTTGCATCTTTCATTTGCGTTCACCTTTTTTACACTCTTTGCTTTTCTCAGAACAAACAGTGTTCGCCCGCCAAAAAGTAGCCAAATTTCATCTCCAACTCTACTTTTCGTCGTTCCAATCCCCAACTTTCCATCTTCAGTAGCAAAAACGGTTCGGTTTAGATCGACGGATTTTTGAAATGTACTACTCCTTGAGCACCCTGAACTCAATGAGGATGCAGATGCAGTATTGTCCTCCAATTTCAACCACTCTGTCATTTCCTCGTGCGGAGACCCAACGATGACCTGATGGCCTACTTCTGAATATTCAAGCCAGTGCGTCATTGCGTTTAGCTCGTCAAAGTCAGGTTGCGTAATTGTCTCCATACTTTCCGTTGAAGTTTGCTGACTTAGGTCAGTTTTCGTACCTGCGACGATGGTTTCTGCAAAGTCTGCCTCGAGAGAGTTAGGGCCCAGGTAGCGTGAAATCGTAGTTGAGAAGTGGTCTTGAACTATCTGCTGCAGTCTCCTAACCGTAGAAGCCGAATTACGCTCATGGAAGGGGACCGGCAGCAGATGCTGATCAAAGATTGCCGTTACGGTTGTGAGTTTGATGCCTTTCAATTGGAGGATTCTGGAATCTTGTGCATCATTTGGTGGATTGTATCCGACGTCCAGATCCAACGACGGTTGCCGCAAATATCTTGGATCCACAGCCCATAAACCAGGTGGATGACGATACTGATGTCCGCTTAAATCCCGTCTCGGTACCCAGGATGGGAATCCATCAATACCAATGCTTTGTCTTTGTCAGGAATCAAACCAGTATGTTCCGTCGGACGAAGAATATCCAAAACCCCTTCGCCATATCTATGTCGGCCAACAGCATGTTCTCCATCGTGGAGAGATTTAATAGAACGAACTCTCGATTCAGAAATGAAATGCCGCACCATATTCCCATAAACCTCCCAGACCGGCTTCGAATAATCAGGTCTCAGAAGCGAGCGAACACCAAGATCTCTGTCTTCTCCGGAGGGTAAGCCTAACACTGCGTAGACTTTGTCTCTTTTATCCGTCGCATCGAAAATGCGTGCCGTTTCCAACTGCGGGAGTAAATAGTTTGGAAAGCTCGTGAGATATATCCGCACTACACGATCTAGATACATTTTCTCGGTGGTTGTGAGATGAAAGTGTATTTTTCGAATATGCAAGGCGCATAGGAAGAGATCGAAAGAGCGAAACGCATGAGTGCCTAGTAAAATAACTACATCTCGTGCCTGCGCGAACTCTTGTAGAACCCAAACACGTGTGAACCATTTCGACACCACGACTTTGCGGACCAGATCCCAGCTTTTGGGTTGTGCCAACCAGTGGCGGAAAGAGTGATTGATATGTGTTTCCGGTTGCCTAAGAACATGTGCAATATCGTGTAAACGAGGCGTCTGCACTCCGGATCCGTTCTTGAGAATTTTAGCCATGGCTGTGAATTGACTCTCTGCTTCCTCGAATGTGTTGTCGTCGATGTGAATCTCGCCGAGCCAGATAATCACTTTGTTGGCTTGTGAATATATCCGCTGCATCATCATAACCTCTTTCGAACGTTCGACGATGTCTTCTTGATTAATGCAGATCGCATCTACCCAGAACTTCATCGTCTTGGCATCATTGAGGTTCCGTAACCTCTTCAGCGCAAAGCAAAGATTTTGTCTGATTTTAATCTCCTGCTTGTGCAAATAATCCAACATGAGGGTTCAGGATCGCCCCATACATAGGAAAGAGCTTCAAAGGGTGGACAGTCATCCAGATGGAACACCTCTATAGAGAGCGAGACCTGCTCTTCTGCATGCCCCGGTTTAATCGAGATCAGTCGTATGGACTCCATGGGTAGTGTGGTGTAGAGTTGTGGCCTTTGCCTCGATCGCGAACGAGAGCGTGACCGAGATCGTGTTGGTGACTGAAGTCTAAATCCGCTACAGACTTTCCTGATCCAGCGAGGGCTCTCCATAAGGCTGAGCTTCTGAACGGATCCCAAAACCAAAAATGAGAAGACACTAGAGTTGAAGATGAAGCTGGGTTTGATATTATGGTGAAGTGGTGTCGTTGAAATACTAATACATTTCGTAGCTTAAAGGAATTCGTGAATGATGCTAAATGAAAGACGGACAAAAGAAATGTATGATCATCCGGAAAAAAAACATGAATCATAACTGCTGAAAGACTTATCGCTACAGTACAGACAATCGGGAATGGGGTGAGATTACCTGCAGGAGAAAGCAAAGAAACAATGATCCACCCAAAGCTCCCACGCTCTCCATTACTGACCAGCCTTCTCATCAACAACTACGACAATTTTACCCTTTGCTCTCCCAGTCTTTATCTTCTCAAAAGCTTTAGCCCCTTCTTCAAAAAGAAATTTGGTATCCACGATCGCCTTGACCTTCCCTTCACTCATCAATTTCCCAATGCTGTTCAAGTCTTCAACGGTGGGCTTCATCATGTAACTGATCAGCTTTCGTTTCCCACCACCTAGGAATCCGGGTCGGAATAGTCTTCCAAACGTAGTAGTGATAGCATTATACGAGAACTCTCCGCCCACAACGACGAACTTCGCTTCCGGGGTCGTGAACTCGTGAGCCCGGTAGTACAGAGTAGAAGGATATCCAACATTATCAACAACGTGATCAAACTTCTTTCCACTAGCCACGAGCGCGTCAACCACGTCTCCTTTCTTATAATCAACAACATCATCCGCACCAAGCTTTTTGCAGAGGTCAACGTTAGCTGTGGAACAGCTGGTCGTGACATGGCACCCGAAAGACTTTGCGAACTGAATAGCGAAAACACCAACACCGCCTGAACCACCATTTAAGAAGACTTTGTCTCCTTGTTTGACATAGGGTGCAATTGTTTGATATCCAGTGAGACCAGCAATACCAACAGTGGCTGCGTCCACGGGATCAAGACCTTGAGGGATTGAGGTGACTGCCGTATCTGTAGCTAGCGCATACTGTGCCATGGCACCTCCAGCAATCGGACTAGCACCAGCAAGACCGAAAACTAATTGTCCAGCTTTGAGAGGTGAGCCGGCGGCAGGTGTTACGATACGGCCAGCGAAATCTCGACATGGTGTTGCATTTTTCCCGCCAAGAAAACCACCAATAAATGGGAGTTCAACGAGTTTGTAATCGATCGGGTTGACGGCGCAAGCAATTATTTGAACGAGATGCTGTTGTGGGCCTGGTTTTGGTACGGCTGCAGAGTCGTTGATGTGTAGGTTTTTGTCCAGACCTCCTTTGGCGCTGCTGAACTGCCAGGCTCGTGATGTTGATGGGGGAGAAGCCATGTTCGATCGTAAATAAGCGAGGAATGATGACGCCGTCAAGTAAAGGGGGGTGATTTCTCACTCAGTTTGGCGAAATAAAGTATGTAGAAGTCTTCAATGGATATGTTTTGATAGTTTGCACTAATGGAATGACAAGAAATGGTGGTTCGACCCTTTTTATGATTTCATACAAGTAACCTTAGCGTGATCCAACCGGCGGAGGGTCACCCCGGAGGATCAAAATGTCTCCGCCACCGATCCGATTCCACGTGACTTGGCAAAGGGGACCGAAAAACAGTTTCCGAACCTGCAGCTGGGCCGATGGCTTTCTGATTGTTTGCGTAAATAAGATAGATTCAATATATTTTCTTTTTGGGCATTGGCCTATTACTGGCAGTGCCTGGAAAGGTTGAAAGAGAGTGACCGTTTGCATAGGTTGACATCAGCTTCATTAACGAGCCCTCTTCTGTTTGAACTCGATATTACATTGTGTTATATATCGCAATTTTACCGCACAGTCCTTTCCAGCAGAAGAATTATTGTAACCATATACGATGACGTGGACTACAAACAGGTTTATTTATCAATTGGTATGCGGAAAGCAGTGAGGACGAGCGTTTATGGGGTGGAAGCCCGTTCATCATACGACATTCTAGTTGCCACTATACAATTTGTCGCTCAGTTTTGATATTTTATTCGGAGTCACCCCATCAATTCATCGTAACAATTTACCACTAGATGCAATAATTTATGTCCAAAACGGCAAGTACGGCTGAAAATGTACCAGGTTCTGATGTCAAGACTTGCAGATTGGAGCTTCAGTTACACAGAAATGAAGCCAATCACATCTTGATTCTCGTAATTGGCACGCAGCAGAGACAATCGCAAAGATTATAACGTTACAATGCATCTGCAAACGGGAATCCAGATATTTCCATTTCCGATAGCGTGGATACAAACGTAGAAAGAAATCAAGTCACTACAATCGTCAGGTGTTATAACAGCATGGCCACAAAATGGGGGACAGTCATCTCTACTGACCTGTAGATTCTCGGCCGCCACTTCGATAGAAATATGGCTTCTACAGGATGGCTTCGTGAGTTTTATAAGATAGCAGTGTCTCATTGTCACCAGTACACGGCCCGTGAGGAGTTGTTCTCTTGACTTATTCATTGATGCCGCACTCTCTCGCATACTCTGATTGAGCGAAATCTATATTGAAATAGCGAGAGCAGTTCCTGAAAGAAGAGTGTAAGAAAAGTAGTTCACAGCTAAGATATTAGAGATCCTGTCCTTATTTCACACTTTCTTTCAAAGAACGACGTGCCTGAGAACCAGATTTCTTTTGACTCTCAAATCCGAGGGTAATACTTCTTCAAGGCACAACCCAAGCAACGGAATATATGGACCGGAGAATTTTGCTAGTGACGTGTTGTTGGGATGGATGGATTTTTTTGGGCCAGAGATTGGTGGACAATGTGATCATGCTATAGTTGCTAATCCAGCCCCTCCCATAACTTGTAGCAAGCAGTGGCTTGGACATAGACAGGCGAAGTTCTCAAACATCGCTAACGATTTGTACTGCCTCTGATCCCTTCTCCATTACTCGAACTTTCATCCAGCCTCCTTCTTCAACCCCGACGATCAACCCATCAACACAGCAACGTCTCCATTTCCAGGACTCTCCGACTTCGAGGAATTTCACGTCAAGTCCCTCCACAGCGTCGTATCCAACGCCTTCCATACCAATATGCTTCCCGTCTTGATATGCGGCTTTCATGATCTCCATACTCTCATCTCCACTCAGCGGCCCAAAGTTCACAACTCGCAATACGCCGTCAAGAGGTTTCGTTTCTGGGGATATGGTAAATGTTTTCTCGAGGTTCGATACGAGGGTTGCCAATATATATCCATGCTCTTGGCGCCCAACAGCATTCTGTTTGCCATCTTGCAATAACGTCACATCTGCCTGGTATGCGTGAGGACTTCCGTCCTCGGGGTACAGAAGATCCTTTGCCACCAATCCAAACCGCTTATCTCCATGCTTCCTGTATTCCGTGGTATCCGAGTCCGCAACGAGTGTAGAATGTAGACCGTAGCTGGCCACAACGGCTCCGTACAATGTATTGTTGGAAAGAGGCGTAGCACTCTGGCCTTCGTGTGTAAGGAGACGAGCCCCAGGTGAGAAAGTTGCTTTGAAGGTTGGCAGTGGTTTGGGCTGGCCTGTTAGGAGAGTTCGAAGTGCTTGGACGTATATGGAAGGAGTTGTGGACGACCGATGAAGGGAGTGGAAGAGTGCATTGCCTGTTCCAAGAGGGATTTGACAGATCACCGGTGGAGTGTAATCACTATAGCACGTTAAATACGCTCACATGCTTGCATCTGAAAGGAAAGTGATGTTCGTACCTTGATCTCTCCCCACTCTCCAGAAGCCCATTTATGATGTCGACAATCCCACCATCACCACTAAGCACCACAACTGTTTGAGCATCTCCTCCATTTGCGTTCTCCAGCAAAGTAGTCTTTGCAAGATCATGTACAGATTGCGTATTCTCGGTTCGATCGACGCTATATTGAGATTCGTCGATGGAAAGTGTTTGTAAGACTGGTCGCAGTATCTTCTCGAAAAAGCTAGTTGCGAGGCCAGTTCCAGATAATGTTGATACAACCACACTTAATTGGCAGGAAGGCTCGAGATGACTAGGTACGTCTTTTATATGGTATATATCGAGGAAGTCTTCTGGTAGGTGGGTCGCTTTTGTGATAAGCAGCTCGAAAGGCTGTGGATGCGTTTCTGCGCTTGCCTCTCCTTCTGGGGCGAGGCTCAGTATGTTGTAGCCATCCCCATCGCCCTGAGCTCCAGTGACAGCAATTATATCAGCATCGTGAAGTTGGAGAGCCGTTGATGCCGTCAAGATGCCGTTGGAGAAGGAAAACCGGGGTTTCCCGTTTGATTCTCCCGATGCCGTTACAGATGTGGGACCTTGCTGTGCCATTCTTGACAGGGTAATATCAAGTGTACTAACTCTTGCAAAGATGGCTCCATGATTGTAAACAGCTCAGCGGCGGTAAAAGAGTGGCATGGTACGTAAAGGTGGTTTGGTGGGGAGGTGAGGTGCGAATGATGATGCCTGTCATTATATCCTTGGCGCTCGGTCACTGCTTACAATATCCATCCAGACGAGGAAATTATTGCACTTGAAGATATACAATTATTAATCAGAACATAATTCTTTGCTAGAAATAAAGATTTTACTTATGGAAATTCTAAGCCTAAGGTTCTTCGCCTAAAAACCTCTACCGTACACCTAGTTATTTAATATTATATATAATATAGATATAATTAAACTCTATATAGACGTATTAAACTTTCTTTTATATTATCTTAGTATAATCTCTACTTAAAAATTAAGTTTTAATATTTAGCTATACTATTATAGTTTAGATTATAGCTATAATCTTATTTATTCTTCTAGAAATAAGAAAAGAAGATTAACTAATATTTATTATTTTATAGACTATAGAATTATATATTATTATATTTAATGTTATTTAGTCTTATACTATATTAACTAATCTAAAAAACTAATAATTCTACTATATTATTAGAATACTATAATACCTCTCTTTATCTTAACTTTTAATTAATTTTTAAAGACTCTATTTATAAATATCTTAAATAAAAGAAAATTAATAAAGTAATATTATTTTACTTATTACTTTTTAATTAATAAAAATAATAGAAATTCTATCTTCTAAAAGAATTATTAATAGACTTATTCTTTTTCAATTATTAAATATTTTATAATTAATTCTTTTTATTATTTTATAGACTTATACTTTTAATATATAAGTAATTTAGATAGTCGCTATAGAATATACCGAGTACTTACTATAGTGTATTTAGCGTACTAGCTATAAGATATTCGAGATACTAGCTATAGTACTCGCTATAGGGTACTTAGTGTACTGACCCCTACTAGCCTTACGCTAATATTAATAATTTAATAATATATTATCGGTTTTCTATAGAAGTAAATAGAGCCTTAGGTGCTTTAATACGTCCTCGAAGAGTCGGATAAAGGAGCTACGGACAAAGACTCAATAGAAGCTAATTACAAAGCAGAGATAGACAAAGGTAACGTGTAGTCTAATAAATCAATTCTATCTAATGAAAGTTTGGTGACCTAGAGTCTAAGAAACAGGGTCAAAAGAATCATATCTCAACTAGAGCTGCCTGGGCTTCTCTTAAAATGATTGCAGAATACCTGCTGATTCCTTCCACGCCCCCAGATCTCTCATCAGAATTCCATTCGATATGCAATGAGACTAGAAGATAAAGTATTTGGTCGTCAAAGCCAAAGTACAATGGATAACAAGAACCAAAGACTAGAGGCAGTACTTTCTTCAAGCCTCTTCGGGCTAGTGTGAAGCAAGCAACTACCAGGCAAACATCTCCATTCTCTGCCCCTACAAGATCAAGCAGCTGCTTAGTCAAAGGTCAAGAGCTGTTCATCAATGATAGGTTGGCGACCTTCATATACAGTACCAATTTTTATACATCGGCACCATGCAACATAAACCATTCGATCTTCGACGGCAGCAAATAAGACCTTTTGTTTTTCCTGTATGTTCATGTTCGACCACTTCTCCAACAAAGACGCTCGATCAATTGGTGAAGTATCATGGTGCATCCCGATATGCCTAAGCCATGCCAACCTCCAATTATCAAATTTGCTTGTCCCAGCGTGCATTGGATCTTGGTACGTTCGGAAAAGTAGACCATAAAGTCTGTCCCAACTAACGAAATCAGGATTGGCAAGGCTGCACACTTTCTCAATTCTCTCGATATGCTCACAACGTTCCTCCGTGCTCATATACAAGCAGTGTAGTTCAGTTACTTCGATATTTTGACTCGTGACATTGTAGAATTTGTACGGAAATCGAAACATTCCTATAGATTGTAGCCAGACTTCTCTCTCAGCAACAAATTGCTTCTTGGTGGCAAAACATCCTGCTGGGAAAGGGTTGTAACGGGATTCCAGCGCGCTGAAGGTTACTTGTTGGCGGGTGTGTATTTGATCGAGCATTCTCACGGACATCATCGCTTGTAGGATTCGCGTCTTGTATTGTCGAATGAAGCCGTCGGTATCCCATTTGGCTTTGATCAATGCAGCAATTTGACCAAAGGGACAGGTGGATTCATCGACTCCTGGTCCCCACGTTAGGATACTTTGTGACAATCCAACTCTTTCAAGCCATCCAACTTTTAAGTTATCATCAGACAGATCTTCATAGCACCGTCGAAAAACCTCATCCCAATGTGGTCCCCGGTAATTCTTGTCATATTGGACATGTACACGGATAGGAATTTTGTTTATGTCGGTAGATTCGCCGTCTCTGAGGTATACTGCCAATTTCTCGATATGTCTACGCACTAGTGGTGATAATGCAGCCCAATAGTTCTCTACCAATGTCGAGTACTCATGTGCTGTGACTGCAGTGAAAGGGTGAAAGTCAAGGCTTAAGCGGATGAGCCATTCGAAAAATAGTCTCCATTGCGTATATCCCTTGTCTTTAACGTATACTACCGGATCTCTCTGCTTCCACAATGGAAAGAAATAAAACGACACGAAATCTTGGAAAGTGCCGAAATTGTTCTGACTATACAAGAAATCGTATGAGTCTCTGTCGTACTTATATATGCATCCGCCTCCATCTAGCATTTGGGGATTGGATGGTGGCCAAAGTGCTGTGCGTTCTTCTCGCAGTATCCTGTCCAGCGGTGGCGGAAGTCCCTGTCTTGAGTCTTTATATAGTTTATTCCACTTAATCCGATCAACCTCGACTGTCTGAGGAGCCTGGTAGTTAAAGATTCTCAGTACTGTGAAGTTGGAGTTGGCCACCAGGGATTGGGTTGCTACTATATCTGTGGTTGCAATCGAAGCTGAAGAGCCTGGTGCTTGTCCTGGTTGATAATGTTGGATGGACAAAATAGCTGAGGGTAGAGGAGCTAGTGCAGCATTCGCTCGAGTCTCTGCTCTTGGAAAATGGGTTCTCCACTCCTCTGAGACTGATTATCGTATACAGATGGAGGTTGTGCTACCACCATGGCACCTGATGGTCTTGAGCCCATCAATCTAGCTCGTTTGGCTGGCTCGCCTTCGATAGCAGCTCCACGTGTTGAGGAATGGTCCGAACTTAGAGGTTGTGTTGTATGTTGCCGACCGTCGTCCTCGTCGGGATCGGACTCTCCTCTCGTGGGTTGTAAGGCACGTTTCTTTGGCTGTAACTTTGCTAGTGCCTCCTGTGGTTTACTTGGAGGTAATGACTGAGGTGGCGGACTAGGACTCAACAGTTCTGACATTGGAACCGGTTTTCCTGGTGCCCGTCGCAATCTACTTCTAGGCGATGGCGTGGGCGAGGGGGTGGGACTCAAGAATTCTGTCTTCGATGGGACTGAAGTTGCTCGTGGTTCTTGCGATTCATTCCTAGATGCTGATGGTAGCGATGGAGCATCTTGTGGATCTGAAATTGTTGACATTGCTGGAGCTGCTTGGGGTTGAGTCGCGGTTTCTTGGCCTGATAGCGTGGAAGTGGTTGCACGATGAAATAGCTGCTGCGGTTGGTTTATATCGGTCTTGGAGGCTATTTTGGAGTCTGTTGAGTGACTATCGTCAGGCCGGTGATCGTCCATGATTCTGGACTGGATGGTGTTTATTGGGAGTGAAATTCGCAGAGCTTTCATGAAATGTGTGGCATTAAAACTGTGAGTCGCTTTAAGACTGACGGTGAATGCTTATTAATACCCTAGCACAAACAGACACTCCTGCTCCAACATCATCTGAGTCTGATGCTTAATCAGCTATGTTATTCGACTAGTTGCTCGCAGTAAAATTTTCCTACAAACCTGCAAACAAGCACCAACCCGCGAGGATGTCACACTGTGTTAACGTAGTCAAGATCACTCTCGATTCCAGAAGGAATCATAATCAAATGGATTCAAATGCGGGTTATCTAAAAGCTCCTTCAGAGAAGGCCAAGTAGTCTACTTAACGAGTTTGCAATGTTGCTGAGGACATGTCTGTTCAACCGCTTTGCTTCTTACTATCTATCATGATTTCCTTTTGCTTCTTTTTTATCAAACCAAACCAATATCCTTTTTCTATCATCTGCCATACAATTCTTTTTCCAGTATTCCTCCGCAGCCACCCCGTTCTCTACTTCTTCGAAGACCAACGATATCACTCTTCCATACCGAAAACAGCCGTATGGTAGCGTGTGTAGCCAAAACCGACGAGGATTTGCATGTGATCCATGAACTCATCATACATATCCAGAGACCAAAGCATGTAAGAAGGGTTTAACTCTTCGGCCGCTGATCTGCAATCTCTTGCGAACAAGCCTGTTCCATTGTGGAAACTGTTCTCTACGAATCAATAGATGCTGGAGAATGGACATGGTATGTTGCTTACATGTTACGGAGATCGTGGTCCCATTGCTCAGATGAGCGTTGCGGTCGTAAATCACATCCACTCCACAGCTGAAATCGCGTGTAGTCTATTGGTCCGGCAGCTAGGCTTTTCAACAGTGGTCCAAGGGGAGCTTTCAGTTCTGGTTCCTTGACTACCTTAGGTAGTAAACGTCTAAAACGCTTGCGTTGGGTATGGGAAACACTGCTTGTCTCTCCAGGAGCTTGCCGTTTTTCAGGTCTCGTGGGCATAGCAAACCGATTGTTTTGATTGTTTGCTAGACTTCTCGTAGTATTTGATACTCCAAACATCTCTGGGGGTTCCATAGAGCTGCATTGAGCGTGTATACTGCTTTCGCCGAGCGTTTCTGAAGTGTTCATGATGCTGAATGGAGCCTGTATGTCGCTTTCGCCAAACGTCCCTAGGTCGTCCAAGAAGCTGAATTGAGACTGTACGCCGCTTCCGCTAAGATCCTGTGGGGGGTCCGAAAACCTGAATGGATCAAGTATGGCTCTTTCGTCAAACGGCTCTAGGTTGTCCCTGAAGTTGAGTGGATTCTGTGCGCCGCTTTCGGTATCTTTGAGGCTCGACTCGAGGTGTAGTGCATGATTACTATCTCTGGCCGCTCTGTCAGGCCTTCAAGTTACTGTTCAAGCTTTAATATCATTCGCAGCGAAGGACTTACTCGGCTGAATGAGGTCCACCATAAATAGCTAGTGGTTCTCCACTACCACTTGCTGAGGACTCTGCGGGAGGCTCCAAGGTAGCACTAACAAACTATCAGTACAGGCACATTGGAGCTGTCGTGTGTGCTAGAAACAAGTAAACAAGGAGGTAATACAGGCTAGAATTCTGGTGAGGGGTCGATCTTGGAGCTCGCTTTGGTTTGCTTTGACTAGAACCAGGAAACTCAGGAGCTTTCCCTTTAGCGTTTCTAGGCTTCTTTGCGCGGCCCATTGTTGATTCATCAATGTGTGACGCCTACTGAAAACTTGAAGAAATGAATGGAAAGTCGTTGAGACCAGAAATCAAAGGTTTCCAAAATTAAAAAAAATAAACAGGGTGTGGCCCCGCCAGAATCCAAAAATTGACTCAGAGTTACCTCCGAAATAGTGAATATGGAAAGCATAATAACAATCCTTCGGCTTAAGGAAGATCTGAGGGCAAGCAGACGTCCTCCAACCGATAAGGAGGGGTGTCGAAGTATCCCAATCTCCACCCTTTCTTCCTTTTTCTAGATAGGTCTAAAGGTTTATCTATTGTTCTAACGTCAAAGACGAACAAGAAAGACGTATCTCAATCCTGCATCGATTATTATCTTTAGGGATCTACATTCTAGATGGTCATGGCGACCAAAAAGAAAAGACTTACATTTGCATAGGCTTATCGGAAGCTCTGCAATTCTTTTTGATATCTTGTATACTAACGACAAGTAAAAAGCGGTATTTCTAATATGCTAGAATTCTCAAAGCAAATGATTCCCAGCTTTTTTTATCTGTCTAGGTAACTCTACGAGCTTGTGATGTTCTTTGATTCAGGCGAGATGACTTTATGTTCGGCACAATCAAGTTGGAGATACTGGATCATAGTTTTCTGTGCTTTCTACTGGGAACATTAAATGGAACTTTGTCTCAAACTTAGAAGAAGCGGTTGAAAACATGCAAACAAACTTGATGTAAAGGGATTAAAGGGTTCCAGTCAAAGAAAATGCTTCAGGAAATAACATTGTAGACCGACTTTCATTTGACAAAAGCCTGGGCTGTATTCTTTGTACACTAATCAAAAAACTAACGGTACAACAAGAATCTAACGTTGAGAAATCGAAACTCAGAGGGTTCAGAACTACCATATCTCAGGGGCAAACAGTTGATCAAAGGTTTGCAGGAAGAAGCCTTTAGAAGCCACAAACTACAACACTAAGGTACAAACTAATCATTGTGGCTCTGTTCAAGGTTATCTCTTCTTCTATTATGCGCTCTTTTACTATAGGTAGGACGGGCAAAGTATAGTATCTGTCTAAATTGGCAGCCCAGTTCCATCGACTTGTCATTCCTATACTAGGCGACTTCCTCAGCCCTATAAAATCAACACTGCCACGCTGTTCTGATGACCCTAGTGACTATGGCTTTCCCTGAACACCATCAGTCGGAAGAGTCTATTCCTTGTCGGGCCCATAATATCCTTAAATCTGCTTGAAGCTAGGGAAGCCTGTGTTCCAGCAACTTGGCGCTTATTCCGAAGGTTGATAGTCTGCCGCCAGCCTGTCACAAATCTGCGACATAGTCAGTAAGACTTTGGGGTCGGGTTTGGAAACACCTAGGCATTGATGCTAGGCACAGCGCCGCTGGTAGGGTTTTTGTACATATTTCCTCACTCGATACTTCCCTACGCCTCAAGCTGCCATGTTTCGTCGCAGTCGCAAATTCTGCTTTAGAAGCTTGACTCTGGGAGTTGAATCTCCAAAGGAAGAGAACATTCGTCTGCCGATCTTTTCGTCCCCCAAGAGAAGCACCTCAATATGATTGTATTCGGGAACACCCTCCTCGGTCATCATGTCGTTTTATAGTATACTAGAAGGAAAGCGGGGAGATAGGAGTAATCCTCCGTCGCCATTTAAAAGTCCAGCCCCAAAATTGTCCCTCATATAGTCGCGGTTCGTCGAGATAGTCGCGCAAGGAAAGCAGAACGTTTTCTTCGAGTATACCGAGTAAAGGATGGCTGAGAGAAGGGGCTTTTAGCTCCAAGGTCGAGCATTACCTGGCTTCGGATAGTGTCGTTGATCTGGCGTTGAAATGGAAGTGGTGTTCGGAATCAACTCGAGATAACAGCGGGCGAGGGTAGCGCCGAAGAGAGAAGTTACTTTCCCTCTGCGATAGCTAGTCGAAAGGGTTTCGCGTAAGCAGTGTCTCGCAGACAATGTTGTTGCTATAGAAGGGTTGATCGGGAAGCTTTTTGGCGTTGCAAAATGGCACGTTTCGAGGTCGTTGCTTGGCCCGCCTGACGATGTGCGGACGGTGAAAGGAGGCTGCGTTGACTATACAATGCATGGTAAGAGCCACTCTGGGAATTGAAAAATGGTAGTAATATAATCTGCACGACCGCCAGCTGCAAACTTTTGGGGAGCTGAGGCCACCGCACACATTTATGCGCTACTAAGCTACTTTGAACCCAACAACGTACAATCGAACGGCACTACATCCAGACTCCAACCACATTCATTTAAGTGCATACATTCGAGAATCTTCGCGTTTGGATACGATTTTAGCATACGGCAGGTCACATTCGTAATTGAACATCCGTTCTAGGATTGTCTTTGGAGTCTTTACCCGCAGCACAACCAGTCGCATTTCTATTGTAGAAACTACTCCATAAAGAACACATCTCTCGGGTATTCTACAAGTATCCAAAGACTTTTCTGATCTTACTGAGTTAATTGTGGGCGGTAGATGATGCATCAGGGCATTTTGAAACCAGGAAGTATTCACTCCTAAAATAAAAGGGGGTTGGCTCGCTTAGCCCTTGTCCGTCATGAACATCATTCAAAAAGGCAAAATCAGGACCTACAAGCTTTTATGTAAAGTCCTGCTGATATAAAAAGACTGGGAAAAGGTTCGCTTCATATCTACTACGTCACGTTGCTTTTTAATATGGAGAAATCGTGTTTGGATTGGACACTGGTTTCTGTACTGAAAACTTTCCCAAGTTGCAAGTATTATTCAGAATGACTTGAATAATGAGTATTCCTATTTATTCGCTGCGAAGACCAAAAGGAGTCTGGCAGAATGGTACCATTTTTGAAAAGGTTAAATTTCGCCTAGAAAATGGGTTGCAACGCAGAAGTCACCACGAACCCATGATGATAGCGCAGCCTGTCCAAATTTAGGCTGTCAGTAATTGATTGACAAGTGCACAACTAGCTACGAAGATACTAAGGTACTAAGGTACAAAATAGTATGGTCCTACCACTCAGCTCCACTATACATTATCTTTTGTCCATCCTCGAGAATGCACATTGCAAGTACAAAGGAGAACCACATCTAACTTCGCCCTCCTAGAATCTTTCCAATAAAGTGAAGTTGTCCCAAACCCAATTATTGTAAGCCTTCATGAAGTCATCGAATTTGTCAGCCGAACAATAGGGGGCCAAAGGATCATGGCATCTAGCATGAGAGAAAAACCACACATGAAAATCATTGGTTCGGTGACTGTTTCAAATTAGTCAGACGCGTACTGTCCCATGGACTTTCAGAACTTACAAGTCGTCTCTAGGTGGATAAATTTGATCAAGGACTTGACGGATGGCGGGACTGAGGATCTCAAGATGGTTGAAAGTTTCTCCTCGATCAACAGTAGCTTTTGTCTCCCCCTGAATCGAAGTATTTTGTGAATCGCTGAAGTGCAGCTCGTTGTACATGACTCCTTTCTCAAATCCAAAAAGAGGACCAAAGGGATTGTAGATTGGGGTAGAAGGGCGACTTGCTGCAGGCTGGTTGTTCTGTCGATTCAAACCGTTCATGTCAACATCGGCCAGAGTGTCTCCGTGTGGGGAAATTGCATGCTTGGAATGATCATAATTTCCAATAGGAATGTTAGATTGGAAAAAATTGTAAGTATTTCCCAGGCTGGCTTCCAAAGTATCACTTCTTTCATAATCGCTGGCTTCTTGGCTTGTGTGGATGAAAGTGCTTGACACTCTACCATAATCAAGTCAGCATATGTGTACGAAGTCCTGGTACCTTTGTTGGCCGTCTGGGGTGGTTGTGGCTCACTTATTTGTCTGAAGCCAGATCACTAATATCAGTTTGATCTCCAGCTATTGTGCAACTTGAGACAGACGATGCTCGCGATCGAACACTTCCCTCACCTCCACCTTGATCATGAAAGGCCGAGGAAGAACGGGCCACGGAGGTTGGGGAAGAGTGGCTATTGAACTCTAGTGAATACACTACATCATAGTAACATTTCTTTGAATGGAAACTTACTGAGCAAATGCCATACTATCACCCTGATCTCCTACAGTTAAAATCTCATTCGGGGGAGTTGCCTCTCGGAGAGTTCCGCTGTCTGTGACTATGCCACCTCGAATAGAAGCATCTGTATTGATAGTTGGATTGAGCGTGTCCGTAGACTGATCCTTAGGATTATCTGAAAGGGAACGCCGAGCCGGAGTAGGGGAAGAGCGACGACTTATCCCCCAAGATCAGTAAATAGCGCGAATGGAAACAAGAGATAAACTCACCGGACTCGACGACGCCTAGTAGCTCGATCACGTCTGGTAGGTTGGCCACGTTTGGTAGGTCTACCACGTCCAATAGATTCGCTGCGCGTGACAGCTCTATTTTGAATAGGAGAGCTTAGTTCCACTGAGCTATCGCTGTCATAGATGTTGAAAGACAGGTTTGACGTATCCCTCAGACCTGGGGGGGTAGAGGAGGTGTTCGACATTTCTCCAGCAAGACAATAGTATTCTGGTTGGCAACTTGTCTGTTGTGTTGATGGGATAAAGCTTTCTAAAGTTTGTGGACTGTAAAAGAGAGGTCAAGACCTTGGACTTATGGGGAAAAGAAGAAATAAGATACAAGGCCGGCCGACAATCTGACTCTAACACTCTCTAAGCCACACCAGCTTGGTAGCACAACAACTAGCGTGTCATCGCTGAATTAGCACATAACACAGGAGCTCGGGGGAATCAGTAGGTCAGCAGGGCTGTTTCTACAGTGAACATATAAAACTCATGTCATCAGAGAGACTAGTAATCTAGTCTCATCTTTAATGGGGCTGAATATAGCCGTGTCAGCGGTATGTAGAGCCGAGAAAAGAGAGTAATTCACTTTTTCAGTTAAGTCATATTCTTTAATAAGAATTACACATTAAGGTAGTGAAGTAAAATGACAAGGAGAATTACTGCCACCCCACTAAGTAGGGTAAAGTTATGTATAGTGGGTACTCTATCTATTAAATTTAGCCTAAACATTCTCTTTTTCTTTGGCTTTTATCATTTACTAGAAGCTCTGATTTGGAGCCTCGGTGAGACTTCACAACCCGAGGGCCATTATTCATGAGTCGAAATTGCAATTCTTTCCTTGTAGTACACCTCTCCCATAGTAAACCGGAGAGTTATGGTACCTGTGAACGTCCTTCTGCAATATGAGCGCTGTGCGCAGGCTTTACATTGGTTATGTTTCAAGAACCTGATTAGTCACGTCAGGAAAAGCGACAAAGGTGACATAAACAAAGAGTGACATAAACAAAGAGTGACCAAACAAAGAATCCAACGCAGCCTACAACTGTAGGCTATCAATTAGAGTCCAATTTAAAGTAACACTTTTACACGTCAACAGCTTTCTTTTGAAAGTGACATAGTGTCAAATTCCTAGTAAGAATTCGAAAGTGTAGTGACCAAGATCGATTAGCCGGTGTTCCAACATAGCTCGGGTTGCACCCAGCCCCCAACATTTAAAATACAGGATGGCAGCCAAAGACGACGTCCAAGGCATGCAAGACAAACAGGTCATAGAAAAGATATTTGTTACTAAGTGGAGAATTACGATGAGGACTTCAGAAAGGACAGTTGATCCCACCGTCTTGTTTTAACTTGGATGATGAGCCGTCTTGTTTTGACGTGTAGAACGCATGCTAGCATTCAACGTAGTAACACCTTCTTTCCTAGCCCTAGCCATGCGGTCCTTAGTGTTCTTGACAGAAACTTTTGTTTCGTTGATCGAAAAAGTTTGCGGGAATTAATGCTCAAGAAATTGTGTGTAGTTGAGAGAAAGTAAAGTCCTAGAACTCGACCAGAGTGACTTACTTATAGTCAAGCCAGACCGGGGTAAACTTATTAAGTCTCACCGGAGTATCTTTCAAGCGGCAAAGATATCGGAATAAACTACAATTGGGCATCTTTAAAAGATGAATATAATTCATGGAAATAATTAAAACACCAAAAGAGGGGTTCTAGGCTTTATTCACGTATAAAAGGAAGTTGCTATTAAGTGAAGTTTTTATATATCCAATTTTAAAAACAGCACGTGTCGAGGCGAGGTCTACGCTTCCAACTTTTGTAAATAAATTGGATCTGCCGGCAGTTCATTAAAACAGCCACTATGTTGATTGTACCCAGCAGTAAGCTTTGACCAGCCCGACCTATGTTATATACCAGATCATTCTTCACTATTGAAGTAAGTCTTTTTGTGGGCAGATTGCTGTGTCAACAGCTTGCATTTGCTTCATTTTTATGCTAGAAGCGACAGATTATTTTCAAAAACTGCAATTACTAAATTTGGATAACAAAGGACGTGTGAAGAAAGAACCTAGAGACCTAATCCAGCCAAGAAGCTCATTTCCATGAAAGAGCAGTCAGATAATGAGCGGACGACAAAGAATTCTATTCATAACTAGGAGCCAAACCACAGAGCCGACATGGTGTAGTCTAATTACAGGGCTCTTTTGAGCCAGATCCAGAGTTCATGTGCCCCGGCAGGTGGTCATCCAGTTGTGTTGTTGGCCCAAAGAACATTTCCATCCTAACCCTGCTATCATTTTATGCCAATCAGACAGAAGCAGCCAACAGCTGATCAGCTTCAGAGAAGCTTGGCCAATACTATAAAGCAAGAGGTAAGTCTGTAGACTAGCCTCTCCCATATTTGACTTAGTTCCTCGTCTCTTGTGACCAGTCGACGGGGTTAGAGATATTTGTAATGCTCCAGGGGCTGATAGAAGGTATGGAGAATGTATGGATAGGGTTTAGTGTCTGTGACAGGGTTTTAGTCAGTAAGTGTATCCAGGACGGGTGGTTCAGCCTTCATAGTCAGGATCTGACTTACCTCAATCCAGAACCAAAGATCCTCGCCTCTTTCTATAAATAACTGCAGACCCAATCAAGTATCTAGCCTGACAGACTTCTTGGTAGAGTGCCAGCTAGTATTTTAAGATATCCAGCCCAGCACTACATTCTAGGATGTTTTTGACCAGATGTGGAAAGAGCCTATTTGACATAAGGGGCTCGAAAGTGTATACTTCTGCCTCTATGTTCAGCAATAATGTAGCTGGGCCAGCAGAAGAACGAGTCGTGAGGATTTATAAGAGACCGTGGCCCAGATAGGATGGTTTATCATTTGGATATGCTTCCATCGGATGTGATGTTGCTCTCAGACTGGATCAGGGCCCAAACACTCTATCTGATCAGACTAACCATCCAATTATCAGCTCAAGCCTAAAACTCGACGACAGGATATCATTTACCTGGTACTCATTCGGCATCGATAGTCCCCAATTTCGAATGAGTTGGAACAGGTATATATCTTTGCCTCATAGCTATTATATAGAGTGACGTGAGACAACATCGAAGTGATGAGATGTTGATTTAGGAGAAGTGATATCTGCCGCTCGTGGAAAGGGGTCAACCTGGTTGGCGAGACCAGGTCGGGAGAAACTTTGAAGATGGCGTGGAGCGATCGCATATTCCGGGAGGCAGGATGGGCTGGCGACAAGTAATGGTATAGTGTTGACAATAAAGGCGAACGTTATTTTGACGGTAAGGCCCGTTGACATGCCACGTCAAAATAAATTCGAAGTAGAGCCAACATAAATTCAGAGCTCGCATTTTCCGCAGTTGGGAATTCGTATCGATATGCCGAAAGCTTCGTGATGGAGGAGGCGCAGCGACCAAAAGGCGGACACAGACTGAAGTACACCTGGCAGAAATCAGTATCAATCAGCCCTTTGTTCGCATGCGAGAAGTTTTACTTTACCATATCGTGTTTGCGAAAGGCCGGTTTGGACAAAGGACGAAGAATATGCAAGTGTATGCGAAACGTCGTTTTGAAAAATTGGACAAAGGAATTTTCAACTCCTCATTTTTGGGGGGGGGATCCTTTCCACTATTGAAAAGTCATTCCACATCAATGTATGAGGACGCGTTATCAATACGAATAATTGAAGTGAATACAAAATAGCCAGGGCGTAGCTTTTCATACGAAGTACAAGGAATTCACTTGTCCTCCGTGTCAATAATTGCCAATTGACGACCTTCAATATGCGGTATCAGCTCAAAGGATCAATTAATGATCGTATCAGCTTCAAAATTCTTTAATTCTGATCGAATCTTCTAAAAAGGTCAATGGCAAGCCATGACCCAACTTCAATTTCAGCTACTACACAGAGGATTTGAGTGAATAAAGGAGTTCATGTTTCTGAGTACACACACCCATATCTTCCAAGGCTTTGCAAACCAACTTCATCAGTAAACTTGCCATGTACACGTCATCTCCCAACCACACATATTTTCCACAAGTGAATAAGAAAGGGAAGCTCAATTTCTCGCTTATCAATCAGCCTGAGAATATTTACAAATTCATTTTCTCATCCCAACCTCCAACATACCTCCAAATAGTTTGAGTGAATGCCAAAGAGAATATTGAGTATCAGGTGACAGCGATACCCAGGAGAGCGAGAAGCATCCACAAACCGTACAAGCGGTGGAACGAGTCACTTTCATTTCAAAGACTCTTTAGTCTACCGGTTGAACTTCAAGAGATTGAGTTGCGAACTCATGAAGGTAATTTCCCAGGGAGCTTTTCATCGCGAAATAGAGGCAATAGTGATCTGGGAATTAGAGAACATTATAATCTAATAGCTGGTGTCACTTTTATCTTCAGTCTTTGAGCTGTGGTTAAACAATTTTTAGTACGTATGCATATTCGCAAATTCTAGCCCCAAACTCCAAGCTGAATCCTCGATTCCATAGATAGGTTTGAGGTGTCTGATGAAGGAGATGCTGAGATTCGGATATTTTGTTGTTTGAAACGCCATGGTTATTCTATGAAGACACCGTGAAGAGCTGAGGGTAATTACACAAAGTCGCAAGTGTAGAAATGGGTTTTGAGGACAGACATTATATCAATAAGAATGTAACAGATCCAATAGCTATCAAAAGAGATCTAGTTCCTTCGTGCAGATGGAGACGGCTTGCGGCTACTCAGACCTTTTCGTATCTCGCATAACCTATCATCATTGAAGTATCCAAATGTTCTCACAACTCACTATTGATCTGTAGACTTCGAATGTCCCGCTCCGGTTTCCAAAACTAGATCACCAGTTCTTATGCTTGCGTATCTAAATCCAATTTTCTTGTCAGAAGCTCAAGGGAGGATTCGTGAAGAATCGTTCATATTATTAGGAGGGAGTTTTATGTTTGCTTAATGAATCCGAAAGATGACCCGTATTATGACACTACAAATTCGCAGTTGCGTAGATACAATTCAAACCGAACAACCTCGAAGTCGTATTTGACGACAAGGTGATACGAGCGATACAAGGTTCGAGACACTCCCCTAAAGCAGCAGTACTCTCACACAAAGCTCGGGCCGGCTCATCCCGCCGCTTTACCATCCCTATCCTATTCTTAGCCACTGACTAAACACATCTTTCTAACCACTTCGAGCGCCATCCTTCCCAAATGTGACCCTGAGGTTTCGCTTCGAGGCGGATCGCGATTTCGAGGGGCGCATTTTTATTTTATTTCGTTGTCCTGAACCTCCATCTTGTACGTTTCCTATATATCCTCTACTCAGCTTCAAAGGCACGACGCCAGTACACTCATTTTGTTATCTGTCTTAATCCAATTCTTATCCATCGCGGACGCCCGAGTCCTTTCCCACCGTTTCTTCCCTGACTTGTTGCGACTCGTCTCTTCCACCACTCGTCACCTATTACCCTCATTCATATCATGCTCGCTCCAAGCGCCAACATGCTGCCCCGGACGCCCTTATATCGCTGGCTGGCCGTCGTCGCAATCATAACCGTCGTGTTCCTCTACCACCCCGATTTCTCAGGGTCCTCCATATCCGCATACACGTCCGGCGCGGGCTCGAAGTTTGCCAGACCAGAACTCGATACAGGGAGGTGGGTGAAGGAAGTTCTAGGAAATGCCAGTATAGGCCCGGAGATTTCGTATGCGGCGCGCACGCTACAGTATATTCCTGATGCGAAGGAGAGACCGCTCACCACGGAGGTTGATCATGAGTTATTCCCGGAGAAGTTTCAAGATGTCACGCTGGATGCTGCGGCAATGTTGCCAGTTGGGAGGACGATTGGGGTTCATGTTAAGCCGCTTTCGAGGCCGGGGGATGTGGATGCTTCGTCGTTGATTTTCGGGGCTTCGACTACGTTGGAACGTTTTAATGATGATAATCTGGGGCCGTTGAAGGAGTTTACGAGATGGTTGACGGATGGGAAGGGCAACTCGAACGGTGCTGGTTTGATTGTTGCGTTGGTCAATTGTACGGATGCAGAATTGGACGCCGCACACCATCGATTGGCAGATGTTGGAATAAACGCGACAGTGATTGCAGCGAATCCAAGTTTGGATATGCCAGGGCGATACGTTGATCTAGTTCGCATGATGTACACGCATCCCACCGCCAGCCAGCGTAAATTCTTTACCCTCATCGACGACGACACCTTCTTCCCCTACATGTCCGAACTCATCCGCGAGCTCTTCACCTACGACTATAACAAACCCTACTACATTGGCACCTTCACTGAGCGCGTCGACTGGATCATCCAAAACCAAGTCCCCATGGCCTACGGTGGCGGCGGCGTCTTCCTGACTGCCCCGGTCGCGAAAGCGATTGTCGAAGCAAACTGCATCGAGAAGCGCGAGAACGGGAAGTACGTCCTCGACGCCTCCCAGGGCGATCGTCTCCTCTACAACTGCATCCACACCAAAACCGCCGTCACATTCACCTACAACGCCCGTCTCAATCAAATGGACCAATTCGGCGATCCCTCAGGCTTCTACGAATCCGGCCATCAACCCCTCAGCGTCCACCATTTCAAATCCTGGCACTCCTCACCCGTAGCGAAAATCCATCAAGTCGCCGACGCATGCGGCGAGGACTGCGTACTCCAGCGTTTCAGATTCAAAGACGACTTTGTAGTCTCCAACGGCTATAGCGTCGCGCAGTACCCGAAGGGCATTGATTTCGATCTCTCCCAGACGGAATACACGTTTGATCCGGGGAATAACGATATCGCGTCTGTGGCGTACGCGTATCGCTTTGGCGAGATGAGAGCGAGTCTCAGTAAGACGGGGAGAAAAAAGCAGTGGAGAATGCTGGATGCGGTTACGGAGAGGGATGGACGCGTGAAGCAGGTTTATGTTATGAGAGCTAGTGATGATCGGTGGGTTGCCGAGGGCGAGGCGCGGATGGGGAGGGATGCGGTGGTGGTTTTGACTTGGGTTCCGTAGGGGGTTGGATACGGTGGGTAGGTATATTCGGGTGGATGGGGGGTGTATTATATGGGGTTTTTGTGTTTGGCGTTTAGCGGGGGGGGTTGAAATTGAAATGGCTCAAACTCGGGTTAGGGGTACGTTATGTTTAGACTGTCGAAATCAGATTGAACGGGTTTTGGTAATTAAATAGCTTGAATTCGTAACACTCGAAACATTGATTATTAAACACGAGTTTTGTTTTTTGTCGGCGTGTGAAAAGAGCCTCAAAGGTTGGGAGGTCTTCGTAGAGGGATTTGTGTGGTTGGAGAGGAAGGATAGTTGGGAATTATACGTTTGTAAACGCTTTTCGCTGTGAGATGTAAATATGTAGACCGAGTTACCTTTTAAATGCTAAGTCTGTATAAGCAATACATTTCAGTTTGAGTGTTGGACTTTGGTACGAACGGATAGCAGGGGAAGGTAGGTTGGACGGTTCGTATACAGGAACTTTATTCCTTGACTCGAACTTGGAATCTTGGATGTTCGTAGATGGGTTGGATGTTCGTAGAAGGGTTGCTAGGTTGGGAGTGCAAGAAGGAGATGTAGAGGCTGTGTTGCGATGGAGTTCGGTTTCTTTTACATGTGGTACTGATAAATGATTCATGAGATATTGGGGGTGAGAGTGGGGGAAGGGGGAATGTTGTTGGGGTTGTGGTTTTGGAAACTTGCTTCTTTATATAGATTTTGATTCTTGGGTCATTTGTGAAGCGTCGTCTAGGTGTTGCGGGGAGAGTTGCTGTGTTGTTGAACTAGTAGCGATTGTGGATTTGGGTGCGAGATGTCGGATGCGGGTTTGCATTTCGTGACTCAATGGGGGAGGTCGGTGAGTTCAGGATAGGAAAAATATGGCCAGAGTTATGATAGAATACATCTCCTCATACACTTCATAAATCCCACTCGCAAGCTCCAACAATAAGCAGACCCCGTATCAGCCCCCCTCGAGTAAGCAATTACGTCTTCGTAGTCTAAATCACACTATATATAAAAACGTTTGAAAGTGAAGAATCGTGACGGATGGTAATATCTTATACTTATAAAAGAACGAAAATAGGGTTAGGAATATTTGAAAATAATCAGCTTATTACTATCCAGTGTTTTACTCGAGGGTGCGTGGATTGGATTATCTAAGGGTATATCAGGACGTGAGGAGTAGATTATTTTTCTAGTTGAGATAACGGGTATGCAAGTAAGAGAGATGGGGGCAGATTATCAGGGTTGTGGCTAGATGTGTTGGTGGGCGTGTTAAGAGTCTTGCTACGTTCGGATTGTTGAATGGGGTTTGGATTGGGTTTGGCTGGAATTGTAAAAACGGAATTGAAGTTAGGAGCGTGTTTCTACAGCTTGTCTTTTTAGCGAAACGTATAGTGGATATGTGCATATACTTTCCTCTAAAAAGGGTAGGTCATAGAGATTGAGGGGTTGGAATTATAAACTTAACCTACGCCCATCGCTTCTTTTGTCGCTTTTACCGAGTTTAAACTGTTGACATCAGATTATCAAAACGAGCTTAATCACATACCTTGAACTTGATCATTCAAATCCCAATCCCTTAGTGTATTTCCTAGTAAGTTATCATCAAATATGTAAAAACAGGGCAAGTCTGGTGGATTTTTATCAGTTAAATGGACAGTTCTATAATGTGCGGAAGTTAATTCCATCGTTAGTTCTTACATCTCGGAAAGTCACCACGTACAACGCTTTAGGTAAAATTAAGGAGATTGTATATACTGTTAGATTTAAAAATTAGGATATTTTAAAACTCAGGATTGGCGTTGTGAAGATGTTTGAATATGTTGAGGTGTTTGTTAATTGAGATATCGCGCCGTGATTAGAGCTACGAGTTAACGGTAGGGCTGCTTGAGTAGCGCTAAATAATCCTTAAACAGAATTAAATTATAGAAGTCTTCTAATATTAAATTAGGTCCTAGATATCTCGTTTATAATAAATGTATAAAATCGTAAGATAATCGATACTTAAGATCTACGAATTATAATACATTACCTATAGTATATACTATTCTAGGCCTTTATAACTAATGTATATAGACTCGAAAACATAGTAAAAAAAAGTATCTTATAAAAGAATTCTAAGGTTGTTAAATAAGTATATGTCTACAGCTCTTTCTCGTACGTTAAACTTATAGCGATTAATTTGAAGTTTAGTATAAAATAGAAACGTTCTATAATTAGCCATCAAGACATTTGGAGATTACTTGTGAGACGGATTGTTTAATGCTTAAGAAGCTTCGGTTGTATTGCTCGTTAGGGAGTTCTGGTTAATGGTTATGGGTTTACTGCTTAATTGTTGCTATGTCACTTGTAAATATTAGGACTACGTCGATGGGATCGATTTTGAGTGTAAGGTGGTAGGGATTGTAGAGTAGTCTAGAGGTGCAAACTAGTAAACTTCGTTGGTCCTCCGCATTTAATCGCCAGAGGACTCCCGGATATAGGATGATTCTGCTTTTTTGTGTGCTTGGAAGCTCTAGATTATGTGTGCCATACAGACGACAGACGAGCCTGATCACACTCTCAGTATCAACAACTCTCGCTCATGCGATAATCTTCCTGGTTCTCCACACATGTCTATCACACTACAGCTTCCCTTCCTACCTTGCCAAGCTCCCGTCTTCCCAAAAAACAGCCCAACCATGCAACCACAACATCCAAACCCCTCCACAAACCTTCCCTCACCGCCTCCCCCCACACCTCCAGCACTCCCCCCCACCAACCCTCCACCTCTCCACCGGCCCCCGAAACACATGTCCCCCATAAACCCTCGCCCTAACCAAATCCCCATCCCCCGGCACAAAAACATGACTCGTCGGCCCAACCTTATGCAGGGCCCTCCCGCTCCTCTCGCCCCCGGGCGGCACACTAAGTATCAAAAACGTCCGCCCCTCCAGCTCATCTCTAGCCACGACCTGGGCGTTGAGATCGACGGCTATCAGCCTGCCTTCAGGGAGGTCGGCTGCGGACCAGAAGATCACGGGTGTGGTTTTGAGCGGTGATTTGATGAGGGCGAGGTGTGCGGGGCCGGCGTGGGAGTTGTTGAATTGGACGTGCGGGACGTGTTTTGGGCGTCGCGAGGGATGACGACGGGCGTGATGGTACGCTGCGCAGAGATCTTTTGCGTATTTTCTTGTTTCGGCGGCTGTTTGGATTCCGATGGTGAGAGCCTCGCAGACGAGGGTCATGAGGTGGAGGTCCCCGTTGACGCTGGCGACTAGGTCGGCAGGCTGGGGGAAGTCGGCGACGAATGGGAAACTGTGAAGGATGGTGCAGGTGCCGGCGAGGTAGGCGGAGAAGGTGAGGGTGCCGATGGGGGAGAGGGAGACGGGGCCGAGGAGGGGAGTGGCTTGGACGCCTTGGTGGATGGTGTTGCGGTGGGTTAGGGAGGGAATGATGCAGTTTTGGGGATGGGAGGGGGGGGAGAAGGGGAGCATGATCCAGAGGAGATGGCCTGCTTTGACGCTTGCTTCGCACCACGATAACCTGGCTTCTGTCAGCATCCAACGCGTATAGGTAAATGTCGAGTTCTGAATACCGACCAGATATCTTCAATACTAGCATTTCTCATGGGCGTGATAACAACCCCACTCGCAGCCATAAGCCCATAAATCCCATCCTCGGGCACCGTCGACTCGCGATCTTCAGCCAGAATCATCGCAAGCGTTGAATCACATTGACCCTTCGCAGTTCGATTCAACATATCCAGATTCCCACAACCCTGGAGGATATGATCGTACTTGCCGGAATCACTCGCGCATATCAACATCACCATTCTAGCATGCTCAGGCTTTAGATAAAATGGTCGCAGGTCCTCTCCGATACAAATCACTCGGGCTGCTAGGAGGTATTCCTGGGCTGTCCAGACGCGCTTCATCCATGTTAGGTTGTTGAACTCGCTGAGAACCAGCGCGGCCTTCTCGAGAAGTTTAGAGATACGCGGCAGTTTATATAAAGCCGCTGCTTTTGGAAGGAACTCAATGTCGATGTCGTTCATGAAATCAAACGCAGCTTCTAGTTCCCCTACAATTTCATCCCAATACGCTTGATCAAACGAGAACTGATGTCTGACAGTCACGACCGCCGCCACTGCATTTTGGTAAATGCGGCCCATCTGAGGGATTTGCTGGTATTTGTCCTCGGGGTCGTTTTGGTCTATGCACCAGGTGTCGGTCCAGCAATACTCGATCTGAGATAGCTCTTTGTAGGTTTCGAGGACGGTTTCTAGCATGATGAGACCGTCTGAGATGTCTACTTCGGAGTTGGCGAGGTGGGATACGGGGAATAGTGATTCGGACCAAACGTGTGACATGGCGAGATATGGAGGCATGTTGTCGATGTCGAAACTTTCGAGAGTCATGGTTGATAATTTGAGAAGTCTGGTGCCCACCATCGTGATGGTATATGTTGGAAAGGTGGTGAAATTGGTAGCATAGCAGTTTGATAAAGGATGATAAGACGGGATTGACTTCGTCGTTGGTCCTGTATGCACGATACTTGTCGTCGACACTCAGCCACATGCAACTGTCACGCAGACAATACTTCAAGGCCAGATTCGGCTTAGCTCAGTCGGACGTACATTCGTATTGGAGCATCTAGAGCAGGAAGTCAGCCTTAGAAGTGGAAATTTGTGTGCAAAGAGGCCGAAAAGTATGGAAATGAAATTGACAGAACAGGTGGTAAAATGTTACTCTATTTGAAAATTAGGTCAATAAAGACTCGGACGGAAGCACCACATACCGTGCTTGCGAGAACTTGCAGAAGACTGCAAAGCTGATCATAGAATTTCAATTTATTCATAAAACAACACAATAGAAGACTTCATGTCAACCCCTAATCGCTATCAAGCACAATAACCTCCGCCTCAGCCTCCCCAATACTTTCAAAACTGAGAACATCCCCCGCATTAACATTCGACACAAACGCTCCATCACCCTCACCAAGAACAGCCTCCTCACGACCATCAAGTCTAATCTTCGCACTGCCATTCTTGCACATAGGTACATGAATGTATACATTTCTGCTTCCTTGCTTGCGAACCGCGTTCGCTCCTACAGTCCACTTGAATCGCTTGTCCACACCGATTATGCCAGCAGCCATGACGAGATCTGCGTGGATGGGGATGGTGTCTGGCAATGTAGGTTCTGCGGCTTTTTCATCGTCGTAGGAGGCGCCGGGTCCGGCTTTGAGTGGTGAGAGAATTGGGAGGAAGGCTTCTCGTTTGGCGTCTTCCGAAAAGGTTTTGGTGTGGTATCTTGGTGTGAGGCCGCGGGCCCATGGGAGAGCCCAGATCTGGAGGAAGTGGACTTGTTTGTTGGATTCGTTTTGTTCGGAGTGTGCGATACCTTGTAATCATGTTAGCTTGGATCTGGATTGTGGAGGGAATAATAACATACCTGTACCGCCAGTGGTAAACTGCACATCTCCTCTCTTCATCTTGAAAAAGTCGTCTCCTTCCTTGGTCTCCTTCCCCTTCTTAATCATGCTATCTCGATGTGTCAATTCTCCATTGAGAATATAACTGAAGATTTCAGCATCACGGTGGGGATGAGTGTCGAATCCTCGGTGAGCGTCGACACGATCTTCATTGAGGACTCGCAGACTGCCAAAGTTCTGGAACTTAGGGTCGTAGTAATTGGCGAAACTGAATGTATGGTAGGAGTCTAACCATCCATGGTTTGCGTGTCCACGCTCGCCACTGCGACGAGGGACGATTTTGGCGTTATATAGGGCTTTAGACATGGTTGATTTGATGGTGTTTGCAGCAGTCATGGACTCTGGCGAAGCTGTAGGTTGAGGTATTGTGCTGGCAGTAGCTGCTCTGTATGTAAGGTTCGTGATAGATGTCAGTAGCTCTTGTAGTGGGGTACTGAAGTAGACTGAAATTGAGATGAGGAAAATGGAAGAGAGGGTTATGAAGAGCTTCATATATAGATAATTGAAAGGAAGCGAGAAGATACGAGATTAGCGGAGAAAATGTTTACATGAGAATTGAAAATAGTTACGCTATGCTTTGTATTTTTGTACTTGATATTGGTGTTGATCCAGGCCGTTAGTCTTTGACTGCTTGGTGAGGATTAATCACCTTTACTCAGCATTAAGGATGGAAAAGGCGGGGCTTTCTAACCAGATGTAGACGAGAAAGCACGTGATTGGGAGAAAAACTCCGACGTCATGGCAGGATCTCGAACAACCCCTGATTGAGGCTGATTTAGAACCGCTTTGAATCTGCAACATTGATGACAATGCAGCCCTACGACTATAAACTTCCTTTTACGGAAAGTCATTGATTCGTATTGCGGTTGAAATATGTGTAAGCGATGACAAGTCACTTGTTCTGACATCTATCGATTTTATTTCACTCTCGTAAGCGAAGGAAGCAAGAGAGCGCAGCCTCTGCTCTTTGAGTGTATTTGACACAAGCTGCTGCTCAAGCTTTAAATCTCTATCTTTTTCGTTCAGCTTCTGAGAGAAACGGCGGTTTAGAATTATCGTTAGAGACACGCGGTTGCCAGAAAACTTCGGAATTCGCAAAGTCGCAAGTTATGATCCAATTGGACCACGAAAAATCTGAATAAATAGCAGAAAAAGATGTCCTACAACAACTAGACAGTACTTAACGTCTTGACAACCAGTCAGAGACTGTAGAAATTGTCATTGCTGGGATCTCAATCGCCGCAAGTTTGTAAAATCCGGGCTTTTCTGACCATCGTGTGAGAAGGTCATTCGCCTTGGAGACATTTGATACTGGATTAGTGCCGAACTGTATGGAATTCCACTGTCATTTGCGATGGTGAGATGCCTTCCATGGTGTCTTGATACTCAAGCGATAAAGATCTTTCAGGAATCATGGCAAATATCTGGTAATAACGTCTGATACGATAATAAAAGGTTTCACAGAACAGATATCAACGGTAATAGCAAAGAAGAACATGTCTGAATATCAAAACAAGCAAAGGAGAAAGAAGCCTCAACGAGAAAGATAGTACTTCATCCAGAAAACACAAGTCATAGATACTGCGAAATGCAAAGTTACACCAACAACTACAACGCAAGCATTCCTCGTTTGTCAAAGCTGCAAATTGCTTGAACGTATACCTGCGAATGGCTTCATTTAATAATAGAGACAAAAGCAGAAGAAACAAACAATTTACACCTCTCAACACCAGTACCATAGTACACCTCCCAAGTACTTCTCATACATCTGGCACCCATCACCTCAACAAACACCTCATCCTCACCACAACCCCCATACCAACAAACACCTCAACCCCTCTCCACCACCCGTACCCGCGCATTCGTCATCACCACCTCACCACCTCATCATCTCATCCCTCGTCCCATCTCTTCACTCGGACCGAAACAACGCTTGTACAGCCTTCTTAAACACCACCAACACCTTCCATACCACCACCAACAGCTTCCACAACACCCCCAACAGCTTCCATCACACCCACCCCAACGGTCCTCAGTTGAAACGAGCGGCCCACCGCATCTGCGCGTCTTCTAAAACGTTGACACGAGCTTGCGGTGCTATGCTGCTGGAAGCCGGGTGCCGTGATGCTGGGAGGCGAGGGCCGGGTTACACGGGGGATGGAGGTTTGAGAGAGGTGATGTGGTTGTTGTTGTTTGGTTGAAGGTTTTACCGTCTGGCAGTGTGGCGGGTTGATGCTGGATGTTTGTTTTGGAGTGGGGAGGTTGTCTGATTCGGGATTTAGGGGGACAGGGAGAAATTTTGGGTTGATGGAAGAGGGGCGAGTTGGGAGGTGTTGTGATGTTCGAAAGGGAGGTGGATGGAGAGGAAAGTTTGACAGTGGTTTGGTTTTTAGCGCTTTGTTTTTGATGGAGAAGTTGTATGGTTGTAGCGATACACCTGCGTGTCCTGGTAGTTTCGCATTCGCAACAGCATTCAACTCGAAGCTGCGATAAACGTTAATGTATCTCTCACAATCCAGCACTCAGATCCAAGCCTCCGCCAACAAGGCTACGACAAACAAAATCACACTCACCACCGCCCAAATACCAGACTAAGAAAAGAAGCCTCAAATAAACTTTTGTATATTATCATCTCCCCATAAATAAATCTCGAGATCAGAAAAAACGCCGAATCCGCCCAGATTGTACTCGCGTACTATTATCTCAACTCCACAACAAGGTAAGACCGCTAAAGACGACAATAAGAAAACAAATATGGTAATCGGACATCCGACCCGTAAATATGACAAAGTGACAAGCTATTCCCACGTCCCCTTCCACGCGAGAACAACAGACTATGACTGTCTGCCCAAACCGGCGTCCACAATTCCTCCGCCGTACCAGCCCTGAATCTCAATTTCAGGTTTCCGCCCAACTCTAGCCTAGAGCCACGTACTCCAGAACAACAACTCTTTCAGGAAAAAAGGATGCGGAAATCGTGCCTTCCGGAAACAAAGAACAGCAAACTCTGTTGTGGCCCAATCTAACAACGCACCAAGCGTCGTGGCAACAAAGGTAAAACGTAGCAACCAAGGGAAAACGTATTGCACCTGTGGACGAAAGATAGGTTCGCAGTGAGCAGATTCAGGATTTCTGGCTGGTTGCGACATGTGTTGTACTATGGCTGGACAAGACACAACCACATCCCGCGTCAGACTGGTTTTGAAATACAAGTCAACCGGGCAAAAAGAATAAGATTCGTGATCATGAAAAATCTGGTTCTCAAACGGAGGATGGAGATCGAGAAAAAGGTTGGTGTGTAGACGTAGAGGTTGCGCCGGGGGGGTTAGGCCAAGGATTTTGCGTTCGTGGCCCGGCGTTCCGACCCTGTTGATGAAGGGATGGCCCTTGTAATGAATGACCTTGTAGATTGGCGCGAATCGCTGGATTTTGTATTTGCTAGATCGATTGGATACGTGGCTTATGTGACGGGAAGCCATTGGTTAGATTAGGTGGGTGGCTTGGAGGTAGGTTTTGGCGAGTGGTGAAAGTGAAGATGAGGTGAATAGTTGAGGTAGGTCGAGCGTACTAGGGCATATATTGTCAGAAACTTTTCTTTTGGGATTTTGTCGCTATGTACGGATGACATCATAAAGTGTTTGAGATGTGATGTGTAAGAAAAGTAGATCGGTTGTCGAACTGACTTTTCATCTGGGATATGACAAAATTGAAATGTTTAATAAGTACTTACTACATGATCTGAGCCGAGAACTAGGGAGATGAAGAAATACGGCTTACACCTTGTTCGCACAAGGTCTACACGTCTTCAATTTGCAGTACTTGCACTCGAAAATAAACCAGTGTGGGCCGGAGTGGCACATCGAGCAAACCCATTGGATCAGAGTTGATTCTGATTTGATGAGGTTGAATGAGTGGCTGCAATATGCTGGGACGGCCATTGTAGCGGTTGAGGGCTCAAGCCACAGCTACTAGTAAAGGACAGGTGAATACTAGTTGTGGGTGGTAGGAGTCTATCCATTGTTAGTTGGTTTGGAGACTTAGAGAACTGCTGGAAACTAGCAGTTGAGAAAACCTACTATCGACTCGAAAGCAGTACAATATTTGCAACCGAGGCAGCTTACTTGTTGTCGATCAAGGGTTTGCCAAATGTTTAACAAAGAGTCTTCGTGGTGTAGATTCGGTAGTTGCAGTGATGGTAGTATGGTGGGTTCCGAAGGTGAATGGCAAAGAAGATTGGATTCGACCACGCAGAGGTTATAGTTTGGGTGAATCAAAAGTGAAGTAGTGATGTTTGATGCTTGAAACGTCTTCGAAAGTAGAGCAAGCACCTTTTATATCAAGATCTCCTAGTCTCCCACTGTCCAAACCCAGTTCGCTTCGCCTCGCTAGCCAGAACTCGTTCGAGAGGTAATTCGTAGCGTGAAGAGCCGTTCAGGTACGGCGTCAAGGATCAGATACTTCGGTGCTTGTTTGAGTCTTAGCAAACTTTGGCCAACAAAGGCACTCAGACCAAGGGGTAGGTCCATGAGTTATATGTATGCGCGGTTGGTGACGATATGATTGATATGTCTGTCGGGCCCCTGACCGGATACTCACCGGGGACGGATGCCAAGCGACGGTGCCTGTCTTGCAGATGATGGAAGACTGCAGGGAATGAAGTATGAGCCAGGATCGAGCCAGGACGGGGCTCTAAACTGGGATCAATTACGTTGGAAGAGGACCTTGTTTGGATTGTGGGGGAGTGGCCGACCAAAAATCGTTGGTAAAGGGTTGAGACAGCGGAACTTACAGAAGAGAGCAGGGGGCGTAGCAAGCGTACCGACCCTCTTGGGTTCATCTGGCCCTCAAGCGCGGGACTGAGACGCACGCTAATACTTTGGGTCATGACACTTTTGTCATTATTTGATTGTTCGTTCTTTCTTGAGTTTTTCAGGCCCGTTTTGTGTGCTTTGCCTTGGCCAAGCGGTGGTGGTGTCGTGGTGCAGAGGTGCTGCTTACCGTTTATTCCAGTCTGTGGTAAAGCGACTCAACCATCAGGGCATACATATAGGCAAGGTCTCTCAAACCGATAGAGACCGCTTTCCACGATTTGCTTTGGGCCGATGGCTGGATTTGCCTTTGGTCTAAGGAAATAAGAAAAGCAAGAGCCTAGCCATGCCATTCAGTTATGGTTGACTACGACATGTCCGTGTCGGTTAGTCAGGCAGCGTGGCCGAGCACATAGCAGATGTGATGTGAGCCGGCATTGCGTTCGCAATCGGCGGTGGCTTTGTTGCGTTCGGCTTGTCTGCCGACCAGGAGGCCGGAAGATGACGGTGGTGCCCTTCTTCCGGTTCCTTACAGCTATCCCGCGCAACAGAAGCAAAGTGCAGTTTGGGCTTGAGACTTTGGAGTTGATGAGCTCGCAAGGCCGCGCGCAAAGCGACATCCAGCTCTGATTCCACCGCTCTGTCCAGCCTCCGCTATTGGCCTCCTCGTCCGGGGAGCCCGGAAAGGCATTGCAGCGCGCGGGTTGCGTACGTTGGCAAACCCAAGCTTATGATACGATGTTCTGGAAGCTATTCCAGTGATCCCAGAGACAAGCAGTCTAAACAAAACTCTGCACGTTCATGAAGCAAAAGCTAGTGTTTTCTGTGTTCTGACTGGCTGCATACCAGTGCTGGCGAAGAGCTTTGAAGGGCCAGTAAAGTTAAAGTACTGGACGATGTAGCTAGCTGAGTTTGTATTTGCGTCTGATCACCCTGCAACCCAGCCGTTTGCCGTTGGTTTGTGTGACTGGAGCCACAAACTTACCGACAACCGAGCCTAACGATGCTACGTAGAATAAGGACATTTGTCCGAAGAACATCATCAAGCGAGGTCGAGCTGCTGAAGAAAGTGACAACGATGGCCTGTCGTGGACAATTCGAACACGCTGGACATGGGGGTGGGCATGATATCAAATGGATGTTCCTGCCATCCATACAATGCCGGATCGCCAAACATGGTAACGAAGTGGTAAAGGTGTAGGATCATTGCTCGGGTGGTACCGCAATCAGTCACAGGACTGGCTTGGTTTTGAAGATGCCATAGACGGCCGGGGAGTGCATTGTTGCCCTTTTTCGGGGCAAAGAAGGGATATGGCTTCCAACAAGTGTCTACTTCAAGGACTGCCGTCGCGTCGGAAGCATCCCGTCGACCCTCTTTGGAAGCCAAGCTCGAACCTCACCGTTGCGTCAACCTTTTACGGACTCCTATTGATACGATATGATATTGTATAGGTTAGGCATGAGCCATAGTTGACGGATACTGCCTGACCCAGACTCTTCTCGAGTCCTCGACCAATTACGAGCAAAAAGTTCTTTCAACGAGACCGTACAATGTGTGGTGTGCCATTTAGAAAGTTGGATGCCAGGGACAAAGGGCGCATTCATGAGGAACAAGAGATGGATGGGCGGTGATATTAGCGACATGGCTACGGGGGAAGGTTACCTCAATCATGTGTTGTGGGGGCTGCAGAAATATCCAAAAACCATCTTAACAATGATGATATACTCGGGCACAGCATATCATGATTTAGGATGAAGTTGGTTGGCCGAAATGTACGGAGTACTTCGCAGTACGTACTACCCTACCCACATGCCTCGTGGCAAGAGTAAGGGGAAGAATAGTAGCACAAGGGTCGAAGATCTAGGGCGTATCCGGCTGCATCGTTGGCCTGTCAATCCCCTGCCATACTCTTATCACAGCTTCATGTCAACTTGCAGAATCTTTTCGCTTGCGATTAAAGCTTGCTCTTACTTACATCAGAGGCTCCCCGTCCGTCATCAATCTGACCTTCCTCTCCTCCCTCTCATTGCTACATCGCAGTTGCAATTTCTGCATGATCTGTTGTTCTTTTCCATTTGAGCAGCACGACATCTGTTGTCCAACATACCCTTCATCGGTTGTCATCATCATGGCTGACAATAAACCCCATTCCATATATCTGTGCATGGTATTGCCCGGAATCCACCACACTAGTCTGGACGGTCATCCTCCGCGACCAAATATCATTTTCTGGCGCCAAAAACTGGAACTGTGAGCCTACGACGCACAATCTGTCTGATATTACGGTTCAGCGGCCAAGTTGATTGGAAGCTTGTGGGTTTCTTTCTACTGCCTTTCAACACTTCTCCACACATACCTTGAAGCTGCCTCTTCGGGGACGAAAAAAACCCGAGATTTTGCGCCCGCCACAACACCCAAGTTCTCGCCAAACGTATACTCTATCTACTGTCTAAATAAGTAAATCTAAGATAATAAATCGTAAGAAACTATAACTAACTTAATAATAGTCTTTTATTGTATATTAAAGAACTAGAATGTAAATATTTCTGGGTGTTGTGGTAGAATAGTAGTAGACAGGCTAGGTGTGCAAAATCTCGGGTTTTTTTCGTCCCTGGAGAGGCTGCTTCGCTGGTTCGTTCCCAGGGAGTGGTTGACGGTAGTTGTGGCATTCAATCACGGCTCCGGAGTGACTGCCCAGACGAGATGGCTGGCAATGAAGATCTCACATCGATGGCGTCGCATGGCGGCGGCAGGGTTCTTTGACAACGGACAGAGAAGCCAGCCACTGCACGCCTCGGTCTCAGAAGTCTGAGACTTTCTCAATCTTGCTTCTTCCATCGAGTATCGAACATGCTTCCATTCTTCCACCGGCATTCAGGTGAGATCTTGATCAGAGACAAAAAAAAGGGGCTGCACCATGCGAATGATGACGGCTTACCGCTTAACATAAGCACTTACAGACGACGACATCGCAACACCATCACGATCCATCAGCAATTTACCTTCTCTCCAATCGTACTTCAAGACCAAGGAAGTTGCGGTTTCACCTCCCCGAGGAGAGTACTACTCTAAACGTGCTTATCGATTTTTAGATAGGCTACCTTGGAATTCTCAGCCAGTAGCTTCACCCGCAACAGTTATTGTCTATTTTCATACCGTGGCATAAATCTGATTCGTGGGTTCAATATTCTATGGAAAGCATTTTCTCTCGCATGGTATCCAGCATGAAGCAACCCATTTTCTATGGGGTGCAGCTTGGTTGCATACTTGGTTGATGTACCCCATAGTAAGTGCATGTATTGCAATCCCAACAGTTGGAAAATCGTTACGACTGGCCCACCAACATGAATATCTTCGTCTCGAAACGAGACATGCTGAATCAGTAAGAAAACTCGCCAAATCACGCTCAATAGTCTTGTGATCAACAATGACAAAGTCCACCCTGTGAGACTCAGCGTTTGCAATGCTAGGAAAATCCCCCACTACAGCCCTGTCGCGCTACTGCAACTGGAACCAAATGAAGAGGTGCCTTTGCCATACCAGGAATCTTCCTTGTAAAAATCTCCGACGCACGTCTCCAAGCTGTCTATCCTTGTCCTTGATCCTGAAACCTGGGCAACCGTTTTCATAGACTCTTTGTGTCTTTGAGCTTACGCCTATCATCTTTTGATTGCGAACCACCAAAGCAACATCCAACTCTCAAAGAATAGCAGACTCGTTTTGCATTTTGAATGAGATATTTGTTTGCAGTTTGATTGATCCGGCTAGATTCATTGTGGTACAGTATTGCACTCCCTTCTCCCCACCCGCAAATTACCAAGTGTCAAATAAATCCACAACGTCTTATCACAACCCAGGAGTGATCTGATAACTATATTGACAGGGCTCTCCAGTCGGCCAACAACGAGGCCGACGAAGTTCACCGCTCTCGAGTTTGTAATCCGGATCCCGCAAATGTATCACTTCTCGGAAAGAGGGCAGCGCTTAAACAGCCGGGTACCTCTAACCTTCTCTCATAGAGCGAGTGCCGCAGGTTTTATGACTGATGTGGTATATGCAAGCGACTCGTTACGGAATCTTGGCAATCTTGATCACCACTCGCTCATAGCTTCGTAAATCTCGTCCAGTCTATGCATCGAGAACGAGATTCTTTTTCAGCTTCGGAGGCGTATTCTGGAAGGGACAGGGATCAAGGACTGTGAGATCAGGCCATTGTCTTGATGCTCTCGTATTGAGATGTGTTTCGGATGGACGTCAGCTTGCATCTTTTCACAGCTCAACTGGCGCAAGTTCCAGTGTCGATTCTGGAGCTCAGCCCTTGATCTCAACAGTTTTGAAGAATGTGTCGGGATTCGATAATCCTTACTGCTTGGAAAATCACCCTTTGTCTTGCGAGATTACGCGTTGGCGTGGTCAGTAGACACTGAGGAGGATACCCGCCGATTTCAGCAACCTTCTGCTGTGAAAGATGACAGGAGCAATGGAATGGGATTCAGATTGGGACTTCAACTGACTAATACAAAATTCGGAATAGCCAACTCCATGATCATCATACTGTATCTCATGTTGGATTTGATAGCCGACATCCATGATTATAACAATAGTGATAACGATAAGATTATCGTTCAGACAGCACACCTGATCATTTCCATCGCTCATTTGAGCTTCATGCTCGTATACAAATGGGAGGTATACCGTAAGAAATATATATGATGTGCTGACAAGTTTTGCAGTAGACAATACACAAATGGCGAATCAATGTCTGAGTTCAAAGTTGGAAATTGCACTTACAAATGCCACAAATTTCATAGCTTGAGTTGGAAGTTCTGTACTATAGCAAGACGCCTCAGACGCCTCACAGCAAAACTATCATGAAAACTGGTTTGCAGCAAGAGTCTTACTTTACACATGCAAACCCACTCGTCTAGCATGGATGGAAAGCAAGCCGCTGCATGTCATGCCGTGTGAACTACACTTCAGGCCGACAATGAGTTTTACCCGATACGTCGAGTCACCAGTTCATCAGGTTACGCGGCGGCTTGTGGCGTTACTTTCAGAATTTGGCGCTCTGCCCGCTCCGTCGGCGTTCTGGTATTCTCAACAAAAGAACCACCGCTCATCCGTAGCATGGTAGTCTCCAAACACATTGCTTCGCCTTCCATCTACTTGTTCTGAAGCATCTCGCAGGGAGAATACATTTTAGGATATGGACTGCGGGGACTTTACAAGCATGTATACGTATACTCGTACGTCAATCCGGCACTCGAACCAGGACCAGCAAACTACTCTCCCCTCACGAGTCACAACCAGAAAAGCTGGAGCAAAAGACACTAATCCCCATACCCACCACCCCATCCCCGGCAAACAACATTCCACATCCCATCCCATCCTCTCACCCCTCACACCTCGGCCCACGCCATTCTCGCCCCCGGACTCCAGTTCCCTACCCCCTTCACAAACCATAGATCTCCTGCTATAGTACCCAACAAGAAGGGTAAATTCTCCGATACACCACAGGCTGCACAGAGCCCGGCTCTTTCTCCATATGGCGACTTACGGCACAGCTCGAGTGCAGCAAAGAGGAATCATTACCGATATGCGTCGATACCACGTTGAATGACGTGGGGCCGACGTTTGGCTGTGTTGAAGTGTCTGCTTACCATGGTACTTGAAGCTTCGGTACTTGAACGGATTTGGCGGTGCTCACACCACCAGGTGAAGCGTCTTCGTATTCGAGGTGGTGAGGGCCAATCGTTTGGTATGAGGGGGTGGTGAAGCTTGGAGGAGAAGAATCCGTGGATTATTAATGGTTAGGTGGTCGCCGAGGGGAGGTTGATTTCATATGGACTTGACTGCAGGTTGAATACCGCACCGAGCTTCGAGTATACTGGTGTGCTTTCTGATATCTTGATCTCATTGGTTGATCAATCCTATAGTGCAGTTCTGCCAGATTCAAAACCTGGATCGATGAGGGGTAGCCAGCTTTTCTCACGAGGATGAGCGCGTGCTCAAGATGATATGCACATGACTTGTTTGTCATTGCTCTATCATCAACTAAAAGCACTCCAACAGTTGCTTTTAACCTAAGAGTGTGCTACAAAGACCATAAATACCTGCGATTCTCCTAATCCTCTCCGCCCCGCTGGAATGGTGGTGTCGAGCTCCAAGCGAGCTTGGATAGGGGCATCAATGACTTGCACACAGCGATTTTCCAGCAAAAGCCCAAGGATTCCAAATATCCATTTGAATTTCTCACAAGTATTCTGAGCAGATCTTATTCCCGTGGCTATAACCGTCTTCAAGTGAGCATGGAAGCCTTTCAAAAAGGACCGAATCAGCTGCCCACCCAATCCTTCATAACACAAACCCAAGTATCCAATCGCTATCATTCCATCTCTACATACCTACATACACCCTACAACACATACACATATATCCTCCCTCTTACCTACATCATGACGGTCTATATTTCCAAAATAACGTTACACAACATCCCACCACCCTCAATTTATCAAGATCATGAAATCAAACGCATATGCACTCACACAGTTTGACACGTTGACTACCAGTTACCGCCTAGATCTGGCTGAACGCCTAGATCTGGCTGAAATGCTCGATATGTTGGGACGATTAATTCTCCGACGCGATGCACCATGGTGCATATGTGGGGCATGGATCTTTGACGGTGTTTGAGGATGGGAAAATCGGAGTTGTAAGTGTGGTTCAATTCAAGACGTCAAGAAATTTGGAAAAGTATTTGCTGGTTTGTCAAACATGTAGATACTTAAACCAAGACTTTGAGGAAGTTGGGACAAATAATTGCTGGTTCGTCAGATATCTAGATAGTCATCACCGTTTCGGAACTACCTCCCACTTATTACAGCCTCATCACCCGCTATATCCAAACACATTCCGAATATACCTCCCATCCATATGCTAAACAAAGATCGCTCGTCTATTCCCACCAAGCCTCCCATCTCATTAATTCTCCCATATTATCCAGCCCGCCTTCCCCAAACACTAAACGTCTGAAACGCGAAGTTTGGCTTCACTAAGGAAAGAAATGTATAATACTGGAATTGAAATCCGGATCAAACCGAGGAATTTGTCAGGCGGAGAAGGGAATTCAGAGGAAGGGAAGGGACGCGAGCTATGAAGTGAGTTGTGGGAAAGTTCGAAGACGTGGAGAAGTCATGGCTGAAGAAATTGTAGAGGATCTGAAAATTCTTTGTCGGATGGAAGTCGGTGGGGAAGTGTGTGGCGTGGTGGTATGTTTTCGCGGATGGGGGATTGTTAGATGGGATGTATTCTGGTGATGATTGTAGGTGTAATTCTACTCAGGTCATGATTATTGGTTTCTAATTTACAAGAAATCTCTTCTGCCACCCTGATATTAATAAGGGACGGAAACTACAGTCAAACAAGGACCATTTTCATCTTCGTTAAATGTTTGGATCAATGGATCAGTAATACAAATGAAATACATATTCCTATCTATCCGTCACCATTTTAATGAGTCTAAGTTGTCCAGTTAGGAGACTTCGTTCAGCGAAGATAAAACACGGCCTACTATACAAGATAACACAGGGAAATCTATTTTATATATGTAATTTATTGAAACTGAAGGCTCTACACCGTGACTGACTAAAGCCTTGGAATCCACTCCTACCAGGAAAGAATTCAGCACTTCCACATGCACATTCCTAATCTCCCCAATTTCTCAAGATAGATACGCCACTCTCAACCCCAGAGTCTCAGCACCTAGAGCGTTTGGTTGAGATACATCATCCTAAGCCCAAAATGACCACAAATACGAAGTCACCTCCCAAACAATTTAACTCGAATCCACCTAGTCCTAAACCGTTATACTCTGAACAACGATTTCTCCAAACCTCGAGTTTACCTCAGTCTCAAATCCCTCAGCCCCATCCGAAAGCCTAACAATAGGGGATTTCCTCACTGACTCAACGTCATCACATCTGACTCTCCATCCAACCACATGCTCTCTTAAAATTAATCAACGAGACATTTTGAACATCCCATCTACACCCACAAAATACTACCACAATGACATTATCATCACAGATTTTTCAACTTAGACTCAAACATTAATCCAATTTCACCACATTTCGCTTTCAGAATCCTAAAACCCGAACCATTGTCAACCACCATAATCGCTTTCCACACAACCCCAGGAAACCAGAGCCACAGAAAAGAACAGCGCAAAAAAAGGACGACCTCAAAGAGCCCAAGAAGACTCCGATACCATCAAACACCGCCTCCTAAAATGGATGACTGACGCTTCCATCATACCACCAAACGCCGTACCCTTACAAAGACGTCAAGATTGCACCGATATCGGGAGAAAGGCTGGAAGCAAAAAGAGCAGACAACGAAGAAGGAAAAGGGAAGGCAAACATCAAGTCACCACCATATCTTCAAACAAACGCCAAACCCCATCACCACATCCCAATACAAACCACCAACACTAAACAGCCAAAATTCCCCACCAACAAGCAAAATGAAAGAAATACCAAAAGACATGAATAAGACAAAAGGAAATTGAACATCCCCCAAAACACCAACAACAAAACAAAGAAGGCAAGAAAAGAAAAGAAAAGGGAAAAGTCAGGCCATGATAAACACTCCTGCATCAAATACAGACAGACAGTACATCCACGAAGAATAAGGAATTCTCAACTGTAGTTTTCCGATCATCTAATCTCGTCACTGGCCAGGTGTTCGTTCCCATTGTCTCATACTCAAGTCACTCTGTCTAGAGCTCAAAGTCTCGAATACGCTATACATCATGTCGTTCCGCTCCTCTACCTCTAATCTGATCTAGGCTATTCCGATTTCAACGATACGTCTACTTTACAATGAACACATCTCACCACCATTAGAAAACCTCACATCCCACGAGCAGACCTCGCATTCCAACTCCACAACGAGCCTCCTCCACAGCAAAACGCACATATGCACATCCATCCCCATCCATCCTCACGCATCCACCACTGTACCGACCCAAGCGATCTAACCGCCGCAACCCACGCAGCCCTACCAAGCTTTAGAGTGAACCAACCACGCCATCACACACAACCGTCAACAAAACAAACATTCCATCAACTCTCACAATCACGGTCCAAGACAAAGCGTGATTCTCTCACATCAAGGGTCAACGATCTATCATTTCTCAAAAATATCGAGATGAGGGGTTCGATAAGCGGTAAGCCATGTAAGCACGGGCCGAAGCCTCACGATCGGGTCGGCATGTTCGGGACGGGGAATTTGGTACAGAGTGTTGATCAGACGATTGGGGTGTTAGGTAGCGCCTCTGTCGTCGGTGCAGATTCGGAACCATTGTTCGTATCTATTGGATCTTGCTCAGTAGCTGGGAGATCTTCATTCTCTTCTTTCTTGTGGAAGGTATGGGATTCGCTTAGGTTAACAGCCAGGAAGGATTTTGGGAGTTTGACCCTAATGTTTGTTAGTTATGGTACGCATAAGGAGGGGAGGGAGGAACAAACTGATGGAATTTCGCCCTCAAAGTCTCAATGACCTTCTTCCAATCCGCGTGTGCGGTTAAACTTCTTCGTTGCGCACAGCTGATACAATGCTTACTATCAAGTTGGACGTCAAGCGGGTCAAACGTATGACAACCTGGACTGATAGTGATGCGGATGGAATAAGCATATTTTGCTACGTCACCAGGAGGTGCATCGCGGGGGGTCTTGTTCTCGGACTCGTAAAGCTCAAAGCAGATCTGAGAGAGATAATCGAGTTCTGGAATCGCTGAACGTTTGATCTTGGTTTCAATACCACCTTCGAGTATACAGTTCAGAAGGGTGTATATGTGAGATTCTTTGGTGAAGTAGATGAATGATTTAGCGTCATCTGAAGCTTGCATCTCCTCAAGATCCTGCACAATTTCCTTGAAAGGGTTAGCAAGTAATTGCAGGGTACATATCGATCAACATACCTTGAGCAGAGGAAGGGAAGTCAATAAGCCAATTTCCAACTTCTCATTATCCGTGATCCCATATTCCTGTGGGCATATAAAGTCGAATAGAATTTTAGCCATCTTGTACAGCTCCCTCAACTTCTCTAGACGCACATCGGTTTTCGCTTTGGTTTGACTGCTTCCAGTAAAAAGTTTAAAGTACTGTTCGGGTCTTTCTTCCGAGTTACTGCCTCGGCGACCAGCCATCACGGATGGTCGTCGTCTGAAAATGCGATGTCTAGTGCTCTTGTTCGTTTCAGCCTTTTCCATTGGAACTGTTTGACTTTTGTCTGTGGGTGCATCATCTGATCCCCGTGGGGAGTCCTTTGATGCGGAAGACTTTGTGATGTCCTTTTCTTTGTTTTTAGCTTCCCAAGCCAAAGTTTCCTCTTCTTCCTCTAATATACTCTTGCTCGGGGTGAACACCCATTCCAAGAATTGTCTATTATGCAAAGCATCAAACTTCATAGTATCGTACAGTTCCGAAATTTTGCTAGGATCCACCTTGTCACCATCACAAAATTCTGCAAACAGCTTTTCCCACCTTTCCCTGAACAAATCAGAGTCTTCCCCACAACACCAGCGTGATTGTATGTTCGTCGTTGCCATTGCATGAGACATAGAGGAGCTAGCTGAGGACGAGAGACTATCTTTGTCCCCTGGATTTGCAATTGCATTCAACGAGGTAGAAGCACCACCATAAAGCTTGCCAAAGTTGTGACGCATGACTCTTCGATGAAATTTCATCAATTGAACGACATAAGCTTGCACAATGGAAGGCTCAGGCATGTTGTCAGGCCATGCAAACTGTGGTGGGGCTTCGATGCCCTCACGAAGTAAAGTCTTTAGCTTCTTTTTGACCTTGTCCATCTCGTCTTTTGCGGCATTAGAATCATCCAAAAGATCCTTGCGAACCGTGATGAAATCAGGAGGCAACTGTTTCTGATCGGTAAATGCTGAAGCCCATATCTGCGCACTCGTAGTAACTCGTCTCTCTGAACTGCTAAAAACATGTACTTCGTCGAGGACCGCACGATTCATCAACATCAGGTCATTTCTCATGTTCTCACCGTTCTCTTGCGCTTGATACCTAGCTGAATGCGTTGGCTCGCCTCCCCATTTGACGATGAGTTGGAGTTTGTCTAGAACAAGACTGTTCTCAACTGCTGTGATACGAGAAAGCGTTGTACCAGACAAAGAGTCGCTCCTCGTTGGAGACCTTCTCACAGGACTTCCATCGGAAGCTTCTATCTCCGGCGACTCCCTGGCCAATTCCTTCAACCGGTCCTTAAAATGCTCCTCGTTTCCATTCTTGAGCAATTGAGCTTTTGCTTCTTCAGACCCGGGGACGGCTGCCAGAACCTCTTCAGGCTTGCGCTTTCGAAACATGGGCTTGATCTGAACCTTTGTGCCTAGCCAGGCTCCTTTTTTGTCTAGGACATTCATCAGGGTCTTGAGCTTTCTGTCATCTTCAACCCCCTCGTCAATGGCAACCCGCACAGCACGCTTCACACTGTCCAGAGCAGACTCGCCAGTCAAAAGCACCTCTTCTTGATGGCCCTTGAGGAGGTCCACAAAAGGCTTTGTATGAAAAGTGAACTTGTACTTTTGCTTTGGCGTTCTGTCTGCATGCCGAATGACAGATACCATACCCTTTAGCTGCCAGGTGTGCTTTGGAGCTGGCGGAGGCATCACATCTCCTTCGGTTAGCTCTGTCGCAGGGGTAGCTGGGACAGTAACAGGATAAACTGAGGCATTAGAAGGAGATGTCGAAGGAATTGAAGCTGTAGCAGGAGGTGGTAACATGGGCGTTGGCGGTATTTGCGGAAGATCGGATCCTAAATTGGCACCAGGAGGCGATGTTCTTGGTGTCGGTACACTCGAGGCTTCGGGTGATCCTGTTGTCGACTTCTTGTGGTGTGCGTGATGATGTAACTTGGACATGCTTGGTGATTTCGCAAGAATGCTTTGTAATGCAGAGCGGTGCCCTTCCTTTGCAGTCTCCCGACGAGCCACAGGCGGACTTGCGGTACCATCAGAAGGACTTGATTGTGGTGCGGTACTCTCGTCTGTGATACCATTTCGCATTTTGTACTCTTTTACAAACATGTCTTTCAAAATCCGGGCGCATTGAACGTAGTATTCGTCATTGTCTTTAACAAAGCTCCAACCGTTCACATCGATAACAAAACTACTGCCCTCGGCGCGTAGAAGATCGAAACCACACACGCGCTGACCGAAACTGACCGCAATACGAGAAGCCATAGCTGATTCCTCTTTGGTCAGGCTTGTAATGTACCGAATCTCTTTGCCATGCGTGTTTCGCCGTACCAAACCATCAACCACAGGAGATTTTCGAGTCTCTGCGTGACAGAAGTTAGGCCCGACAGTATATGCTTTCACGTCCTCTGAGTTGTCAACGTGCATGAACTTCTCATACAAGTAGCTGCTGTCTGGTTCTAGAATAGCTCTAGGAACATCCATTCCTTCCACTCTTTCCGAGCTCTTGTTGCCAATCTTGCGAAACAATTTCCGAGCTCCACCACCTTGACTCTTGGGATAGTATATGCATATATTGTGATCTTCTCCACTGATCGGCTTCTCGACGAAAGGCTTCCGAAGAATAAGACCATCGACACTCAATGCGTCCCCATCTTCCACAAGTTCTACCTTCTTGGGTGGAGGAGTCTTGCCGCCAGTTCCATCCTCTGGTCCATCTAGTGCTACTCCTGTGGTCTCCTTTAGGTGCTTTGCAATTTCTGGCGTCATAACACTAGGCCCACCGTCTCTGTTCACTTCGACGCGGGTGGGAGTTGGCACATTGATTTTGTCAAGAATCATCAGACAGATCCTGCGATCCCAAAGTATCTTCTGCATTGGCACATCGTTGACACAAAATGGTTTCCGAGCTTTGACATAGGCGATTGCTTTATCGAGTGGAAACCCTTCCGAGTAGAACGATATGAGGTAATCGCAAAGCGGCCAATTTTCAACTTCTTCGTCCAGGATCACTTTATCACCAAACACCTTGACCTCAAATTCCCTGTTTGCTAGGAGGCGGTTAAGAATGTTTCGACTTGGTTTACTCCTAGCCTTGACATCGAGAGCACAAACCCCGATAATACCATATTGCGAAGGCTTCGTATCATCCTCCTTCTTGGTTGCATACGACCTATCACCTCTATCACTCCCAGGACTATGACTGCTCGCGGCAGTACTTCCACTGAATCTTCGCTTTGCCCGACTCCGAGACCTGGCAGGTACAGTCGACCGAGGCGCACCCTCTCCCCTTTGCGCCGCATTTCGCTTAGCAATATCCGAAGCATGAGCTGGAGTTTCTCGCGGGGTAAGTGAGGGGCCATTTGTCACACTGTGGCTGCTGAATTGATTCGAGGAGGACGTCGTGACCGATATTGCCGATGTGGAAGGCTCTGCGCCAGAGGTTCCCAGGGGTTTATTGTTTGGTGACAGAGCACCAGTAGCCGACCTCGTATTGTATCCAACGTCTGATCCGTTCGCAGAGGCAGCCGAACTTGGAGCACCACCACCTGCTCTTGCCGAAGTCAATGAGTATATCGAAGAGACCGACATTCGTTTGGAGTCCATATCTGGCATGGATGGTCTTGTACGCAGCGAAGCTTCTGGGAGCTGTGAAAGCTTTGGGTCTTCCGACATGATTCCGGGAGACAATTTTGGAGTTTCGAGGTCTTCCACGGCTATATCTTCCTTGCTTGACCGCCTGCTCTGACCTTCGGAAAAGGTTCCCTGTTTCGAGGACTCGCGAGATTTCGTGTTGCTGTATGACGAAGACGTCCGTGACCGAGTGATTACAGGAGGCGGTGGCATAGAAATACTGGCTCGGTCGGCATGCGTGGTGGTTGTTCCTGGCTCTGCATAGCGTCCTTTGTGACTTGAGGTTGAGTTCTGTGTGGCACCTGGGAAGAGGGTGTTCGAAATCGCGCGAATTTTGGGTTTTGGCCGCCCTGGCACATTGGAGGTAGACAATGACGAATTTTCTGTGTTTTGAGGGATATTGGGTGTGTCCAGGGAAGATAAGCTGGGATCCTGGGTTTCTCTCATCCCACCGCTACTCGTATCTGAGCTCATTATGGCGGAATTATTGGGCTACAATAATCGTCCGGGTGTTCCAATGGAAAGCCGAGATCAGCACCACATTGTCATCTAGTTGCAGGAGTCTAGATTCGAAATGCGACCAAGTTGAACGTGCAGCCAAGTCGAGCGTCTGGTAGGGCGAGAACGAAATGAGGTGTCGCAGAAAGAAGGTCGGTACCAATGGAGAACGTAAAATCGTGAATCGTCGGTGGCATCAGAATCTGGTATTGGAACCAAATATTTGCGCTAGCCCATCATCACTGCTGGGCGTGGCGGATTTGACCGTCGCATCATCTTCGGTCTTCCAGCTGCCATTGAGGGTCATCGGCTGCTGGCGGTTTTGGAGCGGAGCTTTAGGGGACTTGGAGGGTAGAGCGCTGGTGAATAAAGCGGAAGGTGTGTGAAAAGTCGAACTTCTCCTCGCTGCGAGCAGAGGCTGTTAAAAAAGCGAACATGATGATGAAGCTATTCCCAAATCCAAAAAGTACAAGGAATGTCTGCGTCTCTGCGGAGAGGGGAGGTTGTGGTCTTTAATTGAGGCTCCAGCGGCCTTCCCCACGCACGTGGTGATAGCTGGGCCGTTGCAGGGGTCAACACGCCCATGAAAAAAAAGTCCAGGTCCCGCAGAGGAAAAAGCAACGCCTGCGAGCGACGGCGACCACAACAGCTCCATTCCAACCTCTGTTCCGTACATCGACCAAGGACAAAATGCCTTCCTCTATTGTCCAGACCGTTCACGATGGAGATCGCACGGTTGCGAAACGACAGAAGCTCAGTGGAGAGGTTGCGCCTCGAGGAACGAAGAGAGAATCGAGGTTATTTACACCGTACAGAGTAGGTTTTGCAGTCGTGTGGATTGGGCGTTTCGCTGATGGCCACAGACAATTGGATTAGTATCTTCGACTCCGGTTCCCTTTACGTCGATTCCTCTAGGCAAAACCACTTTTCAAATTACCACCTCCGTCGGACGCTGTTTGCAGACTTATGATCTGAAGCGCGGCCTCAATCTTGTCTTTCTCACACGGCCACAAACACCAGAAGATATTACAGCTACAATCGCATGGAAAGATAGGGTATTTGCAGCTTGGGGCGGCTCAAAGGAGGGGTCATCACAAGGTGTGTCAGTGTTTAAGAGAGGAAAAGAAATAGCTGCGCTGGATTTGCCGACAGATTTGAACCAGCCCGTCAAACAATTACTTGTATTCGGAACATGGATCGTGGCATGCTGCAAAACGAGAATTGAGGTTTGGAAATCGACTACCTACGAACACTACACGACACTGTATCCGACAGCTGCCCAAAAAGGAAAAAATGAACTTACCGGAGGGATCACCAATATGCCAACATATTTGAACAAGATTCTCGCTGGCAGGAAAGATGGCGGGGTGGAGATTTGGAACGTGAGCTCGGGGAAACTCATTTACACAATTCTACCACCAGCCGCAAATTGTGGTGCTGTTACGGCGATGCAGCCGACGCCAGCTCTTTCGATGCTGGCCATTGCCTACTCTTCGGGGCCTGTGACGATACATGATATCCGATCCGATAAAGCCGTCATTCAGCTGAATGGTGGAAATTCTGGCTCGCTGGTCACTTCAATTTCATTTCGCACCGACGATCTTGGCGCAGGCGACGATGGAAAAACCCCTGGAGTCATGGCTACAGCTGGACCAGAAAATGGCGATGTGACATTCTGGGATCTGAACGGAGGGGGGAGAGTAATGGGAATTCTTCGTGGTGCTCATAATCCACCCTCCGACTATGGAGCAACTGTGGGTGGGGGGGTGAGTAAAGTTGAATTTCTTCCAGGGCAGCCAGTGATCATTACCAGCGGCTTAGACAACTCGCTCAAGTCATGGATATTTGACGAAACTCCATTTTCTCCCGTTCCCCGAATTTTACACTCTCGAAGCGGTCATGCTGCTCCAGTGTCAAAGCTCTTGTTCCTTCCAACCGACTCGGATGGGGCTGATGCAGGTGGGAAATGGCTGCTGAGTGCTGGAAAAGACCGAAGTCTATGGGGATGGAGTTTACGGAGGGACGGTCAGAGTACTGAGCTTAGCCAAGGAAACATTCGCAAAAAGGCCAAGAAAATGGGCATCCTGTCTAATGTGTCACTCGCGAACGAGCCAAGCACCAGTTTGGAGGACTTGAAGGCACCAGAAATTACGTGTCTTGCTATGTCTCTGAATCGTGATGGTGGGATGGGAGCAAATGCTGGTAATGGTGCATTATGGCAGAAGGGGAATTCAGGAAATAAGAAAGCAACCGATGCGACTTTGAGCGGAGCTACAGGATGGGAGAGCGTAGTCACAGGACACAAGGAGGACAAATTTGCTCGAACCTGGTTTTGGGGCCGAAAAAAGGCTGGAAGATGGGCGTTTGAAACTGGAGATGGTGGATATGTGAGCAGCGTCGCGATCAGTCCGTGTGGTACCTTTGCTGCTGTTGGGTCTGAAAGTGGCGGAATCGATACTTTCAATCTCCAATCTGGTCTTCGGCGGCAGAGATTTCCATCGAAATTAACCCCCGCCCAAGCAAGGAAACTCAAGCTTGAACAGCTTCAGGCGGCAGACTCGCTGGAGGTGCGTGGCAACACATCAAAACGTTTTCCAATGGGATTGGGAAAGCATACTCAGCCAGTTACGGGACTGGTAGTAGATTCTCTTGTAAAAACACTGATCAGTTGTTCAAAGGATGGAAGAGTCAAGTTCTGGGACTTCACAAATGGCCATCTCGTGGATGAAATAGACTGGCATAGTACGGTTTCGATAACAGGCATGCGATATCATGCACCAAACGATCTGATAGCACTCACAAGCGACGACCTATCCATTCGGGTTGTGGATATCGAAACAAAGAGGACGATTAGAGAACTATGGGGTTGCACTGGAAAGATAAATGATTTTTGTTTCTCCAGCGATGGTCGGTGGATCATAGCTGCGTCGAGCGATCGAATCATTCGAGTTTGGGATTTGCCCACCGGACACTTAATCGATGCAATCCGTATGAAGACTCCATGTACCGCTATAGCCTTCTCCGCAACTGGCGAATTTCTAGCAACAACCTGCGAAGGGGAAATTGGTGTCAACATCTGGAACAACAAAACCCTCTTCTCCCACGTCCCTACCCGCCACATCTCTGAGGACGAAATCGCAGAAATGTCCGGCCCTACAGTCTCCGGCGAAGGCGGCCACAATCTCATCGACGGCGCCTTCGAAGACCAACCCGAAGACCCCGAAGATTCTGCTCCCGCCCCTTCAATCGACCAGTTAAGCTCTGACATGATGACACTCAGCTTAGTACCCAAAAGCAGATGGCAAACCCTCCTCCACCTAGACCTCATCAAACGACGCAACAAACCAACCGAAGCCCCCAAAGTCCCTGAAAAAGCACCCTTTTTCCTCCCCTCCCTCGAAAAGCCAATGCCCATCGCTGGTGTAAGTAGCGAGGAAAAGAAAGATGACGGTATTGCGGAACGCTCGAGGATCATGAAGATGGATCGTTACGCGTCGGAAGGCGCCTTCACTGTGGCGCTGCGATCTGGGAGCGATAGCGGAAATTGTACGTCCCATCCCTCCCCCTTCCTAATAGAAGCCAAGCTAACATAAACAGACACCCTCTTCATCGACCACCTCAAAACGCTCTCCCCATCCTCCGCAGACCTCGAGATCCGCTCCCTGAACCCCGGCGTCGAAGCCGAATCCGACGAACTTGTCAATTTCGTCGCAGCGCTCACGAGTCGACTTAAGCAAAAACGAGATTATGAACTCGTGCAAGCGTGGATGACGGTCTTTTTGAGGGTTCATGGGGAGGTGGTGGCGAGTGATGAACGGCTTGCGGAGGGGCTGAGGGAGTGGAGGGAGTATCAGGGACGGGAGGGTGCGAGGTTAGGGGATTTGGTTGGGTTTTGTGGGGGGGTTGTTGGGTTTTTGAGGGCGCCTAGGGGATAGTTGATGTGTTTATGTGGAGTAGGATAAAATGTCTTGGGCTGATGTTAGGAAGTTTTCAGCGGCTTAGAAACTCTTGCATTGTTGTAGTCAAATTATTGATTATATATTGACAGACATAGTCTTTGAATGACAGATCAAAGCTATAACACAGTCTCTGCGAGTTCTGAGTAGGTGTTGGGAGTAGAATTCTGTTTGATGATGGTATAGATTTCTATGTATATCTTTGTAACATGCCAAGAACGGTAAGGAATGTCGTGTTAGTAAACAATAAAGAACCTCTTATTGGTTCATCGCGAGAGTGCTTGTAGTATCAACTACCTTCGACATACATTAAGATCCCTCTTACGTAAAGAAATTTCCAAGACTTTATCCTCTTCAAAGCAATCCTGGTCGACTCGTGCAGGGCGTGGTCGCTCAAACACGTAACTAACGACCGATCAAAGCAACAAAATGATAGGTGTCGAAGTAGTACATCCTGTGCATATAATCTCTCACTATCCCTGATAGCTCCTCAGTCCCTCCACTTAACGCGTTGAGTTCTTGATAGCTCGCCGCCGTGTACAATCCATATCAAAAACTCAGCACACCTCAAATTCACCGCTCGTGTCACGGCAAAATTAAAGCCTCTATTACCTAATAAAACTGTTTCCCTGCTCATCCTCGTTCATATGTTTCGTTAAGCTATAATCCGTACTGAAATTTTAAGCCCTAGGTCTATAGAATTTTTAATTCCATGATTTTTAGTGGTGTACGTAGTGACGTAGGTAGCTTATATGGAGTGGAGTGGAATTGGTATTTTCTGCTATTTATAGCTAGTCTTTAATTGATATTACTGTTTAGTTATCTGTTTAATAGATACTTGCGAGAGAAAGGACCGTTTTTACAACGTTAACTACGTTACTTGTAGGGTTTCTAAGTATTGCGTATAGTCTGTGATATTTGTTTTTCCGAGGTGACAGGAGAGAAAGATTAAGTTTTTCAGGGGTTTGAAGTTTACGGTTTACTGCTTGTTGAAGTAAACTATTAGAATTTCTCTTGTATGCTTTTCTTCTTTCCTGTTTCGTCTAAATCCTCAAAAGATTTAAATGAAAGCGACAGATCCGGACCATCAACCAAGTGCCTATTAAAACCGACGATTCCGAATAACTTGAGAATCATTCACACCACTTTGCCCTGCCATTACACGAGCGTAAAGTTCCCCTGCTAAGCAAATAACCTCCAAAGTCCTCATTTGGTAGGGAAAATTTGCCACTTTCATAATGCAAATCGCTCCTAGTATTTGTCTTCAAGTCTTGAATGCTTAACACTTTGACTGTAGCGATTATTGGTAAACACATACTAAAATGTGACTGTGATTCTTCTAACAGTCAGCAAGAATATTCAAACGAAGGTTGCGCCAAAGCTTCGAAGTGTTCCAACACAAGCGGAAAGGCTCTCGCGATTTGCCTTCTAATTGACAATCTACCATCTATTTTCCCACCTGACAGGTTTTCAAATCGCCGTGTTACTGTCTTCAACATCTCGAATCATCTGTCTAAACAAAAGGTTCGTTGCTCCATGACGGGAGGTCAGTCTCCCACCAAGCGAGCATAAACCCCCCACGATCTCCTCCTCACGAAAACAACATTCACCACCCATCACCCATCACCACCGTCTAATCCCCGGCCCCAGCCAACCAATCCAGTCCATCCTTCCCCTTCTCTTAAATATTCCAATAGCGCAAAATCTCGTAAACGACGTCCTGAGTCCAGAAGCTCGCTTCTGTGGTCGTAAATGCTAATACCATAACCTACTGAATGGGTGACAGCGACGCACGTGTATCAGAACACTCGAGGTCAGCTAACCTTCCTACCGGAGACGTTCTTCCACCGTACTTAACGACTGTCACTTTGCGGTTGCCTCTTTATTAAATAAAGCTCACAGAGTAAAACGCAAGCAGCGGTTGGCCTCGCTGCTGGGCGGTTTCTCGGTACGTCCAGAAATGTTGATGTATTTCTTTTGCCGTTTTTCTCTATTGGGGTTCTTGAGGATTTATTTGGCTGTGTGGATTTTCCTTCTTTTTTTGGAATTGTTAATATTTTAGTCTAATTTTGATATCCCTATGAGATCTGGCGGCAGGGCTTCGCTCCACAGATTATGACTTTTGAGCAGAAGTCGACGGAAACTACAAAGTTGAAAAGTTCAATTTTTCGTATGTCAAATATTATTATTTTCGTGGCTACGAAGGTGTCGTGGGAGGTTGGTGGAGAGCTTTGAATGTTCAAATTTTCGTTGCCGAGGCAAAGTGGAAAACAAACCACAACAAAAGTCTTTTTTTGTGCTTTACTCGTTCCTCTAATGATTCTTCAAGTGTCTTCCGGGGTTATTTTATTCTAAGCTTCTGCTGCACCTCCCGGATTTAGAAGAAATGTTTTATGACTTTTGTAGCGATCATATTTACAAATCAGGGTATCTAACGAAAGTTTCAAAACGCTGCATACAAGCTTGATAAGAATTACTTGGTCGTGATAGGAAGATATTCATACTAGAATCTTAGTAATGTATTGTAATTCGTCTCGGACAAGTTTGAGGCGCGTTCGACCGAAGTGGGTGCGAGTGTGAAGTGAATAGGTGCAAATTCTTTTCGAAAACATGTGTACTAAATTTAGAACACACCCGAAAAGTCATCATAGTATCGCGTCGCTCGATATTGGTAAATCGAGTCGTCTTTCTTTCCACCGTCATCCGTTCCGTCCGTGGAAAATGAGGCGTGTTAAATCAGCCAGCGGCAAGCTGAGTATTGCACAATCTGCAGCTTCGATTCTTCCAGGTCAAGAGCGCGATAACATTGGTAAAACGCGCTTTCAGTCTAGTATTATCGTTGGGCAGCCCGAGGCTGTGATTAAAGAACATTGTAGGTCGCTAAATGTCTTATAGTTTCTTTGATCCGAGTAACAACGATCACTGACACGTTGAATTTAGCGACTTCGAACAATTCTTCTAGCTCCCGCAGCTCCATTATCATCGAAAATCATGGTCTCCGAAGAAACTCCTCCCTGCGTGTCTTGAGCAAGAAGATATATGCGGAGTCCGATAGTCAAAGTGATGAAAAAACTCCCTCCAGCATTTCGAAGGTAATTATTCTTATGATGCTAAGGCTTTAAGACTAACAATCACTAGAAAATTAAAAGACCACGGCGAGAGGAGACGGTGAAAAAGACACGCCCATCTAAGAGAATTCGTCGTCAAGTTAGACGTAAAGTGGCGTGCGCACTGCCTTCCGACGATGAAGATCAGCTCCTTCGACCATCAATATCCAATGAGAAAGCTCTTTTACCTCAGTCGCAAGAGGTCAAGAAAGTCATTGTACAACCAGCTACTGTACCAATCTCAAGGAGAAATTGGGTCAAAAACCAGAACAAACCACCATCTGATACAGACTCTGCTGAAAAGTCTGGAAATTCCAAAAATTCACAACCATCGATTTGCAAGCAAAACAAGGCTCGGAACGGAAATACAAACAAAGAGCATTTTGGAAATGAAAGCCCAGAAACAAAACACATTGACCTCCTCTCCCACTACAAAAATCTCATCCACCTCATCCTCCACCGCCTGCTAAACCCTACCTCCACACCCCCATCAACCCTCACAATCTCCTCCGCAACGCTCGCCTCCCACCTCTCTCAAACGGCCACCGCCCTCTCCTCTCCCTCCTGGACGCCCCTATTTCTCAACGCACTGCAACACCGGCCTAGCATCTTCATCCGACTCAGTAATCCCCGCGAATCCATTTGCGACGCCTGTGGCGCTGAAGCCAACCTAAACTCCACTCTGACATTCAAAGATCGGCCTTATAACCCTCATAACCTGCGATTTGAGGCCCAAGGGACGGATATCTTGAGGTATGAAGTGGATGAGGCGTGTCGGAGGAAGGCGGAAAAGTGTCATGGGCTGTGGCATTGGCGGTGGATGGTCTTGCAGCGGGTGAAGACAATGTTGGATAGGGAGGGTGTGAATAGCAGGAGAGAGAGAGGGAAGAGGAAGTCTATGAGTGCGGCAGCGAGGGAGAGGCATGTAGAGAGATTTCTTGGTGTGGTGGTGGGCGGAGAGCTGGTGACGGATGGCTATAGGAGGTATAGGAATTTAAGACGTTTAAGGGCGTGATGGGTGGTCCGGACGGTGGATTTGCTGAGAGCTTAATATTGATTGTCTTCATGTTGGTGCGTTGAGGCTTTTCTGTGTACCAGTAAGAGCGTTAGGAGTTTGCGTGGTGTAGAGTACTATGTCTGGTTGACTTTGGTATAGGTAGCTCATCCTACTTAACCACGTTCACTTCCCTTCAAACCGTCAAAGATATTTTCTAAAACATATTCATGTTTAATAATCAAGCGTTCCTGTACATTTCCACCTCTGGTGATGTGCAGACAACACTCGCTGACACCAGGAAACCAGTATCTACGCGAAGACTGGCAGAAATGCCGACATTTCATGTACACCCAGCTATTCTTTAGAATACGACAAGAAGACGCGTTTTTTTGGACCTCTTCAGGCTTATATAAAGGCAGTGTCTAAGAATTGAACACACCAAAATCACAATCCCATTTAAGATACATGGAGAGAAAAGTCGCTATTATGTGTTAATATCACACAAAAGCTCCCCTCCGCCCTTACACGCAGACCAATTCTCTATATACCTCCTTCCTCACCCTTGCTGTCACTGGCTTCAAGCTCAATCCAAAAACTCCGTCGAAATGTACCTATCTCAAAAGCTTAAGTAAAACAAAATTTAGAAGACCAACTAACAAGATATACCATGCACCACAGATTTATCACAATTCAACCATCTCTGACAGAATAAAATACATTTTACACAACTTGAATGGCCTGCGAGTTGTGAAATTCGATGGCACATGTTTCCTTTCTCTAAATTTCTCTGCATGTCTTAGAATGTTCAAATTAGTGTCCACCAGGAAGCAAAATTGAAGATCCCGTATCTGCAAGCATAAATATGTCGCCCGGAGCAAGTGTGTATGGTACAGCTGTCAAACTTGTCATGATTGCGACTTTTGACGTGAAAACCCGAAGACATAGATGCGAAATGCCTTTCCGAATACTCAGTTGATTCTCCCTCTGGAATTTCTTTCCATACGACAATAGTAGATTAGCCACATAGGTTCTGGATTCAATCTTCTCAGAAAGCTGGCGGGAATTACTTGATGGCGATCAACAATCTCGGGAAGTTGCTGAGGCGAATAAAGCATCAATACGGATTCCTGTCCGAAAAGTAAACTTATCAAATAATGCACCTCAACTCTTTGGAGCCCTGTTGTAGTTCCAAGACCATCTTAAATACATCATCCAAACGCTACTCAGCGGTGAGTATTTGGAAGGAGAACAGAATTTCTCTGCACTTCATTAGATTCTCTTTCTGTGAGCATGCCTAAGATGTACCTCTTTCAAAGAAGCATATTGAAGCAGGATTAAGATAAGTGTAATGAATCAGTTGAGCAGGCACAATACTGAAATTAAACGCTCCTACATAGTACTCTACTCAACCTTTCAATTTAATCTATCCTAAACAAACTTGTCACTTGTTCGAGTTGGTTGGACGTTAAAATCCACGTGATGCTTGGACCAATCGCAGAGCCCGCTGCACACTGCTCCGACCGGTCCGAAGCACTGCTCGCTTAAAATTATCAGCTGACTCGCCTCCTCTTTTCTACCACCATTATCAATTCTACTTGTGAGACTTGGAGTTAGTCTAGGTCAGTACAAAAATTTAATTGGCACAAAAGGGAGTAACAAGGGTTGTTGAAATACTCTCTGCTTGAAACAAAACTCTGCCGTTTTTACCATAGATTTGACGCCATAAACGACACGATGATGGGACTACAATTTTCCCCAGTTTTGCTACCAGACGTTTCAATTGTGACAACTGCAGTCTCTTTATTCTGGGGTTGGGAATTGTATATGCTGACGTCTTTACCTTCCCGAATGCCATGTACAATCTTTGGGGATTTGGCCTCAAAATCTAGCATGTGGTGTTGCCATCAGAGTGCAGAACATCGTTTTAAGGATTTTGACTACTCGTAATATCGCGGTTCTTGACTAGAGTTTGATATAGATACATTTTCGTATGTCAAAACCAAATCATGAGAACATAGAATAATCGGAACTTGACAGCTTTTGAAACAGGTTGTATTCAATAAATCAAAGCAACGCCGTCTCACCCGGCATGCCATCTATGATACAAGAAGTCGAATGACAAGATGCATATCCAACCTGAGTCTACACTATAACTCCAATGAAGTTCTGCCGTAGAAGATATGAGCGCAACTCCAATCTTCATGACACAAAGGTAAAGCATCAGCCTTTCCCACATCGGGCCAAGGAAATTTTGAAATGAAACGACACCATATCCTAAGACAGATGCCCTAATGTTACAGAACTGCGAGCAGATTTTGGCCTTCTTCTGGAGCAAAGACAGAAAGTTGAAGCATTGAAAACATTGAAACCTTGTACAAAACCCTAAAGTCCAAGTCGGAATAGCCTCTGGTAATGTAACATAGTGTCGAGGTCGACTTTCAAGAACCTGTTACGAAACCAGCAGCAGTGCCCCGGAGATCCTGACAAAATTGTCTGCTGCAGAAAACAAAAGAAAATACATAAATCACATCTTTCGGAGGTCTCGATAACTTCCGTAGATGCGCAAGAAGTACCCATCCGTGTACCAACCAGCTACAATCTTTTCGACATTCTCGCGCCTAGCTTGAAAAGTCATTGCTAGTCGTTCGTTCTCATTCTCTTCTTCGAAGTATTTTTCCTTGTTCAACTTCGTGCGGATGGCTCGAAACAGTCTGTGGCGCCAGTGATACATTTGGTGTGCTTTCTCTGCCATCTTCTGGCAGGAGAGCCGACGTGGAATCGGATTGGTTGTATTCCCACGCCATCTCGTGAGGTGCTCGGCTCAAACGTGGAGGGATCATAAGGCTTGCCTAAGAAGACAAGAGTAGTTGTAGGCTCGTGTTTGCCATGACAAGCATCACACCAGGCCTGGGCGTCGTTCTCGGGACCAACTCTGACCAATTCCAAAAGCGGTTTGGCCTTCAGTGTCCGAATAAACGATGATGTCCATTTAGAGGAAGTAAATTTGCTCTCGGCTTTGGCTTACAAGAAGTCACTTAAATGTTGAGAGGCAAAGTCGAACTCAGCATTCTTTCCGATGAAGATTGGGTTGAGTAATAGATGGACAATTTTCTCAACAAGCTTCCTGTAAAATCGGAACGTGTCTTCAAAAGCAACACCAACAGCTCTGTAAATGATCTCGCTTTCAATTTCTTCAAGATCGGGACCCGAAGAGTGTGGTTTTGCTGAGCGAGAAGTCTTTTTTAGCTTCTTCGCAACAGTTTTTGGACGCTTGGGTTTTCTTGAGTCCTCATCCGTATCAGATCCGGAGTAGGCTGCCAACAGCGTTTCACGGTGGAATGTATCGCTCTTCGACGTCTGGCGGGTGGTTCTCTTTGGCGTGAGCCGCTCCAAGTCTGCCAGCAACGACGACGGGACACTTCTCTTGGTGATCGTTGGGGGAGGGCTCTCATCTTTCTTCGCGGTCGAGGTTGTTGCCGGTCTCCTGCGTTTAGTCATGTCAGGGTTGCTAGCCAAAAGAGAAGCCTTTTTGGTCTTGGTGTGGTCAGCGGTAGTTGATTTACCCTTGCCCTGACAGTATCAGCGTCCAGTACCTGTCGATGGATAAGAATCAAACCTACTTTGATGTTTCTGGCGGGCAGGTCCTTATCATCATATTCTCTGTTGGGCTTCACAGCAGCTAATCCTTTCTTCTTTTTCACCGTCATGTTTGGCACGGTAGACTTGATCTTCTGGACATCAACTTCAACACGACTCGATGAGGATACTGGGAGAGTTCTCTCGGAAGATCCTGAATTGATAGATATCAGCTAAATGAACGACATGTAAGTCATCGCGAAGGCCATACCGCTATGCTTCGACGTCAAGTCAATCTTCTTGTGGAGACTGGTCGAAATGGACGCGTCGGATCCGATCTTGACTTTATTTTCATTCCGAATTGTTTGGGAGGGGGGAAATTAGAGTGTAGACGTTGCTGCTCCTGAGGATTGCCTTTCGGCTTTCGTTGGCGGTTCATTGTGATGCAGCGTATAAAGGGACGACTGCTTCGGGCGTGTTGCTGAAGAAGAAAAATGTTGAAATAAATGAGGGGAAGAATATTCCCAACGCGTCTGAAGACTTGGAATTCATGACAGTGAATATTTGCTTAGTAAAAATGAGAATTGGATACATTCACTTCAAAGCAAATCTCGACAAACGCGTAACACGCGTCGCCCATAAACGCCATTTTGAACCAAAGGTTTATTGAATAGAGAAGAAGAATGTAGTATCCAAGAAGACATCCACTCAGTTGAGATGGTTATCTACTGAGTGGAATCAGCCAGAAGCAGAAAACGGGAAAACACCCGTTCGGTTAAGATGACAATATATTGACTTAAGCAAAGGGAATGAACATAATAAGAAGATGCGGGTTCTGTTGAGAGAGCAACCTTGGGTGCTCAAACCCGAATTGACACCAGAATATATTAATTGGTCACTTTTCGCAGAATGAAAAGTAGTGACATGGTCACATGTTTCGATTGATTCTGTAGAAATAAAATTCTAAGTCAATCAGTAGTCTGATCCTAAATCCGTTAAATAAAATGTAACCAATAAACGACCTGTAGCTAGCAAATAAACCGTGGCTAACAAAGAAATTGTAATTAACAAATAAACTACAACTAACAAATAGACTGTAACTAAAGAACTTGATCTCGAATGGAACGGAGTATGAAAAAATACTCCTACTTTTCATAATATTGTAATCGAAAAATTAAGACTACGACTGCTCGTGTTAGCTGGAAAATAATGTAAAAAAAGGACAGATATATTGGGAGTTTAAAATTGGCTCAAAATGCAAAAGAAATACACCTCGCCTCAGGTCGGTGTACCGGGAAACTTTCAAACGTCGCCGCTAAACGAATATGTTTGAGGCTTCTCTAGCGTGAGTATATTCTATGAAGAGGCAACCATGACGAAAGGCAGTCGTTAAAGCTTGGTATTTGAGTATAAACAGAAGATACTATCACATTTAAGGATGCGTATGCGACCCCAATACTCAGCTACGCATGCGTCGCTGCCCCCGCTAGATCGGAGTACTAGCATTCATATAACCCAGGAAGAACTCCTGGACTCGTATGTTCAATTACGCGATTTTGCTTTATTAAAGTATTTAAATACAAGGTTGGAAGATGAATAGTCATTGGCTGGATATTGCCACTGTTTTGCCGGTGGTTGAGTGATGGTAATAGTGAAGTGAATGCGTGGTGGGGGGATCCGAGCTTTTATGATCGTAAGGGCGATACCACTGTGAGGCGGATCGGAACCGCAGTGTTTTCGATCTACAAGAATGATTCCGTTGTTTGAAAGCCTATTTGGAAATTGAGTAAAGAATGGGGGTAGTATGTCGATAGTCATCTACGTTGCAGAGAGAAGAAAGTGTTGTTCGGACAACAGAGAAGGAATAGTACACGTGACTTGCAAGGACCTCACATCGTGAGATTTCAGCCCACCTATTTCAGTATCAGAGAACTACGCCTCGCGAGAAGTTGGGATTAATAACTCTGGTTTTTCCAGTCATAAGTCTCGTAACGTGAGGTTGGATGTAGAGAAAGAGTTTTCCTATTCCGCCAGCCCAGGGGGTGGGTAACTTCGTTAAATATACACCATCTAAAATTTTCATCAGAACAACAAGAGCTTCTTTTAAAACTCGAGTCACATGTAAGAGGTATCCCTTCACCACTCAGTCTAAGCACGGCTCAAAGCTTTCCACAAGCTGGCAATATTTTACAAAGGTATCATAGGGGATATATGGATGCGTTAGTCAAGCACAACTTCGGAAAAGTACTAATATATCACATATCACCCTACCAAAAACCTCTTTCAATAATACATATAGTAGTTTAGTCCTTAATATACTTTGATTAAGTATTTTTTAGTTACGGATAAGAGTATAAAACCATGTTTTGCGACCTCAAATATTGGTTAAAACCCAATTGTGCTTAATTACCACCTAACGATTCCATGCACCCGCTGGGTATCTCTACGGGAACGAAAAAAATGTCTCATTTTAGTACAAGCCTATACCTTACCACACTAAAATCTTCCTCTGTTTTGTACCTTTTTACACCCTATAAGTCTAACAAGAAACATATTTCTAGATTTATAAATTTTTAAAAGGATATAGATGTCCTCTATTGACTTATTATTCTTTATATACTAATGTCTTATACTATAGTGGTGATTTTGGCGTATACACCACAATGGGACGTAAAAAGGTTTCCGTAACAAGTAGACCGAATAAACTGGACAATCAGCATTCTTACTGATTCCCGAAGTTATATTCACAATATCACAATTAAAGCAACTAAAAAATGTCTTCGCGATTCTAACTGTTGTTTACTACTTAATTCGTTCTTAATATAAAGGTAATGTACATTATTGACTTATCCGCCTCTGAGATTTACCTAAACACCAAGAATTAAGCTGGTTTAATTTTACCGACACTATCTCATTGGGGGTATACACTGTAGTCTTACTGTCTTAAGAAGTAACCAGGAAATGTCATTTGGTTACATAGGCCGATAAAGCTGGTTGATCCAAAACACCTAGCCAGCCACATACTATGTTCATTAATAACCGTTAATGATAGGTTTGTATCTATATACATTTGTTAATAAAGCCTATAGTCGTAGTTAGAATAATAGCACACCATGCATGAATTACTGATTGATTCGTTGATTATTCAATCATCAGTGTTCATTGTATAGACCTGATCCCCTCTATCATCACATCCCATATCCCAAACCCATTCCCCCCATTCCCCTTTTCCTACTCCCCTTTCTTCTCTCCTTCACCATCCAAACCTCCCCTTCCTCCAAACCTCCACCCCTCCCCTCCCCTCCCATCCCCATCCACCATCCTTAACACCTCGCCCTACCCATCCCAAGAACCAGAACCCCAAGCACCATCCCCCAATCCATCATTCCCCTTCTCAAATCTCACGGTAAGCTTTATCCTCCTCATCCCCGAGGCTTAAGCAGGCAAACCACTCACTCTAGACAGAAAAAAAGACCGTGCCCGCCCGACAAGAGCGTGTGAGAACGAGAAAGCATGCGGAAAACCACATTAGACGTGAAAGGGATTCATGTATAATTCAAGTCATCAAGTAGGTAGGTCAACGGACTCCAATTCCGTTTATTTATGGTGATAAGCAAGACTACAGAAATTCCCCTGCTGCGTAATGATTCAGTCAAGGAGCCGAGTGATTGACAGACAAGTGGCCATCCATCACCCCACCGCCCCTATGATTCCAAAAACTCACTCACACCTTCACCAATGATTTCCCAGACACTCCATCCCATGTCCCCAAAAACAAATCCAGCCCCACCCCTCGGATCGAGCGCCCCCTAGTATCCCCGCGTCGATCCCCAGCATGTAAAATGAGCATAGCATACAGTAAGCCGCTTCGCTTTACACTTTACCCCAAAAGAAGACAGCCTCATCAAATACGTAAAATTTAATATATATCTCTCGTATTACTAAGCTACGTAAACACGAGAACCACTATCCGCCTCGTAATAATGCCTCCTCATAAACAATGCCAAATAAACTAGGGGGTATGATGCTAGAAACCCTAAACGCCTGCCCCAAAACTCCAAGCCACGCCGCAAAACAACACAAAAAAAAAATCGCTCAGGGATAACACGTTCGTGTATCGAGGGTCTAGAGGCTAAGCCTTTCGTGATAGCGGGGCGGTTTTCAGGCACCCGAATCCGGGGTTTGAAGGTGCGGTATTTTTCGCATCTGGGTTTTCCGAGAGGTAGATGGCGCCGTGTTTGCGTGCGAAGATTGCGCGTCTAAAACCGTTTCGTTAGTTGGTTGTGGTTTAATTTGGGGGAAGGGTCTGGGGCGCCTTACAAACTACCGAATTTCTCGACCGCCTCGACGCACAGGACTGTGATGAGGAAGAGAATGACCACGCCGACGACCAGCACGTCGCTGTATTCGCGCACCACGTAGGTTGCTTGTTGCCGCACGAGGTAGGTTTTGAGGGGGGTGTAGGGCGTGTGGCCGCAGGGTGCGGTGGGAGGGGCTTCGGAGATGGTGATTTCGATGGTGGTGCTGGGTGTGTCGGACCAAATTGCTGGGGCGGAGGAGCTTATGGATTCGAGGTAGCGTGCTGTGTCTTGTTCACGGAGGAGGGTGAGGTCGCTGGTTGGACGCGCGGGGAGGGCGTCTGTGGTTTCGTCTTTTGTTGGGGGGTGGGCGAGAGAGAGGAGGAATGCAGAGGATAGAGGTCGTTCGGCTGTGAGTGTGTCGAGGTAGGTGGATTTTGAGGTTGGTGTGATGGGATGGTTGTCGATTATGAGGTCTTCATGATCGAGTTGGTGGTCTGGGAAATGTGGTTCGGCGAGTCTTGTTGGCGGGGTATTTGGTCCGTCGACTGAGCGAAGCGCTTCTCTACATGATCCGTATTCACATGATGTTGAGGAGAGCGTTTTGTGTGAGAGAGGCAGTGGAGATGAGGTCGCGAGACGAATAAAAAGTAATAGTGAAAGTGGTGATGTTGGCTTCATGTTGACGGTTGAGGGCTTATGTTGCAGAGGTCGGATTTCGAGTGACCTTGCGGCTGTTGTTCGTGAGGCTTAACAGCAAACGATTTTGGTTGGGTGCAGACGGACGGTCTTATTTCAATGAAGCAAACGGATTATTTGGATGAGAGTAGAGAATGGTGAAATCTTCCGTGAATCTTTGCAATATGAATCCGAAAATCAAGTGATACTGAAATGCAGCAAAGCAGATTCACAGAATTCCGAGGGGTTATTGAACCTTTAAGGCCTGGGCCTGTCGGCCAGTTGCATGCCTGGCTGTGATTGCACAGATCTTTGGTGGAATGTATGCTGGCGCTGCTTCCCTGCAATACGTTAGTCCTTCCGCGGCTGTACCAAGGATTGCCTGTGGGTGTTGCCCGTGGCTAAACATGCAGGGTCGCAATTTGGGTCGAATCGACTTACAAAGCGTTGTCATGCTTCGGTTAGGGACTTTCATTGGATGGGTGAAAGGATCTCTGCGCTGGAGAGTCGAAAGCCACAAAAAGAAACCGAATATTTGGTGAACCGAAAGGGCATGGTTGAAGGACCCTGCGCCCGAATATTGCCCCGCCGACTCGTAAATAATTCGAGTGGTTTTGTCGACTTTGGGAATATGTTCTCTTGTTCGAATCTAGAGGCCTTGGTAGTGTATCCAGATGCAGCTGTCTACCGCTAGTTCAGGAACCTTCTGGGTTTGGTTAGAGGAAAAACAACAACACAATAATCTATCAAGCCATGCAGCACGTCAGATCAGCCTGAATTTGCTGCTCAGGAAAACAAAAACACCTGACAGCCTTTGACGAAAAGAAATTGTGAAGAGGCTTGGATGCGAAGCGAGTGCTGACTGTTCCCTAGCTGGGATACAAGATCTACACTAATGTAAATCCTTTTAAATAAGGTTGTCAATGCGCTGCTTGCTGCTACCCAACAAGCGGCTGCCTTCTGTAATTTGAGAGGCCAATTGTATTGCTTGGCGACGTAAAGCTTTTGAACAGCTGAAGGAGTGAAGACTCGAGAGTTTTGGTGGCTGGCTGGGTTCATTCCGTTTTTGGATGTCACTCTATACGCTAGTTAGCACGTTTCTTGCCTTTCAATCATCATTCACGCTTGTCCACGCTTGTCCTCGACTATCGATATCAACCCACGTGTCTGTCCCATTCTGACTTGGCACGAGGTACTTATTTCCACCTATTACTATCAGACAGCAACTTAGAACTTTTTATGACCCAGCATAATACCTTCGTAATTCACGTATCTTTTTCGTTCTCTCGTGTCCCACTTGCGCTGAGTTTGACTGCCGTCTCACAGGATTTCCGTTTCACACGCCTGAATCTTCAACTTTCGGGCAGATCTGCAGAACTAGCAGAATAAATCGGTGCGCAACTGACAGTCAAAACAAGCCTAACAATTCGGAAATCGCCCTGTGGATAGTCGGCCGTTTCAATGCGGTGCTCGTGCTGGCCGATTCTGAGCGGCATTTCATGTCACGAGACCTGGGATCTTGACGGGGTGACTTCGTCAGCGAAACTTGCCAAGTCAAACCTATAAACCTCAGCGATACCTCCGTCCATTTGTTTTGGACCTTTTGTCCCTTGCACTGGGCCGCCATTGTCCTCAATCGTCGTGTCTCCTCGCGACGGATTTCCTGTGTGTGATCGGATCAACCATACGTCTCTCCCCAATCGTCACATCTTCACGCGACACAATTCCTGCGAGCGAGTCGACTATCCATACATCTCAGGGATGCTCAATTTTAAGTATGTCAGCGCGAGAAGCTTCTTTCATGGCATCCCATGCGCTCTCGTCATCTTCTTACTGTACCGAACACACAGATGATACCAAAATCGTATATCGGAACGAATCAGAATTAATCGTTCGTAGAATATGAAAATCCGACTAACTTCCTTCAGGAGCAGGTCGCTTAGGTCGACTCGAGATTGACAATGTCAGACAATCCCATAATCATGTAGATGACCTTTAAGAGGAACATTCAAACGACCAAGGTATCGCTATCCGCTATTCCTTTCAGTAGCGAAAATGTTCACGAGTAATTTTGCTGGTACAGCAACTGCACGATCCAGTAAAGTAACAGCGCTGCTGCTGCTAGAAAATCAGAGACTGTTCCCAATCTGTCTTACATTTTGCAACTCGCAAAAATACTGAGTTCTATCTACCAATAGCTCCATTGAGAATATGGAGTGTTGACAACCACTAGATAGAAGTCTCAGAGATACCATTACATGCCGTGAACAAGCCGACTAATGTAATTTTGTGGCCCGAGCATCTAGCATCTTAAATCGCATGCTAGAATCCCATCATGGATTGTTGTCCTTCGGTAAATGCGTTGAGACACATCAGTAGAGACCTCCACCATCATTATTATCTGCCGCACCAATCGTACAAATCGTTTGCTCTCGTCGCCCAAACTCAATTCAAGGACGAGACAAACGATAGCCGCACCAAGAATTCTGAACGTCTCAAAAGTGTGGGGTACCAAGCTATTTGGCCGATGATGCGGTTGAGGAATGCCTCTAAACGTTGTGGAGATGGTGTCAAACAGCAAGTCGAGACGGATACAATACAAAAGCTTTGCTCGTAGAATGATCGACGCGAGGTTTTATGACGACGACCGCTAGAAGCTTCTTGATTTCAGTTTGACGTCTTGGGACTCTTGAAGTCGCAACGTGGAGGTCCATGGCACTCACGGACGTGAGTCAAAGCTTTGTAGAATAATAGATTTGGAAGTAGGAAATATCTGAAAAATTGCACGCAAAATGAAAGCTAATGAAAGTTCCTAAAAAAGAAGGAAAATAGTATCAGCATGAGCTCTGGCCATGATCTTGACCTCTGAGATGGATCTCGATGTTATATGATAACGTGTAAATAAACCGCGATGAGAAAAGAATAAAAACAAACGGTTAGATAATGAAGGCGAAATAGCAAAAATAGCGCCTACATAGTATAGCAACTAGCGTACGAGTAGAATGAATCAAAGGTTCAAGAGAGCTTCTCGCATAGCAAATATTAGTAAATTGCATTCCGGTCAAAGATAATGGTGTTGATGGTGTTGAAGAAATCATGTATGCCAGACAAATCTAAACAATACGGTGACCAGTTCATCCACAAAAACATTCTTGACCCACTAGCAAGGCCACACCCGAGGCTGACAACTTTTTTAAACCCAACATCACAACACGCAACCAAAAGCTTATGAGGACGTTCCTCAATTATGGTGCCCAGCCAGGCGCCTTCCATTTCGACAACTACAAAGCCCAAATACCCTCCAGCACCAACCTTGACGCGCAGTACAACTCTCCCTACTCACGCCCCTCAAGCCGCCCCTAATCGAACACTTCTCGCGCCGGAAGATGCTATATACCAAGGATCACCTCCGCGAAAACAGTCGCCGGCGGTGAAAAAGCTGCACCATGATTTGCGCATGACCAATGGGTCGAATGGGTTGGAGGGGAATGCGCCGGTTTTGCAGAGAGGGAGGGGGAAGTCAAGGAATCGAAGTGGGAGCAGGAAACGGAAGGTTAAATGGAGCAAGCTTTTGTGGTTGAAACAATCGTGTAAGAAAAATCGCATAGTAGAATATGGATGTGATTCTGATGATTATTAGATCCGGATAATTATACGGACCAAGCGACCTTTCTAGAGAAACTCCAGCGAAACCCCCGCCTCCAACCGTACGATTTCTGGCCCCTCGTGGCAGACTCAACGGTCATTGTACAACATGTATGCTCCGTGGTGATCTTTACGGTCTGCTTCATCGGAATCGTACAAGATCGCATATCACCAGTTGCAGTAGTCGGATGTGGAAGCATTGCGACGGTCATTGGATGGTTATTGTGGGATTGGTGGATTGGACAAGACGACCTCCCAAAACCCCTACCTCATCGCATTCTGCCAGCTGCCCCATATGATTCCAAAGTCTCAGCTGCAAGCTCGACTTCGAATCTAGGTCAACACGGTCCAAAACCCTCGTCTTTGGTGGCTAGACACTCGCATTCTGCATCCGCTTCTTCTATATACTCTGCGACATCACAAATGACATCTCAGAGTCCTCGACTGATACCAAGCTTTCCACCTGGAACCTCGGCCGCTCTAAGTCAACGCACTTCATTGCGATTATCAACCATCAAATCAGCAGTGCTGATCTACTTTGTGTTACTCGGCCTCTCCCCCATCTTAAAATCCCTCACAAAATCCACGACTGACGATTCAATCTGGGCAATGTCATTCGTCCTCTTCGCAATCAACATCTTCTTCTTCGATTACAAAACCCCTGAAATCTCAGCCGGAATAAAAAACATCCCGGCATCGCTTAGCACAAACGCAGCATTAATGGCCAGCACCGTCCTCGCAAGCCGTCTCCCAAGCACCGGCCAAGTCTTCAGCCTGACGCTCTTCAGCATCGAGGTCTTTGGCCTCTTCCCCGTGTTCCGACGATACGCTAAACAGCGCACCTGGCGCGGCCATCTCACACTTACATGTCTCCTTATCGTCGGCGCAAGTGGTGGTGTGGGTTTATGTCTCGGTCATGGCGGGGATGGCGAGGGAATTTTGGATTTCCCCTGGAAAGCTGGCTTGACGGGTGTGGTTATCGGTTCGATCTCTACATGTCTGGCTATGGGCGGGTGTAGTTGGTGGTTAATCGGACTACAGAAATATAAGAATGAGATTCATGGGCCGTGGGATGCGGCGCGACCGATTATTAGGAGACAGTGGGATGATTATTAGATAGGTAATAGTAATTCAGATTCGTTCCCAGTTCATCTCGTCATATCCATATATACATTTAACTCGTCGTCTCATCCATATATACAACCGCCCCAACCCAGACCCTCGCCAACCTATCCTAAACCCATCACTTACTTCCCTCCCAAGATCCCTCCGACACCTCCACATCCCAACACATTGCCCACGATACTCCCGAGCGACACGCCGTCACTTGCGCCGGTGCATTCTTGGCCGTTGGGCGAGGAGACGATTATACCTGGCCCGGATTGGGGCGTGCGTTGCTGTTGGGGGTTAGCTTTGTAGAAGGTGAGGGAAAGAAAGGGTAATGGAGGGGGAAAAGTACCTCCACAGGAGCGGCGGAAATAAATGGGAGCACGAGGGCTGTGAGGATGAATGCCAATGAGGTCTTCATCTTGAGATTTTGGCTTTGAGGATTTGATAGGGTTGGTTTTTGGTATCCAGGTGTTTGGAATGGGATTTGAGAAGTTGAGGATTGATGGCTAGGGATTCTGGTCTTTGGAGTTCGTTGAACTGCTCTGCTCTACTCCGATTCTCCAGACAGCAATAATAGCGATCTTATACTCACTCACCCATTCAATCATCACAAGCTTTCTCCACGTCCTCGGCACCCCACTGAGATCTGCATCTGCCTTTGCGGGGAACGCTATTCCTGTCATGTCAGGAATTGAGTTTAGCATTTCGGGCTATATCCTCCTGTTTTTGCACATGGTGTTGTTCGTTTTCGAGCTCTGTGTTTTCTGCATCGCTACGAGTTCTACCGTGAGAGATTTTGTTAACAAATTTTCTGGATTATGTAGGCCTTGGTAAGGCGATTAAAAAATTCAATTGAATAGGATGCTGAATAGTTGTCGGTACCAGAAACAAGCATCTCATTCGCTCGGCACTCACTAACCTCTCCATGTGGGGAAATGCGGGGAGGAACCCGAGGCGTTTTAAATGCCGGAGTTTGTTCTTCGCGAAGACTTACCTTTGCAAGGTCCTGTCAGATGAGGGATTGACGTAGTTGGTTCTCTTAGTTGAGGTTGTTAGGTTAGTTGAGGTTATGGGATCTGGAGGAGGAGGAGGAGGTTTGCGGTTTTAGGTTTGTGGGGGTGGGGATGCCGAGGTATGGGAGGATTTCTGGGCTAGGAAGTGCGAATGGTGTTGTTTATGTTGGAGTAAGCGAAAGACGATAAGTGTTATTTTGTGCCTGGAACGTCGATGCAGAAGTTTTGAGGCGTAGGTGGGTGAGAGATGGGACTTGTTCATCTACTCGTTGGAACTTGTCTAGATTTTTTGGCAAAGAGAGCTTGAAAACTCAGGACACAATTGAGGAGTACTAAGTTTAAATGCTTTTTTTGCCATTGCGAATATCTTTTATCACAGCTCTGTGCAAAACTGATGTGAACTCTAGAAAGTGCAGGGCCTCTTAGACAACACTAGCCTTTTGGTGATCCTGTAGCCTTTTGGTGATCATGGATATGGCACTAAAAGAGACGACAGAATAATCTATTCAAGTGCATGACGTGGTTATTGAACCTATCGAATGTGACTTTACAGATACACACTCTACGGGGACGGATTAAACCCGAGATTTTGCTCACCTGGCCTTTCTACTCCTATTCTACCACAACGCTCGAATATATCAAGTTTCTAGTAATATATAATAGGAAATAGGACTATTCTTAAGTAGATAGTAGCTTTTAGGGACAATCTATCTTCAATAATAGTAGATATTTGTGAATATCTAAAGAAAAATCGGGTGTAGTAGGCACGAGCCAGGTACGCAAAATCTCGGATTTAATCCGTCCCCGTAGAGACACACTATATTTTAAAGTATTTTGTTGACAGCTCCAACATTATTGATAGATAAACTATAGCTGAAGTATGTGATTGCTTGTACTCTCCAAAGTGGCGCAATTCGAGTCCTCGAACGAAAAATCAAGCACCAATATTTCCTATTAATTGTATGGAAAGATTGTAAGTAATTTATATTGTAGGATATGCGTCTTAGACTCAAGTTAGCAAGTTCTCATTTCATCCAAGAGGGCCCCTCTAATAATAGAGAAGAAGGATTTATTCAAAGAAATGTACTCACAGAATCTCCCCCCAAGGAAACACACCCACAAAGGGCCCAATAACCCTCTCCCACATCTCAATTTCCCCCACCAACCCCTCCTTCCTCATTTCCTCCTCCCTCACCACCTCATACACCCTTCTCTCCTCCCCCCTCATCTGCCTCTCCACTTCCCGTTCCCGATCTACATATCGTCTTAACAAAGCCTCCATCAAAACCTCCATCGCATCCTCGACCTCCTCGTCACTAGCACTCTCTCTTTGCAGTGCCCTTAGCACTCACAACTCCACCCACGGACTCACAGCATCCACAACCTCCTTCTCGCTCCCTCCAAAAAGGTCAGCGAGCCGCACGATCTCATCAGCCGTCGCGGGGGAGTCGTTATACAATAAATTGTAAAATAATAGAGGATATCGAAGATTTCGCGCGTGAAACATATCCCGATGTTTTCCTGTGAGATGGTGTGGTTGTCTTGGTCAGTGATGCTGGATTCCCAGTATTTAATCCCGGCGTTGCAGAGGTAAGCGATGAGTCTTACGCTGTGTGTTGGGACGGTTATGGGACGAGGATCAAAGCCGTGGCCTAGACCCCTGGGGTTGAGGAGGTAGAGAGCTGATGTTGAAGGGTCGTTTTGGCAGGTTGAGATTGGATGTGCTTCAGACATCATGCCGCTGGCCTCTGGGAAAATATTTGGTGATTAGGAACTCACCTTTTCGTGTATATGAGCTTTAGAAATTCTGTTATCGTCGTTTGAGTGCATGTGAACTAGAATTTGTGTAATATTTTATATAATTCAGTCTGTTCTGAGAACAAAAGTCTTGTGGGAAACAATGTAGAGTGATTGAGTGATGTTCTGCAGTACAATTTTATTACTATGTCGAGGTGCTCTTTGTTCCTATCTGGCTGACTGTCAGTAGCGTATTACGTTGCGATGAGAAAAGGAGAGTCAAATCAGAAGGTTGGCCTGATTTTATCTTAGGATTAGTATCGTGACTATTGTTAGTTACTTCGAAGAGTTTTCATCACTAGAGTCCAGGAGTTCTTCCCGGGTCTGAATGCCAAAACCCTAATCTCGCGGAGACAGCGACGCATGGTAGCGGAGCATACGGGTTGCATACGAAACCTATATAAAGTGAAACCTTTATGAAGTTCAGTCTTTTATAAAGTTGATTCCTTTATAAAGATGTAGTGTCTTCTTCTTATGTTCAAATATCATGCTTTAACGACTGTCTGTTGTCTTGGTTGCCTCTTCTGAAAATATGCTCGACAGAGAAACTCAAATGCTCGAACCGCGGCGACGTTTGAAACTTTCCCGGTACACCAACCCGAGGCGTGGTGTATTTATTTTTCTTTTTTTCTTTTTAGCTAGCTACTAGCTTGATATATAGTGTCGTTATTTTGCGAATTGACGTTCTGTCATTTTCTGTTTATTATTCTTGATCGCGAGAAATATGGCGGTCTAGCGTAACTGCACCGACAACACTCTCTTCTTGATCGCATATTCTCATTGCTCGAGGAACTCCTCGATTTTGGTAAATATGTCATTATTCTGGAATACTTCGAAGACACTCATTGATTTTGAAGCCAATCTATGTGCTAGAATTACAGAAGATGCCAAAATACGAGATGGAACCTGCGTTTGTTGCAATATGCTTGTTTTTCTAAGAATAGTAGGATCCCAGGGTACTTCCCCAAGCTGTCCTGGCTGGATATACAACATGCCACGCGACGCACTTCCGAGAGTTTGAACTTCTTAGTACTCATACGTCGTGTGTGTAGAAAAATGCTTTATTAAAGTATTTGATTATATGCGCTAAACCGATGAATAGCGATTGGCTGGCTACTGCCATTATTTTGCCGATAGTTAAGTAAAAGTTGAGGTGAAGTGAATGGTGTAGTGGGAAATTCGAGCCTTAAGCCTAAGTTAATCGCACGACAATACAGTCACTTGTTAAGATAGATTGACCTTATGGTAATTTCGAATCCAAAAAAGCTTCGGTTACTTGACAACTAGATAAGTAGTCTGGGAGAGAATGGGAGATGATTACCTTAATAACAAACGTTGAAGTAAATAAAGTGTTCGTTTACACAAACAGAAGATAATAATAAACGGTTTCCGTGACTACAACGACTGCGACAAAAAACTATAAGATTTCGGCAGAGTTGGTGCAAGGTCAAAACGAAGCAAAGTATTACTGTTTACACTATGATTAGTATTTATTCAAATACCTCGATACAAGCGCCACGAGTTCCGACTCCCATTCCCCCGCCACGCCCACATCCAGACTCTCACCTCCGTCACATCACCACATTCACCACACCTCCCACCCATCCGGCAAAACCGAGGTCCATGCCAACCAATCAAGAACCCTCTCTCCCTTTTCCCTTTAAATAACCTAATAACGCACAATCTCGTAATAGACAAATCGAGCCTCGGTCTCCAATTGAATGCTTAATACCATGACTTGCGGTGTAGCTAGCGACGCGCGTGGCTTGTGAACACTGGACTTAGTATCCTTTACAGTTCTGGTCAGCCTTCAACGACTGCTACTGTCCCAGTTGCCTCTTCGATTAATGCTCGCCAGAGACAAATCTCGTTTACGATCTTGATCACGTTGTTTGTGGATTTTCTCGACACCGCTGAAGCTACGTGGTGTTTCTTTTGCTGTTTTTTTATGATGGATTTTTTTATGTCAAGATGAGAGGATGAGAAGTTGGTTTCCGGGTATGATCGAGTGTAATAGAAGATGGCATTTCTTTTCTCGGTGCGGAATGCAGGATACATTTGACGATCTGACTAAATCGAGTGCACGATTTCTTTCGATTCATTTTTTTGAGCGCCCTGTGTGCTTTCTTGAAATCGCTCTTCTTGCATTATTTAAAAAAGGAAACATATGACAGCGGGCCACATGGCTTAATTAATTTTATACTGGACCCTCGTGGACCCTCGAGCAGTCTTGCCAATTTGATTACCAAGAGCCTCCATTGGTAGGTACCAATACTAATGAGTATTTGCCCTAGTTATTCGTACAAAAAAAGAACAAGTTTCAAGATATACACCTTGGTTTTCGGGTCGCAGGTATTCCGACTGGGGAGGGGGCTTGACAATTCACTCTTCCACACAAGCTCCGATCGGCTAGCCTGCTTGAGTGTTACAGCTCACCAAGAGAGAGTGGGACAAGCCCACAAGTACAGAAAAGCAATACACCATAATGCCCAAAGGCAAAGTGCATTTGACTTAATTGGGCATTCAAAGAACTACTCTAATCTACCGTGACACGGCACACAACTCCAAGGTATACTAATGATTTAAGAGGTTAGTTACCAGTACCGAATGAAAACAGAAAGGTTGATACTAATCCGGAGCGATTTTGGTAACTATCAAGGTACACTATACCAAATGGGCGAGACGTCCCTCAAAGCCCTTTCACTAAAGCAGCTTCCGCAGCATATTGGAAGGACACATGAACAGCTCGCCACCTCAACCCACGCACGTTTAAAAATCACGACAACGCAGCTTTGGCACGAATCTGGCGCGTTTTGCCATCCTCAGAATATGAATGTCCAACACCATGACTTGTGATAGTAATTGGCAACTCGCTCAACTATATGGGAAGACTGAACGTCACATCTCACCGACCAGATTTCCATCAACCTGTTTGGTGATGCAGCTGTTTTTTTATAAATGCTCGCGAGATAAACATACGACAGCCGTTACTCGTGTTGTTGTGGACTTTCCGGCATCACCTCGCGATATGGCGATTTTTCTATGAGTGGCAAATACATGTTCTTATACGAGTTGCAGATGTCGCCGCTCGCGAGATGGTAGCAGTTCTTTGTCGTTTGTTCGTGGATGGGGAATCGTGATAGCGGAAGGGAAAGTTAAATTTTTATTTGGATTTGTCGTCGATTTATCAGTCAACTCATTCCTAGAATTCTTTGGTCGCCTAGAGTCATCCCAGGTCACTATTCTAGCTCAACTTGACTGATAATTGAGTAACTTCTGGGTTATCTGAGTAGTTTGAATAGCTCATGAGCATGCTGAGGAGAATTAATTAGTAATCCCCTACACTTGGGTGGCAGAAGGGTTGGCTTTTGTCCTGTTGAAATGACGCTTAAGAAAATACTCGGACGTCGATTCGTATTTTCTCCGACGACATAAAGGTAGACTTCGACAACTAGAACGCGGACAGGGTAGTATACCTCGAAAACTTGAAACAGAATCGGTTTTCGTCAGAGCCACCACACTCGAGGGTTCAAGAGTGAAAATTTGTTAGTAGGAGGTGCTAGATCAATCGGAAGCTTTCGTCTCACAGAAGCTGGATTGGAGAAATGCGAAAGAACAACATAGCAAGCTTGCTTATAAATCATCGAGTCGTGCTCAGATTATTTACGGAAGGTGGAAGTTGTGAAGCGATCTCGGCGCAGAAGAGAACTTCAGCTGCTGCTCTTGAAATTTTACCGACTTTCACTGCAACCCTTTTTAAAGAGTCATACATCACTAAAGTTGTATTTCGTATTGTGCAAAACTCAAAACTTGTCCCTGTTCCCACCACTTCCAGCCTCAGTTCGCGAGAATCATTTTTCATGCCTTCGAGAACTGACAAGTCAAAAGCGGGCTTTTCTTGACATTGTAAAAGTTCTGCCAAACCACTGGATGTCTATTTAAGTCGCGTGAATTTCTTCTCCTGCATATAACACATTCACACTATCCTTTCTACATCGCCCAACGCCCACAGAGTTATTTGGCTTTTTTCTAAAATTGCTCGGCCTGAACTCGAATTATGGAAGCTTGCTTCGAGATCTACCAAAGACGCCATCCGATCTATCATTAGAACTAACTGTAATCAGGTAATGTTACCCGAGTAATCTCGAAGGCTCGAATATTCCTAGTACAAATTCACTACATCATGACCATCAGTCATCGGTATAACACTGGACACAAGCAGCCACTGAGATAGTTTCTCACTTACCGTCGTTTGCATATTCGAAGGTGATACACAGTTCAGACGTCTCAGTCGAGGGGTTCTTGCTGTGGTCTGGAATGCTAATGCTCGAACCATTTGGGGCGGAGGCAGTGACATGCGTGTAGTGATTTATATGGGTCGCATTCACATCCTTAAATGTGGTAGTATCGTCCGCTTATATTTAAACACCGTGCTTTAACGACTGGCTCTGTGTGTCTTGGTTGGCTCTTCTGAAAATATACTCCCTAGAGAAACTCAACATTCGCTTAGCGGCGACGTTATGTTTCCAGGTATATCGACCTAAGGCTCGGTGTGTTTCTATTACCTTTATGCCTGTCATTCGGATATTTTTCTAGTCTTTGACGTATTAGACATTCTATCATTGTTGTTTTGTTATTTCTAATCGCGAGAGTTTCTCGGCATATCTTGAAATATCAATCTATTTCTTTTATAGGTAGAAGACTCCTCTAGTTCCTCAATAACTTTCTTTTTAGTCAAGAGAATTACACCTGCAAAAGTCACTGTTTTCAGTCTTGGTCATCTTTCTCCCTCTCCAACTATTTTCTTCGGTAAAACTGGTGGGAGTATCCGAGGATTTTGATGTCCAGGTGAGTATGGCACGCCTTGCAGGCCACTTCAAATCCGCCTAGAGAAAACATTCACTATCATCGATGGATCTTCGGGAGCAAGTTTTCCCGACTCTCGTAGATAGACTCTCGCGATTTTCTTCCTAGTCCTGTTGGGAACCATACCACTTTGGTATCTTGCAAAAATGGATGACCCAAGCCAGTCTCCAGTCGCCCGGCTGGAGAAGGGCGTAAGAGAGTCATTGCAATCATTTCGTTATGAAAAAGCCACTCTGGAAATCCTCGTGCCTGCTGAGTCGAGTATTTCAGAACGTGACAGTCTCGACCAGAGCAGTTGCGTTCAAGAGTACGAACCGAGCACGAAAGCTTCATCAGCCATCGCCTTCAGTCATGACAACAATGAGGAGGAAGCTATAGTCCAAAGCCTGCAGTAAGTTTGCATCACGTTTTCGAGTATACCAAAACTAAAGTTCCATAGGGCAATGTAAAAGGTTACACTTTGGTTTTCCCCAACAAAGTCTTGATCGATATGCCCCCTGGGAGCAAGAGGAGACTATACAAGAGAATTGCCGAAGAGGATTCTGACCTGTTCTGCTCCGATGAAGAGACGCCGCCCGAAAGACCAGCACAGAAAAGGTCGAGGAAGTTTTCACCTCTGATGATGGAATTGATGAATGCAAAGATGCCTAGAGTAACCAGACAAGCGTCAAAGGAGAATCGCTTTGTAAACGACACTTTGCTGGGACTGTACGTAGGATCAGAAAACGAGTCTGAGGAAAGTCCCGACGACGAATCTGATACATGCACAAGCACACCAGCCCCGCCAGGTGTCAAGGACGATGACAGATCCCCAGATTCACCTTCTAGCCTTGATCATGGCGTCTCACATGCTCTGTCCATTCCACCTGCAAAGCACCAACGCGAGTTCTACAAAGATCAAGTCGAGTTCTCTCTGTACCGCACCTTGCACCCAACCTTTCCCGGCCAAAACGTCAAGTTCGACCATGCCCTGCAGAAGCTCGATCCCGCCCTACAAACGCTCAGCACAAGCTACTTTGATTCTTCCAAGTGGAGCGTCGAATTCACCGCTACGCTCCAGTCGAGACCCGGAATCGACGTGTGCAGGACGACCGACGCGGAAGCAGCAGCAGGGAAGTGTGATGCGTGTGGCCGTAAGCAACAACGCGCGTTCGTGATCATCTTCCGTGGTTCTGCGTACGATTGCCACACTCTCGACGACGAGACCGCGACGACTTCGCGCTGTAGTCAGGGTCCACGCAGCGAGATCGCATCGCAGCGGCACGTCGCGCCCGCTCATCGCAAGTTCTACGTCGGCGCCGACTGCAAGGATTACGCTGAGAAGTCTCATTCCCTCTGCCACTGGCGTTTTCAGCTGCGTGAAGCCGTCGAGAGACAGCTGAAGCGTGAGGGCTGGATGACCAGAGCTGCGCGTCTGCGATGGGATTCTTGGGCTTCGGCGGAGAAACGCCGTAGAATCACTGACATCTTGGATGCGTGGTATGCGAAAGGTTTCGGCGCGACGCTTTATGCTGGGTACCGCAGGTGTAAGAATTTGAGGAAGTAGAATGGTAGGTCTTTCTGTTGCAGGATTGCTTGTGCTGGTTGCTACCTGACATGTTTTGTGGTTTTGGCCATGATGTTGTTCCATCATGATATTTCCCGCGGATTCGATGTCGTTCTCATTACACGATTTCCCCAGTCCAGCTGCGGAAGTGGCTATCATTTCAAGTTTGTACCATTAGGACTAGATCGCTCTCAAATCTTGTATAGAAGGAAATCTTGGGAGGTGTGGTGTATACTGGAGTTGGATAAGTTTCTGGTGGTCAAGTTTGGCTTAGTTGATTAGATTAGCGCTGCTTTGAATCGTAGAGTGACAATTGGTTTTTGATAATGTCCACCTCCTCACTATAGATATTATCAGGTCTATCAACATCACCCCCCTTTCCACCCCACCCACCACCCACCCCAAAACCCCCCAATCGTCCAACCAACCCTCCATCCCAATCCCGACGAAAAGGACAACCACCACGCACGAAGACCCGCTTCGCACCAACACCTTCGC